AAAATAATAGAAAAATTAAAATATATCTCAGCCAAGTCTTGTTGCTTTTTAAAATCCTTTCTTTATTTCTATTTTATAAATATATATATATATATATATATTACGTATTAAAAATAAGCGAGCTCTTTGGATACTTAAATAAATTTGCCCGTTACTTATTTGCTCTTATGAATATCTCTCATATTATTCTTGCTACGAGTCGTATGTCTCAAGTTTTTGTAAATTTTATTTTATAGAAAGAATCCATGTTTCCTTATATTCTTATAAAGATTTCGCGCTTTATGAAAAGGCATGTATATTGTATTTTATATAGAGGCGAATTGAGAGTCGGTGATGCGATTGATCTCTCAAATCATTGCCAAGAAATATATTGTCTGTCATTGAGAAAAATTTTACAAATTTCAAAACGGATACCAATATTTTATTTCTCCATAAATATTTTTATATACCAATGTATCTATATATATATATATTTCTCTTATTTCTGGAAAAACATTTTTCCTTGGTTTTTTACTCACACGTTTCTATTAACGCAAAGAGATCGCGACGGCAATAATAAACGATGAAGCGCATAATTGTAGTTACATAGATTTCTAATGGCAAGCATGTGCGAGGAGAAATACATGTCATATATATACGTTTCTTGCGCGTATATATAAACAGACTATAATAATATTACACTATAAATACACATCTTGACGGCGAGACCGTACGCAGGCGCCGGCGCCGACACCGGCGCCATGCCGACCGTGTATGTACATACACTATGTACGTTACATACGTCCTGTACTCCTTTTTATTTACCTCTTTGTCCCTTCTCTCTTTTCCTTTATCTCAGCAACCGTATCGTATTGCACCCGTATTGTATCTTTCGCTTTTCTCTTATCGCGCGCTCGTCTCTTCTCTCTTTCCTTATCTCTGCATTTCTTCAGAGTTTGCACATTATTCGTATCGTTGCAAAATTTACGTTGCAGAATTTGGCAAAAGTTGTCGCATATATTTTTTTATCCGACGCAAAACGAGATCGAACAATAATTAAGGCGGGACGATATTATGTAAAGATATAAGGAACACTATATATACTTTATATATTTACGTTTCCCTTATCCACTTCAGAATCGAATAGATATATCTCAGATAACACCACGTCTAAAATGCACACGCATAAGACATCTTTACGAAATCTTATATGATATGATATCCCAGAGACATTTAAAAAATACCTTTAGACCTTTGGTGCTGTCTGGGATTGGACATAACAGATCTCGGCGCGCCTGTATTATTATTACTTCATCATTATACTCAAACCGGAGCTATATCAGCTCTGTGCGAGTTATATCACTTGTGTGCAAAGTCATGCGACGTGGCGCCAACATTCCCATCATTTAACGACACGCGTGCGCCTATACTATAAAATGTCCAGATATCAACGCGGGCGTTTTACCTTGCTTGGCGCGCGCATATATATATATATATATATATATATATATATATATATATTATATATATCTACCATGACACAAGAGACTGCACGCAGATAAATTATATGCATGCACACGTTTAATACGACCTGAAGATAGAAATGCTATTTGTCGCCATTCGAATAAAAAAATGTGCGCGCAGGTTTAATAAATGTACTTATAGGAATGCCGCATAATCAGCTATTAATTCACGCCGAACAGTCGTAACGCGAATATATACGATTAAACTCGACTGGTTGCGACGAGACGCGCAGCAAGAAAAAGCGGCACCTTTCTTCGTCTCTGTAAATATATATTCCGTGATTGATATTTAAATTTTATAGCTTTTTCCGATTAGAATTTATGATAATCATATGATAATCGTGGCGCCACGAGAGTCGCGGATACTTGCAGTGTCGTCGTGATCGCTGCAATAATAGTATTGCGACTCTGTAAAGAGTGTAAAGAAATGCGAACCTTGGCCGTTTACGATGGATCTTGTGAGAAACGTTGAAAAAAATACCGAGAAAAATATGGATAACAAAAAACAAGCAAACTTTTCTTTTCTCGTAACTGCGCGCGAGAGAATAATTTAATATGTTTAGTCCTAAGTAAACAGCATTTGTGGATTAGAGAATAGGTCGCGAGATTTTTGCCGTGTTATTTGCTGCTACTATTAAATTCCCATGTAATGTAAGCAATGTTATAAAGTTGATAATTTACAACCAAATGTTAAATGCTGCGTCGGGCGCTCAATCAGAACAGAACTTATATATAATATCTGCTCATACGCCATATTGTTAAAGTCAAAATTGATAAGCCAAAATTGTTGTTTTTTGTGCAAATCAACCATTATTATATATATATGTATTTTTCTAATTGAAAATTTAAATGGCAAAGGACATGTATGTTATTTCATCAAAATTATATATGGGGTCGTAACAATGATTTTGTCTAACAATTATTCAATTTAAATTGAAATCAATTGCAGAAAGAGTTTATAGTATGTGCATGATGAGCACATACAATTAGCGGAAATGAATTAAATGATACATATGATAATGATTGGAATGCGTGAGACAATTGCATCATGTCTGGTCAGAATCGCAGTCATAAAGGCAGATATGATTTACATACATATGTCACAACCTGTGTATCAAATGACAACGATATACCTTCATATAGATAGCAAATTTGATATTCCCTGTTATCAATTATATCAATCGCTTGCGGGCACATTTAGGAATAGATGCTCACAGTTTAGGAAATAATAAATAAATTGAGCGTATAATAGCAGACATTAATTCTCGACAAAACGTTTTTATTAATTAACGTTAAATTATTTGGGAGCACGTCTGTAATGCTTTTGACGTTTGGAAAAATTTATTTTATTTGAAAATCAAGTTTAAAGTACGCTTAATTAGGTCGGATTTACACCTGACAGAAAAACAGAAGCCAATCAGAACTCGCTTTGGTTAGTAAGTTTACTATCACCAAGTTTACTATACTTATAGTAAAAGCTTACTATCAGCGCGATTCTGATTGGTTTCTGCTTTTCTGCCAAGTATGAATTCGGCCTATTATACTAGTACGAAAAAAAAAACTACAAAATACAAGAGTAATAAATATGATAAATTAATCAGAGAATTTAATACGCAACTGACGAATTAATGTGAGCTATCGCGGATCTTGTCCATCTAGCTTCGTATCTGACTTATGCATTCGAATCCAAATTATTATCTAATAAAAATTAATTATAAAAAGTAAACTATTATATTCCCAAATATGTTGAAAACATTATTATAGGCGCATTCTCAAATAATTTTATATATCAATAAAAGTAAAAAAAAAAAAAAATTAAGTTGTCTGCTAACTATACGCTCAATTTATTTTAATTAATCATAAAACTATTATTTTCTAAACTATGAAAATGTGTGCTCAAACAATTCCCAAGCGATTGATGTAATAGACAATCGAGAATATCAAATTTGTCTGCCAACTATTTAAAGATCAACGATATCTATAAAGATAATGAGAACCCTAGCAAGCTTGATTCGCCAGAGTTACCATATGTATATTCAGAGAGATAACTCTCTGGTATATTTTACCGAGTGAAAGGGATGATGATCGACTGTTGCATCGCAAAAATTATAATCGGCATACGATAACCAGCTTGTAATATCAAATTTTCTATCCTTTTTTTCCACGAAACATATATTTTTAAATTTTCATATAAACTGCATAATTCTTGATAGAGTGTGTATTACCTCGGTAGATTGCATAAATATAAAAATTATTTCTTTTTTTAATACTTAGACATATTTTTCATTTTAATTTCTTGAAATCATATATACATACAAATATAAATTAAATTTTTATTGTGTTGGAAAAATTATCCAATTTTCCACCATAAATGTGTATTAACACACAAGTCTATACAAGACTGCCAGTTAAAGTGTCAACGCAGTTGACGTAATTAGACGATATATTATTGATGATTAATTGTAAGAAATTTTGGTATAAAATAATAATGCGGATCCCAAGCCTGCCATTTCTCCTGCTGAATAGCTGTATAATGTTTTTAGTAGCAAATTTGGGTGTTTATGATCGTGAGTATAGAGTATCATCGTCTCGGTAACATGCGCCCGCACGTTAAAAGTATGAAAATGATCGAAGACTGCTCGAATTACAAGAACATCTGTTTTTGTTATCCCCTTGAGAGAAACTGAAAACTTGATTCTTCGTCATATATCAACACGCGCGAAATCTCCGATAAGAATCAATCGATTTGATTAAAGAGACTATTCGTTGGCAAATAACATATAGACTACGTAAAGCACAATTACAATATATTTCACAAATTGTTTAAACATTCATACATAATTATATGAATTTTCGCATATGACGAAAAGGCGATTCAATGAAATTAGGGGAAGGATTATCTCGTAAAAACAATGTACCTCAAAGACAGGAAAAATGTTAGGACATCGAAGAACGATCGCGAATTAGCGTCGTGATCATCTGGCGTATATAACATATAACGCCAGGATGTAAGTCCAAAGTATTGGATTCCAGTAGTTGCGAGGCCTGAATCTCTTGGCTGACAGCTCCAACCTTTCTAAATTAATTCCGAGTCTCTGAATTTTTTCGTCACATTCACTGCACAATTTCGGAATGTGTCGACGATATATACTCTAATTTATCTTACCGAGGTGCAATAAATAAGTGTGATATCTCCTCTATAGTGAGATATACATAGTTGGATAACTATAAGTTGGATGGGCGGGCAGGTGAGAGAAGGAGGAGGATGCATACCTGCCGCAACCAACTAGTGAAATAACCATCCGCGTATAGCTTCTGTTTCCCCAAGTTTTCTATCGCCGAGAACTTAAGGAAAAAAAAAATTTGCATATAACTATAAAATATAGAGTTAGTCATTGCACCGTTTGCTGCAATCACTTTCTGCGTTTTCGTATCAGCCGTCCTGGGCCGAGATGAGAGCGACTTTTGTAAATGTAGTGTGGACAGAGCAACATTCTCTTGTCTACTGATCACATTTTATCGTATTTATATAATGTAATGTACAATATGCAGCTACATTATGATAATCGGTATGTCCAACGCATTCAAAACTGATAACACTGTGGGTACTTTATTCTTGTTTTTCATCGTTTGGAATTTTTTTTATCGAAGGTATCATTTAAATTATTCATTAATTAATGTGTATCGTATGTTTCAGAGTTAGGTACTTTAATATAATTACTTCAAGTTCTCCACATTTTCGTGGCATCTCTGTGTAAAAAGTTGTGTAACTATAATGCTAATATAATAATAATAATAATAATAATAATAATAATAATAATAAGATTTGCGCAAGGCAATAGTCCGGTGTGGCCGTTCGATCGTGTGCCCACGGCCCCGCTTGCTCACTCCTCCCCCCGAAAAACTGCCGACACAGACAATTCTCAGTAATAAACCTTCTATATCCACCATTCAAGATCAAAGAGACCTTGCAGTTAATATTTTGTTTCTTATAATGTTACTCATTTATCGCAAAGAGCCGAGGGGGGACAGGTGTGCAGCTATTTTTGTATGATGTTAATGTAGCAACTAGAATGTTGACAGAATAATTTCCCAATTAGCGGTTGGCATTTTTTAGCTGATTGGAAAGCCAATCGAGGCCTTCGTAAAGTCCGTCCCCACTTGTGGCACACGTTGCTTGGATATACCAATTACGATTACGTAGAGAATGTAATCCCAACTTATCAGTGATCTCTGCTGCGTTCATTGCGTTTGGCAGATCCTGTAATATTTTAATGTTCCTTTAATATCATTCATCGCTTAGATTTACGTGTATTCGTAATGTTTGACTCAATCTACTCACTTGTTTGTTAGCAAATATGAGGAGTACCGCATCTCTCAGTTCATCTTCCGCGAGCATTCTCATCAATTCTTCGCGTGCTTCGCCAATACGTTCCCTATCATTACTATCAACGACGAATATCAAACCCTACAGTAAATGTAACGTTAAAGACAAAGGGTAACAAAGTAAAATTTATATATAATCAAAATATTCACGCGTGATAATACTAATCAACCATCTAATGAAAATGATCAAGTTGAGGAATAGCGCATACTTTTTAGGTAATTAGGCGCATTAGAATCAAAAACGCAATTTTGTTCATATGAAATACATACTTGCGTATTCTGAAAATAATGTCGCCAGAGTGGTCTTATTTTATCTTGGCCACCTACATCCCATACGGTGAAACTTATATTCTTATACTCAACTGTTTCTACATTGAAACCTAAAAAAAAAAATTTACACACATGATATTCCGTTATCTCTTATACTTGTAAATACACATTATTACATAGACTGATACAAAAGACTGCTGCAAAATATGCCATCAATTTTACTTTAGTAAATATTGTACATTTTATTTATTTATTACTGTTTCAAGATGCCATAATTACTGTCGTAAAAGAAATAGACAAATAAGACCAAATAGATTTGCACAATATTTGTTTCCTTTCTTTTTAAACTAATGCTTTATATTTTTCGACATATAATGGAAAGACATAAAAGACGATTGTACTTACCTATAGTAGGAATTGTAGTAACAATTTCCCCTAATTTTAATTTGTACAGTATTGTGGTTTTACCTGCTGCATCAAGACCCACCATCAAAATTCTCATTTCTTTTTTGCCAAAGAGGCCTTTGAATAATGTTGCAAACATATTCCCCATGATTGATTAGTCAGAGGATCTGAAAAAACAAAACAAAATACACATATTATAATATGATTAAAAGATACGATTCTATATTTATAAAATGCACTATTGTCTTTTTCTCGTAAACATATATATTATTGCTCTATATATAGTGAGAAATTTAAAATCATCTCTTCTGTACTATACTTAAACTTTGACGATACACATGTGTATGTATGTGTGTGTTGGTGTGTGTGTGTGTGCGTGTGTGTGACATTATCAAGCAATACAAAATATGATGCAAGTATATGATACTGTTGCGCATTAATAGGAATATATATGCAACTTTTAAATCGTAGAGATAAATTTTGTTTCAGGAAATAAGAAATTTATAGATATTATTCAGTCCGTGTAAACTGTGCGAGTAGCGTGAGGAAAAACAAAGAAAGATATATTTATATGCCAAAACTATACATGTATATAAATGCCTTCTAATAATCGCGATGATAAGTCAAGTCACAAAACAAAGTCGCATATATCAAGATGTATTTTTTTTTTTTTTTTTTTCTTTTCAACTCTCCCGAGTGCACGAGAAGAAAGCCGAGGTTTCCCTCAGGGGAATATTAGGGGGGAAAAAAATGTGGAAGGACGAGAGATCGCACGTGGACGAAGGAGAAAAAGGTCGCGGGCGATCGAGGACGGCGCATATGTACGTAGTATACACGTAATACAAGAATGCTCCGGTCGCGGCATACCTTCGCGCGTACACACATATACATATACGCGCGCGTACACAATATACATGGTTGCGTGGCGTCTCGCAAAAGCCTCGCAAACTAACCTGACCGCGAATTAAAAAGCACGAGACGAGAAGCACGGCATCGAATGATTTTGGACACGGCCGGAATCGTATGTTCGATTCTCGTCGCTGTAGAGATGGAGGGAAAAAAATCAAAGAGAAAAAAGGGTCATGCACGCACGAGATGCTCACGCTGCCCGCTATCGATTCTCATTTTAATACATCGCTATGATTATCGGACTGGCATACCCTTCGGGGATCGCTATAGACTTCTTTTCGTTGACGATCTATGCAGTTTTAAAGGATGTTCGTACTATTTAAAAGGCCAGTGGAGCGTGATACTGCTCGCGAGGCGAGGCGGAGACGGAGGATTATTGTGCGGTTTGTGAAGCCACTGCGTACACCCGGTTGTCTGTCACCTTCGACCTACTCCCCAGCGGAATCGTCAAGCGGTTCCCGCTCAAATATCCATTACCCAACGATTCGCCCTTACTATCGAGTTCTCTGACAATGCCACGTTGCACATATACGCCACTTGCGTTACTTACGTTTCAGTAAAAAAGATTATTTTCACGAGAAACGATAAAACATAAAACCAACACTCTCGAAAAGTACCGTATGTCAAAATGGCGGACGTGAAAAGGATTCATGCCTTATGCCACGTATAGGGTCATCGAGCCGTCGCGATTGGCTCGATGAGTCACGTGACGAGTCGACGATGGAAATTAATACCGCTACGCGAATATTCCGACAGATGGCGACTTTAAATCGGAAATTTCGAAATTATATTATGCGCGAGTATATGTATGCGGGCTTCGTATGTCGACAAATCGCTTTTAATTGATAATATATGGAGATGTGTATGTATGTATGTATGTACATAGATACATATACGTGTACGTGGGTATGTAGAACAGGAGCAAATGTGTAGAATATTTATGCGATTAATTTCCTGCATTAAAGATGCTCGTAAAATGGAATGGTAATTGCAATCGAAATTAGATTTTAGCCAAGAAAAAAAATATATATATTTATATATATATAGACTTATTTTTACTCATTAACTTTTATGTATTCCGCTCAATAATAACATTATTATTATATAAATAATAGAGAACATATCCTGTTTGATCATATTTCGATTGCATTTAGCGGATTTAACACTTGGGCAACATTACTAGATTTTTCAATGTCATTCTACTCTAATTGGCTGGATCTGAAAGTAGAAACCAATCACGTTCGAGCGATCGAGTCTAAATGTGGCCGGATCTACAACAGGTGTAGCAAGCTCTAAGCTTTAAGAAATTCACCAATCACAGTCAAGAATGAGGGGAATAATCGACTGTGATTGGTCAATTTCTTGAGACTTAAAGCTTACTACGCCTATTGTAGACCCTTATACCGACCCAAGTTTTTCCACTACATCAACCAATCAACAATCAATTTTATGTTGAATTTTTGCAACATGGATGATAGCGGCTGCCTCCTATTGGATATCCGACTGTCATATGTGCTCGGACTGCATTATAGATTGAAATAGCAAATTGACCAATCGGATGAAATACTATGACCACGTGTTACGAAAGAAGAAAGATAGAGAGAGAGAGAGAGAGAGAATGCGCGCGATCGAGAAAGGAGCGAAAAAATTAAAAACATCGAATAGACGCGATTAGAGCGCGAGAACCGAATCGATTCCAGATTGTGAAAAGGTAATTCCTCGGAAAATTTTAGAAATCAATTAATGTGCCAAATATTTCGTAATGTCGATTTCAATCAAACTTGACGAACACGTTAATTCAACTCACATGAAGGAGTTGATTCTAACCTCATAATGTAACAAATTCATCGAAAGAATTTATTTTTCTTTAAATATCGCAGTAATTGAGATGATTATTTAATCTGACTGTGATCCATGGAATCCATATATTATTTAATACTGACGTATAGCGATTGAAAAACACAATTATGTAAAAATGCTACACATTTATTAAATATATACTTCCAATACAATATCCTATTTTAAATTTTTAGGACATTTTACAATACATAATTATACATTTATAAAATGTTATATAAGATTAATAAGATTTAATTGGATTAAACGGCGTACAAAAACAGCGTGTCTTATTTTTGTCGATATTACTTCACTGCTGAGTAGCAAATTTTGAAGCATTGGTTTTATTTTTTGTCGACCTAAAAATCTTGCAATAATTATATAAAAATATTAAATTAAAAAAAAAGTTATATAGTAATACAGATACACTATTATATTGGTGGTTCTTCACAAACACATGAAAACGAAAGAATAACTTGCATCTTGCATTCTGCGTGACACACAACAGGGCAACTTCTGCATCTCAGTATTATCTTCCCAAATCTGATTCTGATACGAAACGGAAAGAAAATTATGTAGCTTTGCATTACATCTATATGTTACAAGTTACTTTTAATCGATATTACCTTTTATTACATAAAATGCATGTTTCTGGTTTAATAACTATTTTTGATACAAAACTATGATTTGCAAATGTTTCTGTATTCAACAATTTAGAATCAGTATTTTTTTTATTAGATGTAACTTGGATTTTAAAAGGTGCAGTGTGGGTATCATCATTTATCTTAACTCTTGTACTGGTTGTTACTCTATCAATTGAGTTAAATTCTGCAACTTTATCTAACGTGCTGCATTGTCCATTCGCGGAATTATCATCGTCAAGTTTGTAATCTCTCCTCATTTTCTGTTTTTGTATAATAGCATCGGTGTTCAAGTCATCTTCTGATTTGGATAAACAGTTTAAGTCGCTTAATATTGAACCTGTAGAATCCATTTCTGCTATTGTGGTCAGACTATAAATTATTAAATTATTAAATGTAAACTGTGGAATTATATCATCTATATATCAAATATATATCAGATATTGTATAACGAGTATTATATAAATATCAAATATATACATATATGTATACGAATAGTTATACAAAATAGGTGTACTTACTATCCATTGAACTGTTTGTCTTGGCCATATTGAATATTATTATACATCCTGATTTCAAACATAGGTTTGACAAGAAATTGTAGTTTCTTTTTTATTTCTTCATCCAACTTTACTTGTCCATCATGGAATAACACTTTTCTAGTTGTATTAATTTGATTTTCCTTTTAAACAGAGATATATACATATATATCAAATGGTAGAATGTTAAATTTTAATAGTAATTAACTTACTAGTAAATTTTTATAGTGCTCAACTACACGACGTTTACGTTTTTCATCCTCCAAATTTTTTCTAGCATGATATAATTTCTGATTAAGATTTGCAGTCTTTTGATGAGCTTTGTGTAAATCTAGACAAAGTTGTTGATATTCTTGCAAAGGTAGATATTTCATTTGTGGCACATTAGTAGAAACTGCATTAAATACATTAATGTATCATATTATCATGTATGTATAGACTTATACATTATAAAATATAAAGAGCTACATAATACATCAAAAATTTGAATTTATTTAAATAAATTTAGATTGATGTCTTTTTGTGTACGATTTATCTCATACAGTCATTTTTAATTTTAAATCAAATTATCTTATAACAAACATGCATAACAAAGAAAGAAGCCAATTACAAACCTTCATGTAACTCATTGTTGTTTGCTAGAGATGACATGTTTCATAAATATTGTCAAGCATCAACTGTTCCTTTGTTCCTTTATTATGTTATTAAAAGCAAAAGTCGTGTAGTTATTGGAAAAATGAAAATTTGAATATTTTTGTGTGAAAGATGTCGACAATTTCTGTTATAAGATTCGTTTACCTTCCAAAATCATTTAAATCTTTCAATCTTGTCAAGTCTTGCCAATTATAAATGGAAAATTTCTAGTTAATTATCTAATAATATTTCCAAAAAAAGATTGTTTTTTTTCTCCCACTTTCTTATTTTTACTTGCGTGCACACACTCACAACACACACACACACACACACACACACATATATATATATATTCTTTCTACTCTTTTTTTTCTCTTTCTGTTTTTCAGAATTATACATACTTTGGTGCTATATATCGAGATATGAGACTGGATATAAAATACATTATACCAAAAACTGCTATGTCACTTTATTATATATTGTTCAACAGTTGAAGAGCAATTATATCCTGATCTTACATTTTTTATGGAGATTGTAAATACAAGTTGTTGAACGCACACACGCACACGGAAAAAAAGGGGGAAAAGGATAATATATACATACCTATACATATAATGTTAACACAGTCATTTAATTTCGGAGAAACGCCGTTTAAAAATAAATCTGAAATACATGACGAATTAATAGCAGATTTAGGAAAAGTTATCACTAACAATGGACATTTACAAAAATGTGAACTTCAGGTATTTTTGTAACTTTTTTTTACTACATTTTTATATGTATAAAGTAAAATATGTTTTCTACAACGAAGAGAAAAATTATAGGAAAAAGTCAATGCTCTCTGCAAATGGATGTGTACAACACCTAAAAAAAGTATTTATAGACTAGATCATTTAACAGATCAACAATATACAAACAATCTGCAGAAACTATGTAAAGCATTGAAACAGGTATGTTTAATAGGTAACAATTAACGTAATAGTTATGATAATTTAATCATTTTAACAGCATGTGCTATAATGTCATTACGAAATCATAACAAGCAGCAATATATTTTTTAATTAAACTCTGCATTATTTTTGAATATTTCTAGTATATTGAGATTTATTATTTTTCTCTTCTTAGATTTTATTAATTACAAAAAACAAATATTTTTTTTGGCTTGAATATTTGATATTCTTATTTAACTATCTTACACATCTGTTTACATGAGAGTTTTACATGCTTTACATGCAATAATATTAGGTTGATAAACCAGATCCATCTGTTCACTTTTTACCCGATCTTCCAAATGGGATAGTCGCTGTTGATAATTGGAATTCATCGGTATGTCTTGATTTAAAAAGATATCCACAGGAGATCATTGTTGATGCTGTATGTGGTGCGGCTGTATTAAGAGGATCTCACATTTATGCTCCTGGTGTTATTGGAATGCCAAATGGTAATCTTTGTGTACATAAAATACATAAAATTCTCTCTGTTAATTATGCATCCATAAGAATCTTGATTAAATTTATTCTAGGTTTAACCATTAATTGTAAAGTCAGCGTATTCGCTGACGTTACTGGTCATTGTAAAAAAGGTTTAATTAAACCATATCCAGATAATGAGAAAATGTACTTGGGTAATGGCATTCTTCGAAAAACTAGGAAAGAGTTATTTAGTAAAGATGCAAAAAATCCATGGTAAGAAACAATTGGTAATATATAAAAGAGAAGCTTACTCTTTATTATATATCATAGTTGAAGAATTTCTCCATTCGAACTATACAAATGCCTTTTTGCTAATATTTTGCGATTGTTTTATCATTACAAAATTGTTTATATCATGCATATATAATAGTATACCAAATGATAATGTCTCTAAATTGTCTTTCAGCGGTATCGCAATAATTATGACTGATGTAATCTCACGAGTTCCACAATTGAATACAGATAACGAATCTCTGAGACCATACGCATTGTTACAAAATTTGCCCTCTATTATATGCAGTCTAGTTTTAAATCCTCAACCAGGTGAGACAGTTTTGGACATGTGTGCTGCACCTGGTAATAAAACTACGCATATTTCGTTTCTTATGAAAGGACAGGTAAATAATTATTAAAGAAAAATAAATTACGAACAATAATAATACTGCAGACAACTGTCTTTTCTAGCTATCTTTTTTTAAAGTACTTTTGCTCGAATTGAAACTTGAGTACACGTTTATTTTTCGAAGTGAATGTAGAAAGTATATATAGATAATGTATTCACACACATTGTTCTTTTAATTATTATCTCTAATAATATATTGTAATTTTTAGGGTACAATAATAGCGTTGGAAAAAAATCCGGGAAAAGTGAACCGATTTAAGAAAACTTGTAATAATGAAAATATTAAAATATTTTGTTACGATGCTACAAAGGCTGTCGTCGAACAGTTTCCAGAGAATAGTTTCGTCCATACCAATGGACCACCGTTTGAACAGGATCACTTTGATCGTATTCTTTTAGATACTCCATGTAGCGCATTAGGTCAAAGACCACAATTGTATAATACAATCACGTTGGCGCAACTTCGTTCTTACATTCCCTTACAGCGAAATCTCTTTTCTGCCGTAAGTCAACAAGTTAGTTATCACGCACATTCATGGACATGTATAAATTTGGCTCTAATAAAAGCATTAACATATAGGCCGTTCGTCTTTTGAAACCAAACGGAATACTGGTGTATAGTACATGCACTGTCACAATAGCAGAGAACGAAGGAATCGTTGCTTGGGCATTAAAACAATTTCCAGAGTTAAAATTAGAATCCGTTAAAGATCGGATAAAAACGGATAAATATGGCAGTCAAGGATATACCATAGATGGTTTAACGAATGAGAATGCGAGAAAAGTACGTAGATTCGGTACTGAAAGTGTTGATTCTGTTGGATTTTTTATCGCATGTTTCAAAAAGTGTCAAAATGATTGAATGTATTGAAACTTTGTACTATACATGTAAGTAAATTAATTTGATATTGAAAAATAGAAACTTGAGTGAAAGATAGACCCGATAAATTTAATACGTGTGAGAATGAAATTTTGTTACCTTTATCAGCCCTCTATGTTAACAAATTGAATTAAAAGAATATTATACCTACTTCTTATACTTTACTATCGTTTGCGATTCCATCTCCAATGAGCTCTGTTGTTATTATGGAACAATTGTCGCAAATTGCATACAATGTCTCTTCCTGAGTTTACAGTGAGCGAAGAGAAAGAAGAGACAGAGAAAGAGAGAAGAGAATTATTAAAGAATAAGAAAAATATTGTAAAATTTTACTTTTTTCACATTATAATTTACGTGCATTCCGTGAGCATCGGGGAAAAAATAGATATATAGATATATATATTCTTGCGACTTTAGTGTAAAATATGCGGGCCACATAGCAAAAGATGGTAGAATCAGCATATTATCGTTAGTCACATCCTGAAATAAGATACAGTAATATTTATGATTGCTGTTTACGCAAGATATATCTTTATACCTCGATATGCATCGAGCACCAGTCGATTTCGCTCATAATGAAGAATCTTCCTTCGCCGCCGATATTTTTAACCATCAGAGATAAAATAACTTGTTGATCTAGGAGGCACTTTCCACATTCGAAGCTTTTTAATTTCTTGCAATACATTACACTCTCTTCAGATGTATTTGATATATCGTTGCTTCTTGTACCGAAAGTGTACCGAGACTGTGAATTTATTTTCTCCTGAGAAAAAAAGATGTGTGCAGATTATTCGATATATTATTAAAAAGGAAAACGAAGTTTTGTACCTTTTCATAGGAATTTATTTGTGTAAATGGAATTTCCACAAACCACTTTCTATCACTTTTTATCACGGTTTTTGCTCGAAGTTCTTTTCGCGGATATTGAAAATACGCGATAGTAGTCACTGTGACAGCAGTAGCATAAAACGATAAGTACATCAAGAAAAATGTCTATTTTGTACATACTTTATATTATTCTCGCACATTCTTAGTTCTGTTTGAAATTTTTTTTGCAAATAGGCAGCTTTTCTAAAAACCTATTCGAGAAACTTATGGGTATATCACTTACTTCGCAATATTGGTGAATCTCGACGTCCGCGCAATTTAATAATCACCGAACGTCCTTGTTGTACATTTATCATTAACATTTCTTCGGGTTCGTCCAAGATATCGCAACGAAAGAAAATAATCAATTTTACGTGCATTCCTGGGCAAATACCACTCTTTTGTCCTTTGTATTCAATCATGACAGTGAATCGTGAATATATAGGCCTTGCTGCTAATTGAAATCTGGCTAAAGATGTACTCACATTTTGTAGTATGACAACTTTCTATAATAAAGAATATGAGAATATTATCGTTTGAAAATTATATTTTATAATATACCTATATTTACCCTGTATAATTTATTCGATTCATAATTGTGAAATTCCACAGAATTAGGAATTGCAATCAAGATCCTTTTGGATAACTCTGTTTTTGAAATATTTCGTTTTAGTTGGTTAACCAAGACAATCGATTCCGTTTTTCTGAGAATAACAAAAAACGTGAATACAATATATGCATAATGTTGAATATGACATGGTATTCTTTAATAGAATTACGTGTACATATAAAATGTATGTAAATGAGAGAAAAGTAATGTATAACTGAGATAAATAAATACCTGTCATGAAATTTTGTCATGAGGATTATGCTCCTGATATAATAGGATATTTTAAATATAAAGTTTTAAAAATGAATTGTATTATAATATATATATATATATATATATATATATATATATATATATATATATATTATAGTCTTACACATTTATTATATAACTAAAAGCAATGTTTATACGTATATATATATATGCATCTAAAATTATAAATTTCTGAACCAAATACTGTCATCACAAGTATAAACTTGTGAGAAACATTTTTATGACATATGTATATCGCAGTATAATATATAAATATACGAAAATAAAACACACGCTTATTGTTAGATTAGAACATATATATATATATATATATATGTATATGTAAAACGTCATAAAAAATCGAAATAGATAGAATCGTCTCCGTTGGAAAAATTGCGTAATTTTCTTTTTTATAGATGTATACGATAGTAGATCATTTTATAGATATATAGATAAATGATAATTATTTATTTTATAATTATTGTGTATTTTATAAACAGTATGCTGATCGAATCTCGCTTCTGCAGCCATCACATACACATATACACACACACACGCACACTCACTCACTCTTTTTGCACATCCTAGAATTACCCGTGCAACTAATTTAATATAGGAATAGGTTTAATAATAGTAGGCTAGTTGATACTCCGTCAACAACATTATATTTTAAGCTTTATAGGTTCAGAAATTATAAGTGTTTTGTTAGAGTGCACTTATTTATCCTATAGATAAGCATACATAGTCCATGTAATGTAATAGCGAATTTGATTGAATGCATCGACTGTTATATACAAATTAAAGTAGTACCATACATGTTATGTGTGTTATATATATAAAACACATAAAGTGAATTCAGTCCGTGAGACGTTGATATCGTCAATATAATTCATCATATTTGATATTTATAAAAAAATATTAATATAATATTAGACTTTTTCAGTTAACAGTGTAATCAGAGTAAGTATATTTTTAAGTAAATTAAAATTAGGTAACGATTATGCTCAATTTAAATCTTAGTATACCAGATTTTTATATCTTTGTACTAATGCATTCAATTGAATTCGTTATAAAACTTGTGTCACGTTTGTATAATGAATATGAAATCATTCAGGCATAATGCATACAAGAATATTCCATTTTAGCCATACTCGACGCACAGATACAAATTTAAAAATAAAAAGAAAAAAAAACATCTCTGATAAAATACTTTGCTTTTTTCATGCGCTTTATCAATGAAATAAATCTCTAAACTTTACACGGATTACGTCCGACATGATGTAATCATATATCATCACTTTGGACTTTGTATGCATGGAATAAGATTTTTTTCTTTTTTAGCAAAGCTTATTATCTGATTGGAAAATATAAAACCCCATATTATATTTTACTATCCTACAAATATGATGCTTACTTCGTAAATACTATAATGATGTCACTGCATTGAAAGTAGTTCTTACATTTCACGTGTGTATGTGTGTTTGTGTATGTGTGCTATATATTTCATGCCATCAAAGTTAAACACGAAAATGGAGATACCAGCAAAGTGTTTTACATTGAAACATACATTTCTAAAATGTATTTTAATCTAAAATTTAGATTTTTCTCGACGTGTGTGCTGATATTTTTTACAGTATGTCAGCTTTCTGTCTCTCCACTTTACATATAATATCTAGTCTGTAATCACTGAATATTATAAGACATCACCGACGTGTAATTTATACGAGAAGTGAACGTTCTTACATATATACACAATTCACGTTTTAAACGTACAATTTGCGCGTAACGTGTAATTCGATGCATTGCCGTGATATTTCTTTAGCATACGTCAAAATTAAGTTTTTCACTTGTCAAGTTCCAATGCAGCGTATTGTTCTTCGTCCACTTCGGTCACCATAAAGTTTCCGTCCGGTAAGAGCAGTACTACTTTCCTAGTTCCCCCTAAATAATCAAACATGTGTGAAAGAAGATAAGCAATGAACTAATATTAATTCGAAAGCGACTAATTTTTAATTTGGAATTAAAAAAAAGAGAGAGAGAGAGAGAGAGAAAGAGAGAAAACGTTATTTTACCTGGGGTAGGTTCTTCAGCTTGTACTACTTGAGCTACAACTTGTGCCTGTCCGTCATTGTCTTCTTGGGCTCCGGTTACATCGGCCGCGTTCGCGTTATCCATTATAGACATCATCATTGAATTTTCAGTCGGTTCCGCTCCATCCTCCTTTACGAAAAACTGGGGAGTGAGATTTACCTGTTCAGGGATCAGCTGTGCTACAGCTTGATCGAATGTCAAGACAGAGCCGTCGTCTCCTTGCTGTTCAGTGGTTACATATACGCATTGCTGTTCGCCATCGGCGCCACGCGTTACCAAAAGCGTCTGTCCGTCCTCCGCTTGTCCCGCGACTTGGTAGACGACACCGTGTGCATCGGCTATAGTAACCAGATTGGGCGTATCGTCCGTCACTTTTCTCTCTTCCGGTATCTTATCTTCAGTCTTGGCTTCGGCCGACGTTACTGACATAGTAACGGTGGATGTCGCCGCTGTAACAGTCGACAAAGCCGTAGTGATGGATGTTTCAGCAGGGCTTGTGTTTTCTGTCAAAGGCGCGGATGTGGGAGCGGTTGGTACAGCTGGTATTGCAGGAGCAGTATCGTCCAAACATGGCAAATCCGGTGCGGGCACCGCTACGTTCGATAGATTAATTTGCGCTGTTGTTTCACCGGTTTGGACAATGGTACCGGTTGTTCCGCCAGGACTCATCTCGACTCTCATAATACCGCTTTCTGTGAGCGAGTCGAGAGAAGGTAAGACCAATTCGGCGGCGGTGGAGGCAGCAGCGGTGGCGGTGGCCGTAGCGGTGGCGGTGGTGATAGTGGTAGTGCTGGTGACGGTAGTACTAGCTGTAACGTTGCTGTCTGTCGCGCTCGTACTTTCAGACACAGGAGTGCTTGTTTTCATCGTAGTCGATAGCGTCGCCGCGTTCGAAGGGGATATAGTTGGCTCGGGCTCGGGTTGTTGTTCCACCGCTTGCTCGATCGGCTCACCGTCCGGACCAATTATACGTCCCGTGAGAGGGCATAATGTAAATGGACGCGGTGGACTGTCAGGCTCGGGAGCTGTAACGTTGTCCGATTCGGCGGGAGGAGGTGGCAAATCGGGCTCGCCTTCGCTGCTACTCTCTTCCGATCCGACTTCGTGAAACTCCATGTGAAGCCCATCACCTTCGGCCAGTTTACTCTCCTTGAGTTTTGTTGCTGCTTGAGTAATCGGCGAAGGTGTCTCGCCTACTTTTGCCCTTCCTCGTGCCGCAGTGGCACCTGCACGTGCACCTGCCAAAAGTCCACGACCACCCGGCTTAATTAAACCTGCTGCCTCTTGGGCTTTTCTCTTTGCCATTAATAACTTTTGTTGCGGAGATAACAACGATTGCGCCTTCCCCACTGGCGTTTTCGGAGATGGTTTTGTTTGTGCTTGTTGTTGTACTGGACTAGTTCCAGTTTTCATCACCTGTTTGGATTGCGCGGGCGATTGCGTCGTAAGCACTGTGAATTTCGGCCTGATTTGCGCGATCGGCGTGCTGGTGGCGCTCGGCGAAACCGACTGCGCGCTTATGACGGTCGTCGTGGCACGTTTCTGCAATACAGGACGCGTCGCTTGCGTTTGAATTTGTCGCGGTGCCGGTGCTTTGACAGGCGTACGAATGGTACCGAGAACGCTCGTTGCTGTTGTCGCGCGCAACGCTGGTCTAGGTAACAGCGGACGACCGTCCGCCGTTCGTTGAGGCGTCACGGAAGCGGGTCTTATGCCCGTAGTTATTCTCGGCTGCAAAGCTATCGGTCCCGACATTGCAGTCACAACATGTATTTGTTGCAATTGCGTCGGATCTGGTTTTGGCTGTATCTTTATAGGTTCTGTCTTTTGCACGCTTCCTGGCGTTTTCGCCGCAATGGATTTGGAGGTGACTACTTTCATCTGCGTTACTACCGGACTCCCATCCATCTTCGAAACAACTTTCATCGCAGGAGTCATTGAATTCGATTGCGACGTCGAGATTACTTGCTTCCTCGCTATATTGTCCCGATTTTGAACCATTAACACGCCTTGCGTCGTCGGGGATCCTTTGACCGCCAGTTTTCCGCTGGGTGACGAATCTAGCTTAATGATACCATCTTTTCGCGACATGACGTAAACGCCAGAAGTTAAATTTGGCATCTGTTTAGGATCGACTTTAACAACTCCCTTAGCATTGGCTACTAAAACAGGTGGCTGGCTAGATTTTGCTCCATCGGGAGATTGTAATCCTAATGAGGTTGCTAAATCCGTGGATGACACTGACGCTCTGTTGGATCCGTTAGACTGCGCGTTAGCGCGATTGAACGCCCGTTGAATCACATCGCTACGGCCCATTCTTGAATCACTATCCGATTCTCCAGTCCATTCGTCGTCGCTGCCCGTATCGGCTTTGATTCTCTTCGCAGCGCTGCTTCCACCATCTTCCGAATCGCTCTCCGAATCATCGATCCTCCTTTTACCTAATACTATATTTTTAACACAGACACATATATTATTTTTAAAACAATTATGCAGTTAGTTTGAAATAAAGATTAGGAAAAATTTTGTTACTTAAAAAAAAATATATATATATTACATACATTCGTTATCTTCCTCTTTCATTGAACCACACCACTGTTTGACTTGGTCCATTGCTTTTGATTTACTAGATCGCATTGGTCGCCTATATGTACAAAGCAGCAAATTAAAATGGATAAATTGAATTTTTTTATTATTACATTTCATCGATTATAAAAAAGCAAAGCCGTTCTCACCCCACTTGACTCGCTGTACTCGGTCCAGGTTTGCTAACTTCAGTTTTCATCACCGGTTTTTGTGCCGATAAACTTACACGCCCTACGATTTTTGTATTAGTTTGTTGTTGAGCTGCTTTAAGCTCCTTTTGCTTTGCGAGATTCCGCTCAAATTCTTCCAACATATTTTTGCAAGTTGCTACAGCCTCTGCAGACTCCCATGTATTATTTTCGCTATAAAGTTTTATACATTTTAAACCTTGTTCTTAAAACTCTTGAAAACTAAGAAAATTGCATCCGATAAGATCGATAGGATTCACTCACTGTGAGTAACCTTCCCATTTGATTAAATATTCCGAGCATCTTTTTTTTGGATTAAGACGTTTAGCTAAAATTTTCTCGACAACATATTCTTCGTTGCTCGATTCCGCGTCTTCTTCAGTAGCTGTCTTGCCAGATTTGTTCTACAGAAATATAAAAAAATAAATAAAGTAAATTCGAAAACATATATATTTTTATGCACATGTAAATGATGTAAGACCTTGGGCTTAATCGATGGTTTCAATTTTGGTTTTTCTTTTTTGTCCGCTTCAATTTCTATAGATTCATTCTTTTGTGTTTTTGTTTCTAATAATTTTGTAGTATCTTTTTTAGTTTCGTTTGTTTCCTCCGGTTGTCCATTTCTGATAATTTTGCGAACAATTATCGGTTTGGCACCTATATTTAGGCATTATAAATACTTGCTCTCTGTACTTTTATTTATTGAAAGTGCACTATTATTATATATATTACCTTCATTAGTATTTGTTTGAACTTGTATCGGGGTATCCTGCATCTTTGCATTACTAATTTTTGTAAAAGTCTGTATAGTCTTCCCTGCTGTGATCCATGAATCTCTTATATGCGTGTCCATCTTACACCATTTTTGGTACAATTTCCAAGCATTGGTCGTATCCTTGTCGATACCTTCTTGTTGGATTTGCGAATCTTTCCATAATAAAAATGCCCAAACTTGTGCTTTTTGTCCATTCTGTAAGTTTTATATTAATCTTGCAAAAAATTCGTATAATTAAATTAAACCATGGAGATGTAAAAAAATTCTAAACGTGAAAATACAAACATTTTCGTTATTTTCACGAAAATGTGACACTTTGGAGCAAGCTCCCTCCTTTGTACGATGTTCTTGAAACTCCTCGATAAAGTGAAAGACGGAATGACACTGTCCGCACACTAATACATCTAAACGTCCCATTTGCTCTTGCGCCGCTGAAAAAGGTAGACATAGGGAAAAAATGAGAAAGATATAAATGACAGCAATTGTAGCATAAAGGTGAGAAAAGAAACCAAGATACAACATATGCGTGGAGGTAAAATTATATTGTACGTAGCCTTTTCTTCTCACAAAGTGAAAAAGAAATAATCTTTAAGTATGTAAAAAAAAAATCCTATTTTAATTATATCCAATTCCAAATAATAAATCAACTTCCCCAAAAAAGTACAAATTATAAAAAGTGTGTGCATAAACCTAAATATAAAGCTAAATGCTAGATGGAGCACTTACCTTTGATGACCGTAGGTTTATTACTGACAGTCGAAGGGCCATCGTCTCCCTCCATTCTGTATAAGTTTGTCTCGCAATCTCTTTTTCTAGAAATTCCATAAAAGTATCGTTAAATAAATGGTTAAAAGTATACTTCTGTTATTGAATAAAATGGTTTTCGAAATTGCGCGCGATCGAAAAGAGGAATCGAGTTTTTCTTTTTTTTTCTTTACGAGCGCAAACCGGCTACAACGAAATTTGGCGAACCTTGGAGTTTTCGCTAGTCTTTCCGAAGAAAGTGAAGGAGACGATCGCCGGTATTCTGCGAGCGATCTACGATATAAAATTAAAGTACACACCTCAAAACACGCCGGCGACTAGCGATCGAACAGTGAGTATTTTTCTCTCTCTCTCTTCCCCCAAAGGAGACACTCGCGCCGATCGTTTTACAGCTTACGAGGATTCTCGTGCACGCGCGCTTACATTACACTTGGCGCGCGCAATCGCGCATCGTTCCATGCCCGATGGCCCGATGTGCGTACGCATTCCGCCGATACCAGAGATACTTAGCTACGTTACTTGTTTTTTTTTTTTTTTTTTTTTGCCACTGTTTAAATGAAATACATATTTCCCGGACAAGAATGATAGGCGATTATTGTAAACGCGGCCAGTTGCGGAGTAAATTCCAAACGAGGGAGAAACGAGAGAAGAACACTCACGTAGACTTGTAGTTATTCCCGCCACGAACCGCTGCAGTCTTATCTTACGCGAGCTATATATTGTAACGAGTGCGAAAATGATTTTCCCCCGAGATATATATGCGAGATATCCAATGGCGATCGAGATACAAATGGTGCCGTCTCGGTGTTGTTTCTTTTTTTCCTCGTTACTATTATTATTATTATTCTAATACGTCGTTGTCGTCGTTGTCGTTGTCGTCGACGGCACCCCGGCAAGCTCTCGACGTCTCCTCTGTCTCTAACGAGCAAGCCGATGCTCGTCAAAGATGGCTCTCGTCGCCGAAACTCTTCTATGAAAGTTACTCACTTCCTGTCTTTACGTGAATGCTTTTCGAACACACCGTGACACGCGCGCTAACGCGATTAACGACGCGATCGCGGAAGTAGACGAGCGATGTTCACTTACGCACGACGAAGCCGGTGAACGGCTAGATTTTCCTCAGTCTGGAAAATTGCTCGTCGTCGTGTGAGGCAAGACGAAAAACAGCGACCGCGTCGGCCGACAGTGGCGCCATGGCGGCCCGTGGCTGCTCTGCCTCTGCTGCCTGTCTGTGTCTGTGTCTGTTACCCGGCCGCGGTCTTGCTCTTGCTCGATCTCGAGCGGATGGATTTTGGCGGGAAACTTCATCGTCGAAAAAAAAACAGAAAAAAGATCCGAGTTTCGACCTTTTTTTTAATCTACTATTTACTCGGGCGATAATTCGTATAGCTTTTGACAGTTTGAACAAGCTCTTCTCTACGCTCTGCGAATACTATCGCTTATACGAATCTACCGCAAATGGCACACACACACACACATCGTACATACATGTATTAAAAACAACACGCGTACATGGTGATGCCGCACACCATTGCACCCTCGGTAGCTGATACATAATCGTCCATGTGTATGCTTGTATACACATTTTTCAAGTCGGACACTGCCTTGCCATATCCGTTATATATTTCAAAGTGTTTTCGAAATAAATTTATGTTTTCATTATATATCTCCATTGTAGTCGCCTCTCTTATATTTTTACTCGTCATCTCAAGATTTATCACACAGATCATCTTGGGTGAGATATTTTTCAAAGGCTTGTGTTGATTGTCGCTGTATATATAACGTTAACCTATTTTTTTCGATTGTACGACGTTTGTATACCATTGAGAAATGATTTAAAAAGTAAATTTAAATTGACGTTAAGTTGACAACGTTAGAGTAATTGTAGAAAAGAAAGGAAATTTTGCACACTTATTTTAATAAAAGCTTTACAATAAAAAAAAACATGATTTATAATGACATGGACAACATGAAGGTTTCATTATAGTCGATAAATTAATGCCAAAACATTGATTAATGAATATTAACAGACACACATAAAGTTCTGTTTATTTATAATATATCTATTTTTTTACCATAGAATATTTCATCTCGCAATAAATTATGGCAGAGGAAGAGTCTGAGGAAAAGGAATATCGCTGGGAGACTGGTTACGAAAAGACATGGTATGTTTCCAAACTGAAAATTGTCTTTATGTTTAATGTTGATGTTCTCTTTTTGTAATATAAATATGTAAATAAAAATTTTACATCTAACCGCTACTATTATCCAACATACTTTTTACACAGGGAAGCGATCAAGGAAGATGACCATGGATCGTTGGAAGCATCCGTCGCAGATATTATTCATAATGCTAAGAGAAAACGTCAGTTGGAAAGAAAACAGGGTGCCCGATTAGGGATGATGAGACATCTTTATGTCATCTTAGACGCATCCGAATCAATGTCCAATCAAGATTTGAAGCCAACTCGATTCCTATGTTCCCTAAAGGTATAACAAAATATTATATCCATTATTTTTACTCATTTTATGTAAAAAAATGTACGCTTACATATTCAATATTTGCCTCAAGCTTTTAGAAGACTTTATCGAAGAATTTTTTTATCAAAACCCTATAAGTCAATTAGGTGTGATTATAACTAGAAATAAAAGGGCTGAGAAGATTAGTGATTTGGCTGGTAATTCAAAGAAGCACATTAAGGTAATTTATTTTATTCATTATCTCGTTTGAAATTCTAATCTAATTTATTGTATTATTTGTAGGAATTACGAGCATTACATCAAACTGTAGTAACGGGTGAACCTTCCTTGCAAAATTCTTTAGAATTGGCTACAAAGTCGTTGAAATTGTTACCGGCTCACGCTAGTAAAGAAATATTGATAATTATTGGGGCTCTTACTACTTGCGATCCGGGAGACATCAATGAAACGATACGAGTATGCGCTTTGTTGTACTTGTATATAATTATACTTGTTTGAAAATTTCTCTTGACATGGAGATTGTTTCAGAATATGAAATTGGATGGTATCAGATGTAGCGTAATAGGATTGGCCGCCGAACTATACATTTGTAAACGAATGGCAAATATTACTGGTGGCGAACACGGTGTTGCGCTCGACGATAAGCATTACAAAGAGCAGTTGAACGCACATATAGATCCTCCACCTGCCGCAACGCGATTAGACGCAGCGCTTGTGAAAATGGGCTTTCCTCATCATGCCTTACACTCCAGCGCATCGGACACATCTATGACAGTGTGCATGTGGTAAGTGTAATTTAGAATTGTAATTAGAATAATAAATGCACTTTTATATTTTTCTACGCATTTGTCTATATGTGTTGAATGACACTTTAATATATTAGGCTTAATAATATAACAGTATTAAATTAATAATATTGCTTTTTTTCTTTTTTATTACAGCCATGCAGAAAACTCTGATGAATCTGTAAAACTTATGAATACTGGCTATCTTTGTCCGCAGTGCTTCAGTAAGCATTGCGAGCTCCCCGTCGAATGTAGAGCTTGTGGACTTACTTTAGTATCTGCGCCGCATTTAGCACGGTCGTATCACTATTTATTTCCTGTCGAACCTTTCAAAGAAGCTACATTCGAAGGCAGCCATTCTTTCTGCTTTGGTTGCCAAAAAACTTTTACACAAAAGGATAAAAAGGTATTGTTATTTGTCTCTTACTTTTTTTTTTTTTGAATACTTTTATTACAAATTTGAATACTTTTCATAATAACAAGATAATTTTGTTAAAATTAAAAACTTGTACGATAAAAAAACAACAAACGTTTATTGTAGAAAGATGGAGATATACTCATAAATGTATATATTAAAGTTTAAAAAAAGATATCTATATATAAAATTGAAAAGAATCTTGCAGTTTTTTTGAAACATTTGAAAAAAATCAAAATATAACTAATATTTAAATATTTAAAATAATAAGAATAATGTGTCATGTGTATTTTTAGGTTTATACTTGCGAAAAATGTAATCGAACATTTTGTCTAGACTGTGAGATATTTATTCATGAAATGTTACACACATGTCCTGGTTGTGCGACAAATCCTGCAACATACAATAAATCAACAGATAGAGCCTAAAAAAATTTGTTTATTATAAATTTTAGATAAGCAATAAAAATAATACTACATGTAATGGAAATGTGTATTAATCGACTTAATAGTATTAATACACTGGAAATAAGATGGTAAATATGAATGAAAACGTATGGAAACACATTATTCCAGCTTAACACATTTATCGATAAACATATTCCAGCTGACTTTCCGTTCATGCTCCTCGATAGGATTATTTTTTATATTATAGCTTCATCTTGATATGTACATGTAATCATTTTTGAAATTTAAATAAGTAAAAATATTAATTTCTTTACTAATATTATTCTGTTACGTTTTTTTATTATTATTAAACATACATAAGTTGCTTTCCATTTACATCAAAACTCAGATAAATCTCACTTCTGTCTTTCTTTAACGTGGATATTGAAGAAAGACAGAAGTGAGATTTATCTGAGTTTTGATGTAAATGGAAAACACAACTATAGTCATAATGTTACAAATGTAAATAATTATGCATATTAGATATATTGTATATCGTAACGCATCACAATGACGGCTACCGATGAAGGTCACCGATAATCGACGAGACATAAACGGAAACTCAGTGCCGATTAGCGGTGACACCGCTATGACGCTATGAATGTATCTATTATACATTTTTTTAAACCAAACAATGTAATATTTTTCTGAAATATTTACACGAGTAGTTTTTATTGATATAAGAAAATTTGTATATGTGTGTACATACACGTCTTTACACGAACGCAATAGCGCAGCAAAACAAAATCTATTCTCTTAAAGTCGTTTAAGATATATTTTTTACATGGATTATGTACTATATATTGCATTATGTCTATGGTTTTATCTTTGATAAATCCGAGTAGTAAAATGAAATTTATACAAAAATGCGCTGTCCCAAAGGGAACAAATAAATCAAAATGATATCCAAATTTGGACATCATTTTGACTTTCTGTTCCCCTTGGGGAGAGACACGACTTTGAAAGACATGTACTTGTTTACGCAATCGATTTATTTCTATTTAGAATACAAATATCCAAGTGTCATTGGTATGTACGTGACTGGGATTTTGCGGCAACAAGTATAACACTCCTAACGCAGCGCAAACGTTCTACAATCATATGGTGGGGGAGCATTGAAACTTATTACTACTCAGACAGGTGGAAAGTGAGTATCGCGAGAGATTATAGTACGTTACTAATTTGCAATCGTCCGTCAATGAGCCAACCGTTGTTTCAAATTCACGCGTACGTAATTGATTTTGCATCATTCATCTTATGTTGATCAAATCTAATCGGGTACGACCATCCAATTTGTGCTGGTATTTTCATTTTATCTTAGGAGTTGGGTAAGTCCGTTTATATCGTCATGCGAATGTTCTTATTTTGAGGATTTTAACGTCTCAAAGCTAGTTTGTTTTATTTGTTTTAGAAATGTTTTTTTATTAAAGGTTTTTGTAATAAAAAGAAAGAGAGAGAGAGAGAGAGAAAGAAAGAAAAAAAAAAGAAAGAAAGAAAGAAAGAAAGAAAGAAAAGAAAAAAAAAGAAAAGGGGACGTGTCATCACATGGATTGACAATGTTAATTGGAATGTAAACATTATTGTCACATATGTTTCGCGCATAATTATTTTGTGAAAATTAATCAGAGATAGGGATAAATGAATACATATATATGTATATTTATTTGGAAAGCAATCAAATATATATATATATATATATATATATATATATATATATCAAAAATTGTACAAGGTTGAATGTGAAACTGTCATTGCGCGCGTTTTACTTATTTTTAATAAGACGTGAGTTGTAAATCACAAAAAATATACGTTCTCTGTCCTCTAGAATTACGCGCAAACTTGCAAATAAGTTTTAATTGAGAAAATGTTTTAATAGAGTTGTCTAAAATAATATTTTGTCTTCCTTTTCATTGCCAATAATTGCATATTTTATATATATAATGATTGAAAAAAATGTTTACAAGACATATCGTTCACGACAACAATTAGATTATATAGCCAAATACGCGTACATTAAAAAGGATTAATTTAAAAGTCTCTTTTGTCAGACATTTAAACAGGTATACATACATAAATGACTATCGGTAGTACCTAATCACCAGTTTATGGGAGACGTTAAATAACTCAAGGTCTATTCAATTTGTAACAGGAAAACTAGAAAAAGTCGGCGTAATAATTTCCGTAGAATGTTTTTTCTTGAATTTTATAATTTTGCAATCGCATATATCATCTGTATACATATATGCAGGATTGTCACGATAATTGCTGTTGCTTTGAACAAACGCAATAACGTGTATATATTAAAACCTTGAATCCAAAGATTCTTGATAATTATTATTTTTATTTTAACATCAACGAGTATTATAAATCAAAGTATCTACTCCGTAAAAAATTCTCAGAGAATTTTGTTTTTTGAAAAATCGGCGAGTTCTTGTCTGGCATGAATGGAATTTACCAAAACTTGGGGAATTATTCTTTTTTTAATGATTAATTTTGCCTTTATTTTACACATAATCTATCAAAATCGACCAAGTTGGCAATCAGTGACATATTTAAACATATAACAGTATATGGCGGGCATCGCAAGCTGCGAATTTGCATTTTTGTTTACATATTATAATTTTATTTTATAATATATTAGTTAAAATATATAGAGATTAAAATTCTTGATAATTCTTGGTAATGAAAGGATGAAAATTAATCTAAATGGGAAAAATGCTTGTTTCGACGAAAGCCACTTTTTATAATTTTTTTTTAAATCTAACATTTGTAATTCGAAAATAGCTGTTCTACATTTTTCCTTCGTGATTGTATATGAATAGAGAAAATCTTAAAGAATTAGGTTTACGAAATTTGAATAAACATCCCGAATAAATAACGATACTATGAAAGAGAATGTAACGAAAGATTTTCTTAATGCATGTGAAAAGGGAGAATTGCCCCGATTTTTTATTTCTATGGATAATTCAAGTAGACTGCTATTATCAAAGACTTTGCTCTTTCTTTAGATAAAGGCAACATAAAATTAATCGTTAGTAACGTTATAAGAAGAATATAATCTAGTTGATTACTTTTTAACATTAATCTTTTAATAATTCTAACATTACTCTTAATAATTAGACCCGATAGATTAAATTGTTCTTTTTAATAAAATAAACTTTATCTCTCTCTCTCTCTCTCTCTCTCTCTCTCTTTCTGTGACACTTTAGTCAAGACATATAGATAAAATTTATAGATAAAATTGTTTAGATCGATAAAGCACCTTTTTCTTAAATGTAATCTAATCCGCTTGTATGAGTAAAATTATTATGCGCGTATGCAATTCTTAACGTGACATCAAATGAGTAAAAGACAACTAATAATTATTTATTCTCTCGAGCTTAAGCGATTTGATTCAAGGCAAGCGCGTTGTATAAACGCGACGAGAGGGAGAACCTTGTGTTTGATTTTATACGCGATTATCAGCCGTTTGCTCATACTTTTAATTAAAATAAGATGTATGTTTTTAATACAATATATTAAAATATCTTGAAATATATACATATATATTAGAACCTATTTGGATCAATTATTGTTATATTTTACTGTTATTAATTATACGCGCACTTTTTTTTTTAATGAAATTACTTTATCCTTTATAATTGTGTAAATATGACCTGACCGCGAAAATTGCTCAATTTCACGAAGAAAATGCGTACATATATTTGCGTTATATATACATCTCAACAATTGCTAACGATTATGTTTTATATACACACACACACATATATATATATATTTGCAAAAGCGATCAGCAGGCAGATATCTGAACATAAAATTTGATATTGACTGTCGTATAATTGACTAAGATTATATTTTTACAACATTTACTGCTATAAAAAGATAAGATTTTTCTCGCGTATTGTGTGTGAGAAAATATTGGATTGTGTGTTTGTCGAAAACACATGATAAATTGGATCATTCGCAAAACAAGTTTTCGTTGCTCAATCAGATTTCTAGACTCAGATTCCTGCCAGAGCATATGTATATGTATTGTTATATAGTTTGAATATTATTGTTGGAGTTTCAAAAAATGTATTTGTACCCTTGATCTTTATATATATATATATATATATATATATATATATATATATATATATTTTATACAATATATATATAGCTCTACGTATTGTAAAAATTCAAATTTTATGTATATTAATATAAATCAAGTTTTGAACAAAAAAATGATACGAAACGAACGTACAGAAAATATATATTATAAACGAACGGAGAGAAAGTGACATCAAGGTTGAATGTTTTGCAAGTAACAACATTTAATCAGATTTGCGTCATTTGATTACTTTTATAAAAACTGAGATTTGTAGATTATTTTTGATAAAAGAAAGGTTTTTCGTTCTGAATTTTTACAATTACTTGCTGATATGTATTTGATTAAATATTTTGTCTAATTCGATTATTAGGTCTAATTTTAATCTAATTAGGAGTCGTGACAAGTGGAATATCTCGATGATAGTTTTTCTGCTATCGCATAAAATATCCATCAAGCGGAAAAAGAAAAGTTATTATTTCATCTGCTCGCCGCGGTTTGTCTCTTCAATTGACGTCGTTGCGCAATATTGTGTATTTTGCAAGAGTCCTTGCTAGAAATGTTGAGTTTCTTGAATTGTATATAGCATAAAGTAACGATGTGTTTTAAAAAAGAAACATTCGTATATGCGAGTGCGTGCATTACCTTTTTACACAATTTTTAAATTGAATATGTGTACATATATATACGTTATTGTTATATAGGTAACTATCATCGGATCATCATTTCGATACGATATGAATCGATTGTGGAGAACATTGACGCGAAAACGCGTAGAAAAGGAGAACGACGAGGCAAAAGATGAACAATTGGCACGGGTCCTTGGCCTATTCGATTTGACTGCACTCGGCGTAGGCGCGACTCTTGGCTTAGGAGTTTACGTTCTTGCCGGAAGCGTGGCCAAAGACACTGCTGGACCTGCCGTTTGTATCTCTTTCCTCATAGCTGCCATCGCGTCCGCTTTCGCAGGTAAAACAAATATCTCGCAATTAATATCACCCAACTATATAAAATGTACCTTATTTACATATGTATATGTAATATGCTTTCCAATAAACAATCGCTACTCTGAAGTCTTTCAATCTTTCAGCTTGTAAAGTATAGATCCGTGTAGATGTGAAGAATGGCGATGAGATTTTAAAGCTATCTTATGTGTATTAATATGTTATGATACGTTTCGCTTTTGTACGACGAGATAAAATACTCTTTCTTGTGTTGAAAATATTTGCGCCAAATCTGCATTTTGTGCGGAGATATTAAATATCGATAAAAGAATTCTTACGACAATCGTCGCATTAAAAATTAACGAATCTCTGTGAATATAAAAACTTGTTCGAAGAATTTGCGTTAAAGTTTGGTAGACGTTGTCCAATTGTGCAACAATATATACATATACAATAATATATGGAATATATGTGTGTAATGTCTGTATTTTACATGCAATTCAACTGTAGGTACATTATTGTAGGTATGTGTTACGCGGAATTTGCATCCAGAGTACCAAAAGCCGGTTCAGCGTATGTTTATAGTTATGTAACAGTAGGAGAGTTTATCGCCTTTGTGATAGGATGGAATTTAATTCTAGAGTACGTAATTGGTAAGTATGTGCGAAAAGAGGCAATTTATTTACATACAATTTACGATACAATAATCGATATAATTATTTTTTTACAGGTACAGCGAGCGCCGCTCGTGGACTTAGTAATTATATCGACGCATTAATAGGAAATGTTATGGGTAACACTCTGCATTCCTTTATGCCTATAGATATTTCCTTTCTGTCAGAGTATCCTGATTTTTTCGCATTTGCGATGGTTATGCTACTAGTAATACTGTTGTGCATAGGAGTAAGGGAGTCGTCGATCTTAAACAATATATTTACCGTTGTAAACTTGATAACGATTGTGATTGTTATTATCGCAGGATCGATAAAAGGTAAGCCGGTAAGTTTAGTCGCATCTATACATCTTATTGTTAGATCCTCATATTTTCCTTTATGCGAGAAAGAGAGAGAGAGAGAGAGAAAGATAGTAAGCAAGTCGCGCGCTTTGCTCCGAGTCGCTCTTTCTTTTTTGAACATTGTACCGTATACTGAAAATGTAAAAATCGTCAAAATATTTTTTACAAGGTTTTGTACATCTCTTTCTCTCTTTTATAGTTTCAGAAATAAATTCTTGATCGCATCATTATACATATATACTTATGTATTTGTAGCGGATTTGTCAAACTGGTCCATCGCACCCGAGGAAATTCCAACGTCCGTGAAAAACGGCGGAACCGGCGGATTTATGCCATTCGGTGTCAGCGGAGTGATGATCGGAGCGGCCAAGTGCTTTTACGGATTTGTTGGATTCGACACCGTCGCTACCACCGGCGAAGAAGCAAAGAATCCTCAGCGTCACATTCCTCTAGCGATCGTCCTATCCTTAATTATCATATTCGTAGCGTATTTTGGCATCTCCACGGTCCTTACGATGATGCTGCCTTATTACGCTCAAGTACGATTCGAAAAACTTAAGTAATTGGAAATTAAAATCTAAATACACGGGTTTAAAGGCTGAAAACTTTTTCCTCAGAACGCAGACGCGCCGTTTCCGCATGCATTCGACGAGATCGGATGGCCTGTCATTAAATGGATCGTCAACATCGGCGCGGTATTCGCGCTATGTACTAGTCTCTTGGGCGCAATGTTTCCTTTACCGCGTGTATTATATGCCATGGCTAGTGACGGAGTAATATTCAAGACTCTCTCCAAAGTGCATTCTAAAACTATGACGCCTATATACGGCACGGTACTCTCTGGTTTACTTATCGGTTAGTGAAAGTCTGGATTTGAAAAAAATGTAAATCGAGATACGAGATATATTCTTCTTAATTTACTCTTGTAATAATTTTGATAAAAATTACTGCATGTTCTAGGTTTTATGACACTTGTCTTCAATTTGCAGCAATTGATCGACATGATGTCTATCGGGACTTTACTAGCTTATACAATAGTAGCGATATGTGTCTTAATATTAAGGTAACGGTTCGTTTGTAAACATTTTGAGTGAAACTTATATATATAATATATATTTATATACATATATACACATACACGTACAAGTTTCCATTTTGTAGATATCAAAAGGATGAAAACTCTAGCAACGTTACTGCTATACCGTTAATGAACGATTATCCATTTACATCTGTAAATATATTTAAGGAATTATTTAATTTGCACAATCAGAAAGAACCAACGGAGCTTTCTAGTAGAATCGCAAATATCGGCATCGCCTTACTTTGTGAGTTTATGCAGATTGATATTGTATATACAATGTTATAGAACATATAGCATTTACTGAAATATGATAAATGTGATATATATAGCTATTTATAGCTATTTAATAGATATTGAACTCTAAGAATTTAATATACTCGCTAATCATTACAGGTATCATTATATGCATCATTACATTTATGATTAATAACATGAGCACGCATTTGCTCACAGGAAATTTGGTAATATCTGTGATACTAGTTGTATTCGTGATTGTTCTTTTCTTGAATTTAGCCGCGGTTGGTAGGCAACCGGTACAAAAGACTGAATTGTCTTTCAAGGTAAGAAAAGGACGTGTCAAAAGTACAAATTATTTCATTATGTAAGCACGTTGGAAAATCTCCTATTTCTCTCTCTCTCTCTCTCTCTCTCTCTCTCTCTCACACACACACACACACACACACAATTTAATGAATTTTTGTCTATACAGGTACCTCTCGTTCCACTTATTCCTTGTCTCAGTATTTTTATAAATGTATATTTAATGTTTCAATTAGACGTCTTTACATGGATCAGATTTGGTACTTGGTTGCTGATTGGTAAGTCCTAAGTAAAAAAAAGTTATTTCAAAGGAACAATTATAATCTAAATGATTGATCAAATGTTAACTTTCTATTTCTAATTTCTTACAGGATTTTGTATTTATGGTTTTTACGGAATTAACCACAGTGAGCAAGGGAAAAGAGATAGGGCAGAAAGCAAAAAATTACAGCAAAAGTATGTCGAAAAGTTTAGAATAGTGACATCATTTTGATCATCAAATTTTTACACGCCCGCGTACACACACATACACATACACATGTTTAAACCGTTCGTTTTAACCACTCAAAAACAGCAAGAATAATTAAAAATAGTTTGACTATTTCAGATACAAAAAATCTAACATCATTTTTAATATTTAATTGAAAAATATTTTTTTTAATGATTTTCACAATATATAATTATACAGAGTGGCCCCGAACGTTCCAGCCAGACTTTGAGATTTTATAGGAAATTTAATTCTGAACAAAAAATTTCTTATAAACATGGGTCGAAAAATGCTTCCTTAAGAAGTTATCGCTCAAAAATCTCTGAAATCGTGATTATTTTACACATTTTTCCAAATATCATGAAAAAGAAAATGTACGTCTTTTAACAAAAAGTATCGAAACAAAAGTTGTAGAAATTTAAATTATCTTTCAAATGAGATCAAAATGATTGTTGTACATTCCATAGATTTTGATATAACGTCTTCATTCGTTCATTTCATTCAAACGTATTCATTTTCTACTATTACGTACTATTTTAGTTAAAAAAAAATTATTTTATTTTCATAAAAGAAAATTTTTATTTTTTTTGTTATATCGTTTTTTTTTTTCAAGAAATTTATTAAGTCTCATTTTCTTTTCACTATTTGCTCTTCCTTTTACATTTCATTTTCTTTTTACCTTATGTTCTACCTTTATCGGAGATTTTTGAGCGATAACTTCTTAAGGAAGCATTATTCGACCCATGTTTATACGAAATTTTTTGTTCAGAATTAAATTTCCTATAAAATCTCAAAGTCTGGCTGGAATGTTCGAGGCCACCCTGTATATATAAAACACATGCAGTTTGCTATATTATATAACAAAATCTTAAAATATTAGTTTTTTATTTCAGCTATTGTCTTTCAAATCATTTTCTCTATTAAGAATGATGTAATAAACATCATCTCTTTATTTTTTTTTAATTTTCTAATTATATATATTTATTATACGATGTCTATATGTATACAGATATTTATGTATTTTCTATCATTAACAAAATAATATAATAGTATTTATATATATATTTTTATAATACACAATGGTAAAATAATATAGCATTAACAAGTATTAATAATAATAGCAATAAATGTTACATAATAAAGAAGCACATTTCATTTATGTGTGATATTTATTTATAAAATAGAAATAACATGTGCTCTTTACATTGGCAAAATAAGAAACAAATGCATTGATACAGAATGATGTTTTTAATACATTGATAATATAACTGGAATAGTTAATATAATACAGTATATGTAATATAATTGTATATAATTAATTTTTTCTAAATAAAGCCTCATATTACAACAATGTCTTACTATTTAATCTTTTTATCTTACAACATATTAAATATTAATTATTATATGTAGTATTAAATAAAATTGACGATTCGTTATAAGAAGATTGCAACACTGAGCACATTGATTATAATAATAGCAATAGCAAACTATAGCAATTTTTTGAAGCATAAAAATTAATGAAAGCTTTTCGATATTGCTTCAATTTGTCACAATCACTGGAATGTTTTTATATCAAAATAATATTTTACTGTACTTATACGAAGTATATTTTGTTTTTACTATTTCGTTAGAACAATTATAACAATTGTCTGTTTATTATTTTTAATATCTCGAAGATATTAAAAAATGACAAAACATTCATTATAAAACGTAATAAGGATTATTGTGAATTTTATTAAAATATATATTGATGCAAATAAAATTTAATAAAGGTAATTTAAATTATACAAATGAGCGTGTATACATACATATATATATATATATATATATATATATATATATATATATATATGTATGTAACGAATATAGCCAAAATTGTTTCTTCTGCACTTTTAAATTTATGCAATTTTAAAATCCCGACATAATATCTTTAATTCATGAGTTTTTCCTTTTGACATGCAAAAATTACAAGATGAGTTATACACAATCTAATTTAAAATGTAATTATCAAGTGTTTGTGTATTAATTTTTAAAAGAATTTAATGCTCTTTATATGTATTTGTTTTGTATGGAAATCATGCTGCGCAGGCATATAGATTCGAAGACTAAACTGTTGAATTTGTTACTTTGTTATCGAAAAAAACATATCAAAGATATTTTTTCATTACAGATATAAAAATGCTCTTACTGTTACAGTTGCCAAAAAAGAGTAATTATTATCGCGGTAGAAGTACCATTACAACTAATAGATAGTGCTAATAGGTATACTTACCAATCTTGTATGCACGTACATATGTTGTGTATGTATATGTGTGTTTGTGTGCGTGTGTTTGCTCGTGTATGTGTATTGTGCGTGCGTGCGTTTGTGTGTGTGTCATATATTATTTTACTTTCCACCCATCTCTACTTTTTTAGAGCTTTCCTTATATTCAGACAAATTTCTAATGTGATCAGTGTCAAGTATATAATATAATACATAGTACATATAAGTCATCCTATAGATATAATTACCACCTAAAAATTGGCATAGAGACATTTCTGCATAATGTACGTGTATACATACACATTTTACAAGGCAATTATAAAATTATTATGCTTTATATTACTACAGTATATTGTAAAGTTAGCGCAGATATCACTTTGTTTTATTTATAAGTCCTCCGAGACTTATACTTTGCCAGTTTGCCTGTTAGGAATAAATAAAAATTTTTATGTCTTTTGAGAAATTTGGTGATATTACGAGAGAAAATATCAAAATTAAAAAATTATTCTCTTCCATGTTTCTGATAAATTAATATTAAATTGTATTCAATATTATGTGTACTTTAAAATAAGATATTAGATGATATTATCTTTATCAATATTACTTGTAATATTTAAAAAACGTACTCTTATTTATCTATATTTATTAAAACAGGATTGTATTTTATTCTGGTTCTTATTTTAATTTTATGCTCTTTTATGCTTCTTCTTGTCCAAAATCAATCTTTTTGAAAATTGAAAATTGTTACTTACCCCTATACCAGTTACCCATCCGGTTCCAGCTGGATTTTCATCAGTAACACCAATTCTTCGACAAATAATACCAGCTCCTGAAATTGCCCAAACTTGTCCCTGTTCCCTCGAAATGGATACGTGTCGAAATCCTTGCTTAGCATTTAATACCGACATATCTACAAACGTGTAATTTTATTTCAAGATGTAATGATATAAATATAATAAAATATAAAAAAGAAAAACCTTTTTATACCTATATGAATTGGATCGTTTGGCATAGCGGGTAATGTTTGCCAATGAGTTCCTTCAGGGAAAACATTAGATTGTATCTCCCGGCGCACTGATAATCTACCAATCGTATCTAGAGCCCATACTACATTATATCCTACTGAAATTTGCTTTAATTGAGCTCCTGAAGGAGGTTCGACAGTTTGCCATTGCATACCTACATTATCAACAAAATATTATCCATTTTGAGTGAATAAAGTGAATGATTGAGAAAGGGAGGGGGAAGAAGAAAAAAAAATATATTAAATATGTTAAAGTGTACAAGCTATTAAAAAATAATTGTTATGTATATATTCTGCTATTAATATTTTGTAAATTTGATACCAGTTGGTTTTGCAGCACTAATGCCTAGTCTCCAACAGGAAGAACCATTTTTGCCAACAGCCCATACTTGTCCACATGGACCGCACGATATATTAATTAAAGGCTGGTCGCTTGGTATATGTTCCCATGATACTCCCTAAATAGTATATGAAATATGTTGTAGACAATTGTACAAAAAAGATATTGTTATGCCTCTACTTTAATTATTAAAATATGTATACACAAATGTATACATATGTGTGTATGTTTTATTATATAAATACAATTTAATAGTCATATACCATTGGACAAGATTCCGAAACGCCTCTCCTGAATAAAGCCTCACCATTTGTGGCAACTGCCCAGACATGGATAGGAGCGTCTGTGCCAGGTTTTCCAGTCGCCTAATTAATAAAAAAAACATTTAATATGTTGTCCTTTTTTGAAAGATTTAAAGTTTAAACGATTAAAGACATACATATAAAGAGACATCAACGAGTTTAGTATTTCCTAGTTCTTGCCAAGGTCCGCTGGTTGTTAGTTGACATCTTCTAAACCAACGTCTTCTTCGAACGTAATCGGTAAATTGTTTCTTACCGTGATATTGTGACGGGAAATCAGTAGCGTATTGCCATCCATCTCTATCAACACCGCCGGGTGTGTGAAAGTCGACAATCCAATCTGATATCTTGAAAAATATCGATGTTTAGAAATCATAGAACAAAAAATGTTACAATAGTGAATATTCAACGAAAACGCATAGAGACACTGTATAGATATATAATATTCTCTCACTTTTAAAACTAAAGTCTTTTCCATTTTTTTTACATTTACTTACCCAATGCCAGTGCATTGATAATAACTTTGTATGCTCTCGCGTACATTTGTGCCGTCCAGTTGCATCACTCCACATGTAACGATCTGTTGGAAGTCCATGCGCGGTATATCCAGTTACTGGATTCCAACGTTGATTTTCGTATACGTAATAATTGTGGGTATCTACCATTGTATTTATTCCAGTATTGCTAGTTCCTAGGCCTATATATTATTTTTTCACATTAACATTTTGTGCCAAGTTCGAAATAGAAGTTTAATTCAAGTTAGACAATTATCGCACAATAATCGCTATCAAAATATTGAAATAATTTTACAATTGTTTTCTTTCCTTTTCCTTTGTAAAATATGTTTTTATCATAAAAACTGATAGAATACCTTTTAGAAACGAACCTCCCCAACCACTTGTATATACCCAAGCGGTACTATCGTAGCCGATGCCCCAAGTGACGCCTACAGAACATGTCTCAACTTTTTTTAAATGTCCACCAATTTGTCTCCAAAACATCGTGCTAGGTTCAATAATTACCTGTTCAAAAGCAAAATATTCATTAATTGTTAACTAGATAATCAACGACACAAATAATAAACTCTACTTACAAATGTGGACTTATATGTAATACTACTTAAAGTCAGCAGTCCTTTAATACGTAAATGTGTAATACTTTGCGGGTTTATTCGATGACTATAAAAGATATATTCGCTACCATTAATATAGATTTTATAACCGCGTTCTTCACAAACTATGTTTAACGTGAAATCACAACCCGCTTTTAATGGACTACCTCCATTTCTTTCCTCATCTCCCCATTGACCATTTTGATATGTATTTCGTACGATAATATTTTCTTTGAGTCTTGGATTAAAATGCAAAGCTACATCATGACTCTCCATTACAGTCTTTTGCTTTACAAATGTTGTGGTATAACAGACGAGATTAAAAGACAATCTGAAATAAAATTATTATCGTTAGTGTGTGTAAATAATCTTTTCATAAAATATAATGAAAAATTGTATGATTGTTTGATTTTACCTGTCAGCATCATCATGAACGCATACTGTAATTTTTAGGGTACTGCCATGACCAAAACCATTTTGTAATATACTTTCAAATGGTATGTCTTTACCAGCTACATCCATTTCTTGTATATATCCATCTTCAGATAATTGACATTCCTAAACATATAATAAAATTAGAATAATAAAAAGAGTGATTCTTATCAATATTGTCATTTGTTCACAAACATCTCAGGCTTTACCTCTGCAATCGCGGGATCAAATACATACACGTCACCTAACGCAGTTGTGCTCCAAATAGAATTTGGACCAGGTTTACCATATACATTATTCATTTGGCAAGATACTGGAAAAAAAAATATTTCGTTTTGTACATATTTCTTTGTACTTATTGTCACTTGTCGTCAGATATTAATTTATTTTACCTGAAGTTAAATGCGCCAACCAGTCTTCCATTTCCGTATCACTTGCAAATTGCAATCTAATTACTTTTGAACGACTTAATTTAGGAGTATAAATTGCTATTCTCGGATTACCGGGTTCACTACAGCAAACAACACACGTAATTTCCGAAACAGGAAATTGTATCTGTAATATTTATGTGAAAATTAATTAAAACTTGTGCAAAATTATACATTTGTATATAAATTTATATTTTCAATTTCTATAGTCGTACTATGCTTGTTATGCCGTCCGAATTTAATATTATCAAGGTTCCAGAATCTAATGATCCAGTGTCACTACTTATCCATTCCAGTTCAATCTTGCAATCTTCATATAAGCTGCCATTTTTAATTTTACATTTAGCATTGCCACTCTTCACCCAAGATAATCTACAAGTAATTTATTAAATAAAAAAATATTTTAATTAAAGATTGTATGTATATTTAATCAATCATCATTTATTAATTCTGCTCACTTTTCAACTGCTTTTTCATATGTGATTGAAGAATCAAATGGCATTTTTTTCAATCTCATCTTTAATTCATCTAAAATGTATATTCTCCATAATTCTCCAGTTTCCCCTTGCATTGTACCATTACCATCTGCGATCCTATACAAAAAATTATGAATTTTCTATTCTCTTTTTCTTTTTTCACGTCTCTTAAATTCTGATATTACATATATTGGTTTAGAAAATAAAAAAGATCTTTATGTGTGCGACTAAAATATATAAATGTTATATATTGTACATATAATAAATTTTACCATTTTGGTGGATTTATCGGATCGACAAAGCATGCCCCAGCTTCCACCTTGTACCACAACACATCACACTCAGTCCAATATATTATGCCTGTACTTTCATCCTCACCATACACGCCAGAATCTCCAGTTAAATCTGGATCAAATACACTTCCATCTGTTTCTGGATGTGCTTCAACACCCACCATAGAACCGACGGAATGTACGGGACTCCAAGCAGCAGGATTAATCTGTTAAGAGATAGATAATTTGTTATAATTTTTTAAAAATATTTATGATATTCTATTACATATTTAATCTATATATATATATATATATATATATATATATATATATATATATATGTATGTATATATATGTGTGTGTGTGTGTGTGTGTATTTTATTCAATTACAAAAATATTTTAACCTTAACAGTACTGCTCATTCCTTTTCCTGAGACGATTATTGATTCTCCACTTTTTGCTAAAGATTCGTTAGATATAGTTATACTAGCAACACTTGCTTCATTTAAATCACCCGAGTCTATAGAACTTGCAGACCTGCAATATTAAAAAAATATATAAAAGAAAATTAAAGAATTAAAGATTAAATGCTAGAAAATTTATTGCTAATATTAACATTTTACCTCTTCCTCTCTTCATTTAAATATATATCTTGAAAAGATGTTTGTTGAATATTTTTTGCGGATATGCCGTCCCCGGTACGTTGCCATAATTTTAAAGACGTGGGTGTTGGTGCCGAACGTGATTGTTCTTCCCATTCTTTGATTAACATTGTACCTTCACCAGTACTATGAGGTCGATTCTATAAAGACATTGTTTAAATTCAATTAAATGTCATTTGTCGATTGTTTCATTATATGATAAGCATAATAATAAGAAATAAAAGAAATAGAAATAAAATGATATATATATATATATATATATATATACATAGAGCACTAATGTTTCTTTACCAAGGAACTCCAGCTCTGATGACGTTGCTGTTGTGGTGTGCCACAAGTACTATGTCTATTGCTAGATGATAAACTTGCATTACTACTTGCTCTACTCAATTGAAGCGGCGCGTTTATTAATTTCCATCGTTTTCCCGTTAATTCGGAGCGAGCAATACCAGTGCGATAATACAAACATCGATCATCATAGCCAATAGCCCAAACCTTTATAATGCATAAAAAATAATTTATGAGTCATGCTTACATTTTTATGAGCGTGTGTATGTAAACCAAAAAGAACAAAAATATATATATACATATTCAATATACTTTTTTCTTTGTCAATTGTATGAATTAAGAATTAAAAATTATTACTTGATCATTTGGAGCGACAGATACTAGTGCCATTTTGCTTAACATTTCAACCCAACCAGTACCAGTAGCTAATTGTTCACAAACGCCACTTATTTCGCCTTGAACACCTTTTCGAAACCATACTCCACCATCATGCGTTACAGCCCATACAGCATCAGTACCTACGCTAATTTGTACCAATCTCAAATCCTTTTGAGGTGGTTCCACTTCTGACCAATCCTCACCTTTAATACATTATATAATCATCACATTGTATCAACATAATTACCATGTAATCACGTTTATTTATTTACCCATTGGGTTGTCTCTCGTAACGCCTGTGCGAACCAATGCTTTGCCCACTGTAAGTACAGCCCAAACAAGACCAGTCACTCCAACACTAATTTGACAAACTTCATAGCCATTTGCCAATTTAATGCAGCTCCATCTTTGTCCTTCGGGACAAGTTGTACTAGTTCCAACCCGGAACATCACCTGAATAATATTATATTATAATTTAATTCTTTAAAATATGATATTAAATAATTCGTTCATCCTCTTCGGGAGAAAGCAATGTTAAAAGTTATACCCTCCCGTGAGCGGTTACCGCCCAGACCACTAAACTTCCAGAGCTACCTCCAGGCATTTGATTTCCACCTACGGCTACATCGATAAAAGGTTCCTAAAAATGCATAATATATATAATTTAAACTATGCAATTAAAAGTAATGTCACATGGAAAGATTTACTTTAGTATTTTATCACCTTGGTTGGATCTTTATGAAGAGGTGCAATAGCGCACCATGAATTCATAGCGCTATATCTCCGATAACGAACCCATTTGCGTCTTCTAACACAGGACTTCCACTGCTTTTTCGTAGTATATGTAGCTGGAAAATCAATTGCGTATGTCCATCCCTATCAAAATATCAGATTCTCTGTGATCATAAGATTCTCTTTGGTCGTGGGCAACTGATAACAAATCTATACATAAACAAAACTTTATGAAAAAAATATAACACTCGTATGGGAAAAGAACAAGTACATGTTCAATATGTAATTTCATACATTTAATAAGTTACAAAAAGAGACTCCATGTCCTCGATATATAGAATATTATAAAAATACAGTTGTATAAGTTTATATTTGATGAAACAGTACAAAATTATTGAGAAATGTAAATGGAAAAAATGATTCTTATTAAAAAATGATTGAGCTTTTTGTATTACAAAGATATTATACTAGAATTACTTAAATAAACTTATGATAGCATTATTTTTATATCGAAACTTATGTTCACTTGTAGAAGTCAATGATTTTAAATTAGATGATCGTTTTACAATAGCATTACAATTATATAAACATTTATTTTATATATGTATATGAATATTGAGTGTATAAAATTCTCAAATAAGGATAGAAAAGAGTTTAATATGTAAAAATAGATGACATTAGGAACACATTTATATTTACATCATGATCTAATGGTTGGCCATCTAATGTTGTTTCTATCTGCCAATCACCTTCCCACTGCCATGCCATTGATGGCAACTTTACTTTGTCTCTGCTACGATCAACCGTACCATCTTGATTTGAAAAATTATATCTGTCAGTTGGAAGTAATCTTCCGGAAAAACCTTCCAAAGGCAACCACCGCTAGAATTATATATTTATTAGTACACAATCTTTTTCATTTCTTCATTTGTATATTTACAGTATTTTTATACAATTGCAGACAAAAGTATGTAATGTACAGTATACAAAAAAAAAAAAATATATTTTTACAAATCGATACCTCATTCTCATAAGTTTCCTCTTTAATTCTGATTGGTACATCTAAACCATGAACATGAACATAAACTTGTCGATCACCCCCAATTGCCCACATAAAATGTGGCACAGACGATAACTGTTTAAATTCAAGTCCAAGATACATAAATTCACGCCACATATTCCCAGATGTCGACAGTCCAAATACACGCCCTTCATTGTTAATAGCATACAAATACGAACTTGGCATTTTAAATATAATATATAACTCACTGCACAAATTTATCTGTAAATAAAACTTTTATTACATCCACATTTCCAAGCTACTATATAATCTCGATAATTTTACTGATAATAATTTAATATAGATGAAAGTAGCATAGTATATTTAATTTTCTGCAAAATACATACCAATCCTTTTTCTTGTTCCTCTCTTTCTCTCTCTTTGACAATTGCCTTTTTTATAACATTTCATCTATTATGTCATGTAATTTTCATCATAACTTACACATATCATTTGATAAGATAATTAATCGTTCTTCGGAAATTATTGTCTTCTTTTTATATTACAATATCTTTTCTTTTAAATGTCAAATGTATATATACATATATACATATGTAATATACATTATATGTAACACATATGCATCTTGTTCAAACAATAAATCTCATATAATTGTATAACTTTAAAAATAAAAAAATAAAAAAAAAATGTCAATAAATGATAAAATCAACATTATATTAATATTTATATATAGAAATATGAAAGAGAATATTATGTAGATTTCTGGAAAAATGACACACCGAGTCACATTTTCTGAGATACGTAAATGTATATAGTAATCCCACAGAATTGTATATTTATCTTGGGTGCGATTGCATGGAGCGAAAAACGCAATCAATCGTGAGCGTCGAAGCTGCGAAATGTTCACGATTGGTTGTTTTCGTTTCGCTTTGCACTACGACAATTTTCGATATCCAATAGAAGAGCTTGTTTTCTAGTGATTCCAGTTAGTAATATTTTTAGGATCTAGAAGTAAAAGGTTCTTATTGGATATCGAATAATAGCAAATTAACACAATGAAAATCCACGTACAAATCTATCTATAAATCTATATAGTTTGTGTTCATATCAACAGCTGATTCGTCTGTGTATTTTATGTTTATGATCTACAACGAGAAAGATACACGTCGGTTTTTTAAATTGAATAATTGAATAATTTAGAACATTATCATTGCTAGGATGGGACCGCCACCCGTGGTTACCGGAATATCACCCAAAGAAGGCCCACCCGGTACTCGGGTGATAATGCGCGGAGAGTTTTTAGGAAATAAAGCTCAAGACCTTATAGGTTAGTGCCGGTTGCTGTCAATATTAAATTCTGGTAAATAAACATCAGTTGCAATGCAAAATAATCATCGATATGCAAACAAATATGAACAATTGATGCTATTTATAAAAATATATTAATATGGATAAAGTTTAATACACGATAATTTGTTAGATATCTAAATGAGTATACATATATTTGGATTGTATCAATGATCGTATCGATGCTCAATCTGAGGAAGATTTGAGTAAAAGTTGAAATTGTAGTTTTATTACTTGAAACAAATTTTGAGATTGTATCGTCCTACAAGTACTAAATGTAACAAACATCAGTACTCGAAGGGTGGCTTGAATATATCGATTTAATTTTTCTAGGATTGACAATATGCGGGTGCGATTGTCTACTTTCGGCCGAATGGAAGTCGTCGAACAAAATTATAGCAAGATCGGGGCCTTGCAAAGGTCGCGGCGATATAATAGTGACAACCCGAAGCGGAGGGCAGGGAAGCTCGACGGTGCAGTTTCGTGGTTATCACGAGACTATAGGTCCAATGAAGGAGTCGGCCGTGTGGGTAGAGGAAGCTCCTATGCAGAGTTTGGGCTGGGGTAGAAGGGCATTGTCGCCGACAAACTATCAGCAGGAAGATCCTTTGGGGCTTAGCGTAGAGGGAAATGAGTAAATATCGAAATTGCAACAATATACGATATAAAAGTTATATCGATAATATTTTGCAACAATAAATTACATTTTATCTTGAAGTAAAAAGTTTCCCGAGGATGAGTTGATCGAACTTTTTGGAGACGGAAGTGGAGATCTTACGAGCGAAAAGTTTCACCCAGGATGGTTTTTATTGCAGCATCATCATGCCACAACTTTGGAAGATTTAAAAGCTGGTTTGGCTTACCTTAGAAGAAAAGTCAATTCCCAAAAGGAAGGACAATTGTCATTTTTGAAAGTGAGTAAATCAATCATCGATTCGTTGATAATAATCGAAAAATTTTCAGAACTTATATAAGCGATCGTATTAACAGGCCAATGTAGGAGCAGTAATGGAGCAACTTGATACAATAATGTCGTTAAAGGATCAATTTGAAGCAGACATAAAAAGCTATGGAAGCGATCCTACAGAGAAATTGGAAAAAGCTATCGGACAGTCTATGTCAGAAGCTAATAAATTATTCGACGATGTATTAGCGAGAAGGGACAGAGCCGATGCCACTCGTAACGCGCTGGCCGTTATGCAACGTTACAAATTTCTCTTTTGTATGCCGATAAACATCGAGAGAAATATTAAACGTGGCAACTATGATCTCGTAATTAATGACTATGCCAGAGTTAAGAATCTGTTTAAAAATACAGAGGTAGAGGTCTTCAAAAAGGTATTGGAAGAAATCGACGATAGAATCAGTAATTTTAAAGTGTTATTACGTAAAAGATTAGAAGAAATGTCATTTAGCTTAGAGGAGCGTAAGAAAATTATCAGGAACCTTGTCAATCTTGACGCCGAAGGTGATCCGGCATGGGACGCAATAGGTATGTATCCAAAATTAACATTATCCTAAAATGTTATCCTATTCTATTATTGGAAAGTTTATTTTTTATAATTCGAAATAAGTTACACAAATGTGTATACATTTCGATTTATATTTCAAAGAAAATAATTTCTAATCTTATTTTTTTTTTTTAGTTTCACATGCAAATTATTTAGAAAAAAGTATCGTTAATGCTGTACCCGAGCATCTGGATGCAGTTAATTGCGAGGACGCGAACAAGACGTCCAAATATACTCTGTTAAATAATAAGCATTTACGTTCGGAAAAAACTAATGAAAATAATCCACCACCGCAAATTTCGTGTATCGAAACAATTTGCGATATCGTGGTCGAACAATTGCCGGATCTATGGAGATTGGGACAAAGTTATTTCACAGGGCAGTTACATGTAGCGGTGGATGTGGAAAAGCAAGGTCATTTTAAAGTGAGTATACATTATGTTTAAATTTATTCTTAATCATTATGAGATCAATAATATACATCATATATTACTTAATTTTGGGATTTATTTATCTTCTAAATATTTTTTCATATCAAAGACGAAATATTTTTGTATATAAATATTATTATCCATGACAGAATTTAGTTTTATCGAGTATGCAGCGCGCCATGGAGGCCATGAAGAACACCTGCAGTCACGATGTAGAAGCAAAATGGCTTTTACATATATTACGTTGCGTTAGACAAATGTACGCGTCTCTGATACATTTGGATTTGCCCAGCGAAGCTCTCGATATTTTCGGATCATTTATATTGAATTTAAGGTATATTTTCAAATTACACAATTTAGGAGTTTAGTTAACAGTTTTGTTATCTATGCTACTTGGTAATCTTTTCGTATGTAATATTATATAGGATACAGTGTTTGATTGCTCTCTTCAAGCAAGGAGCAGACAATATAATAGCTCTGAGTCGAGAAGAAACTTGGCAGATAGAATATTTGAATGAGGACGGTGGTGTTACAAAATTGGTAAGATTATAAATTTTCACGACGATTTTTAATAAAAACAGATTCTTATTAGAAATGTATTATATAATCCTATGTTAATATATCGCCATAATTTAATTTTGTGCTATGAAATAGCCATATTTATTTGAGGAAATAGTTTTGGAGATATCGAAACATGCGCGTGAAACGGTAGTCGCTTGCGGTCCTAGAGAAGGACCGTTGTTCAATAATCCGGCACATCAGATTCTTTATCACAATACCGTCAAGATGTTATTTACATCGTTCACACGATGTTTACAACAACTAGCATTTAGCGGTTGCGAGGAAGCTATGGAAAACGATGAAACATCGGTTTCGCAATTGATCGGCTCGCCTTCTGGTTATAAAAGTAAAAACAATAAGCACAAAGGACCGGTAAGTAGCATAAATGATGGGACGTACTTTTACGCGGCACATATAAAGATACTAATACTTTTTTCTTTTGCATACGATATTTGTAAATTTCTTATGGAACAGACATGGGAACAATGCCTCTTAATCTCGTTAAGCAATATACGATACACGTTAAACGTCGTTTTACCAAGAATCGAGAACACCTTGAAAACACAAGGTTATCCCGAATTATCCACCGCAGTCGGATGGAATTCCGATTGGACGCAATTGGAGACGTTGGATAGCGCCGTTCTGGATGCGTATCTGGAACGTCGTTGCGATCCGCTTGTTGGGACAATAGAGCCTAGCATGTATTTAGGCGGTTTGGAATGGGACTTTGATACTGATCCGACTCATTTAAAACCATATGCCCAAGAAATATTGGCGAATTTAATCGCAGTACATGCGGAGGTAATACGTTGGAGGTCATACCTCAAATTCGGTATATACAAAATTATATACATACATAACATTTTTAACCTTTGTCTTCTCGCAGGTGCGCAGAGTCGCTCCAGCTCTGTTACACCGAATTTTATCCCACATAATAGAAACTATAGCGGAAGAGCTCGCACGACTCATGTCATGCGTTACTCAGTTTCGTCCGGCCGGAATTATCCAAGCTCGGACAGATATAATACTTTTGAGGAATGCCCTGCAAGCCTACAGCACGGCTAGAGCAAAGTATAAATTAGATATTAAAAAATCGAGAATTACTTCATTTTCAACAATTATGCGTTGAATCTATATTCTGAATGTAATGTTTTCTCGCAAGCAGAAGTTTCTTCGAGGAAGCTTTGGACGCGATACCTCAGCCCGTAAACAAGGAAGACCGTATGCGAATAGATGCCCTTCTATCGAAGGTCACAACGTGCATGCGACTGCAACTATCCTGTCTTACTAATGAGGCAACGGAGAATATTCGTTACTTGACGGCGAATCCCGACCGTGTTACTACTGTATAATTTGTTTATGACTACTAACTAGAATATCGCTCAGTAATGCGTGGTAAGTAGTATATATAATTTATTAAAAATTTCATCGCTACATTTGAATATGCATATTATATATGGACCATCATACAAGTAGAGATGAAACGTAAAATTTACGATATTTGCATGTATTGCGTCCATTATAGAATAAGTTTTATCTACTTCATTTATCATTCTCTCTCTTTCTCTCTTCCGTTCGAGAGAATATTTATGTGTCAAGTGCAATGAAACTTTGTAAATTTTTCCTTTGAGGTATATTGGCGTAATTTCAATAATAATAATAACGAAAATCTATATCTATTTCATCATTGCTTCTTTAAGCTTTCTTAATTAATTTCAACACACCTCCCGCTAATAATACAGTGTCACCTAAATAAAGGAATGTCGTATTAATTGAGGTTCACAAATAATGATGATGATGATGATGATGATGATGATAATAATAAAATAATAATATTCTAAGATAATATGTGGAATTATCTTATATCGTGAGAGTATAAAAATATGTACCGGTCTGAAAAATTAGAGTTGCACTTTTAGCGCCAACAATACAAGGAAGACCATATTCTCTCGCCACAACAGCGCCATGGCTTATAAGACCGCCCAATTCTGTTACGATTCCACCTAATAATGAAAAGTATGGACTCCAACCGATGTCGGTGCAATGTGTGATCAAAATATCTCCTTGTTGTATATTTTTTGCCTCGGACAAATCCGTTATCACGCACGCTCTGCCTAGGACAGAACCCTCAGAAACCGAAGTACCTTTAATCTCTGTACATCCTTTAAGTGAGGTGTCGAGTGTTCTCTGCAACGAGATGTTGTACAAATTATAATCTGACGAATATATACTAATAATAGAGATATATACAAGAAAATGATTGGCGAATTATTTAATTTAAATAATATAATTAATGGAAGTGTGCGTGTGTATATGTAGGTGTGTTCCGTGTGCGTTAAGCCTGTTCTACAATTGCGTAAACGTAGTTGTAAGTGGTTGTATCGTAAAAAGCAGTTTTAAACTATTACTACCGTAATAATAGTTTATTTAAACCATTACTATCGTTTGCAAACGATAGTAATAGTTTAAAACTGCTTTTTACGATACTGTACAACCACTTATAACTACGTTTACGCAATTGTAGAACAGGCATTAGACTTGATTTTTACATTTACAACCTGCACTGGTATAGGCACGCCCATGCTGAATTCTGGATATTCAAACTTTGCTACTTGCTGATAAATTTTTCTTCTACGTAGTGCTCTGAAAGATTTCAACTTAGCAGTAACGAGTATTACGAGTATAATACGATATGTATATTACATACATACATACATATATATATATATATATATATATATATATATATATATATATATATATATATATGATATAATAATAAATAATCAAATTTATACTCACTTTCGTACGAGTAATGAGCTGTGATTGTTCAAGAGTTGTCCGATCTCTTGGTGCGTCAAAAAAAATATGAGATTTTCATCAGGTAAGCAACTCTCGGCAACCATCAAAGTACCGAGATGTTTGTACGCTAATCTCAATATATGTACAGCAGACACGAATATATTTTTCGACATTTCTCTGCGTATGATAGCTTTTCGACAAAGAGGTATCACTTGTCGTAAACTCTTTTTGATAGACTGTGACATGGGCGTCTTTAAAGATGCGATAGTTTCCTCTACATTAAGCGTTTTTCTCGTATAATTCTTTTCGAGGGACATTACCAGTGTCTGAAAATATGGTATAAAATGTAATATAATTACTGTATATTATATATGCAAATTTTATTGAAATATTTTTTAATTACTTCTCGATATATTTCTGATAAAATATTTTATACCTGAATTGTACTAATGATACCATCAGGATTAAATATCCAAGGTTCTGCATACAAATCTAATTCGTGAACGCATCTGTGACCATGCATGTCAAAGAAAGTACGCAGTTTTTCCGCGGCTAGAGGGCAATTCGATTTCAACCAATCTATAGCTTTTGCGGGTTCAACTTTACTAAACTCTTCAGCTTTGCCGTCTTTTCTGATACACGCTGCTATATTGCCCAGTGCTATTGGCACTTCGCTGCTAATAACATCGGTACATGAACTAAACAGAACAGCGACATCAGCAAGATGATCGGATGTAAAATCGTCGCTACCCTTTGTTAAGAGCGACATCGCTCTTATCTGATTATAGACGTTTATCATGGTTGTTGTCTGGTGGCACTTTATTATCTGAAATATGTAAATATTTTATACCGTATTTTCGTAATGCGAGTTAACAAAGTGTATTAAACTTGACATCTTTTTCTAGGAAAATTTGTTAGATAAAGATTCATTCATTATTTTATTTTATTTGATGCAAAAACTTACTGGAAAGATTTCCTTACACTTCTTAGTTATGGCACTGTACAGACTACGAGGTGTATCAAATTCCGTAGCGTTCAAAATAAATTTGTTTAATACATCGATCCCTTCTTTTAGTATCGCGTCACTTTTAAAATTTGTTTTCAACGCATCGTATATCAAATACATTTTTCGCCATCTGCTTACGATACCGTATTTTTCTACCGCAAACCGATGTATTTCGGGCGTCGTTATTACACGTCCACATATGGCTAGGTCTGTCATTTTATTCGCCATCGTTACTTCTTTGTCAACATCTAGCAAAAGAGACTTTAAAAAGGCAGAAAAAAAAAGAAAATATTAATCAGTTTACTCGTCTTGTAAACGATAGACACGCAAACACTTACGTTAAAATAATTTATCGCGCATCTCATACCAATCACACAAAGATGCGAGCAATCAGATCTGTTTTTAACGTCAAGCGTGACGTTTAATATTTTTATAATGGTAGAGCTCGACAAAGGACTAATGGGATGCGGAAGAACTTCCTCGACATTAGCGAAAGTCATAAGTTCGACGTCGGAAGGAATCTCCGAGTCTAATTCGTGCATCAACTCAAAGTCTGTCCATGCATTAATGGTAGTGATGGGTCGTGCTTGCAAAAGAAAAATCTGCTCGCCGGCAACCGCCCATTCTACATCTCGAGCGGATCCAAAAAGCAATTCCAATTGCTTTCCTATTTTAGCTAATCGCAGAGCGACCGTGTCAGATATGGAAATCTTCCTAGTTTCCTGTTCACTCAGAGTGCATGTAGTCACACCGTCATCCTTCAGTGTTATCTTCTGCTCTTTACTCCCTATCACTGATGAGTCTATAGATAGAGTATCGTTTAACTTTCTACGAATTGTCAGAGTATCAGGCTCGACCGTTCCTGACACTACCGTCTATAAGAAAATATTAGGACATTTTAATACATGTTATTTACATGCGAGAAATTTGTCATAAATCCAAAATAGTGAACACAACTATACATTTCATTCGATTCAGCAGTTTGTTTCAATTTAGTACATTCAGGTATGTATCATACATATATATTCATATATAAAGCAATATATCTATATTATATTTTTGTTATCAATTGGACATACCTCTCCCAAACCGTAATTGGACGTGATAATGATACTAGATGGATCACCGGTCGTAGGATGTCTAGTAAACATAACGCCAGCTGTTTCCGCGTCGATCATTCTCTGAACGCAAACGCCCATAGATACTTTTATGGGTAATCCATTCTGCCGTCTATATGTGCAATCAACATCTTGAAATGAACAAATCTGCTTTCCTTTTTCATCCCATCCCCATTTCTCTTTTTTTTGGGGCAAGATAAAAGCAATAATTACCTGTACTCAACGCTTTGATATGAGAAGAGGCTTGCCCAGCATTTAGCAACGCATTCGATAACGTCATTCGCGTTCTTCACACCTAAATACGTCGCGTTTTGACCAGCGGCTGAAGTTTCTTCACTGTCCTCTCCAACAGCGCTCGATCTCACGGCATATAGATTGCGAACATGTTTTTTATTTACACATAGAGAATCTAATCTCTTCAATCCCTCCAATATCGCTTGTTTAATTTGTTCCTCGATTGAAGTAGTTTGAATGATGGACACTGTCCTGAAAAACAAAGATAAATTTAATAACAACTGCAATACACTTTTAAAAGCAGAAATATTAGATATTAGCATACTTTTGACAATAAGTTTGGAGATCCTCTTTTTTTTTGCCACGACTGATGTCTATTATATCACTGATCGAATCTTGCAATTGCTTGCAATGTTGCAATTGTCGCTCCAGAGCGAGACTCGTTACACAAAAGCCTTCAGGTACTATAAACTAGAAAAGAAAATAAAAATTTACATTTTCTTTATGGTACATTTTCTGCTTCTCAGATGTATCATATTAAATATATACATCATCTGTAATAATAGATGTCAGAACTGCAAGAGAATATGCCTTTCCTCCGACAATGTTCTCATTTTGACATTGTTTATCGGCAAAATGTAGAATATATCTGTCCTTTTGCATAAATTTGTCAGCTCGTGTCAAGTATCGAACTCTGGTGTCAGAATTGTTAATTTGTTTCGATCCAGTATACGAATAGCATGCAATCATAAGCCCAACGCCTACACATTTGTATGATTTCTTAAAAATGTGGATTTAAGATTGTTCTTTCAAAAAGTGTAAATCTCTCAATTTGCCACAATTGCAGCACTTTTGAATCATTGCGTCGACATACCGTCACTGCTGTTTAGATGTACACGGAGATTACGAGTTGTACACGCCCAAAAACAGGACTGGCCATTGTAACAGGTAATTGCATCGCCCACTGTGTAGTTGATAACAACGTCGTAATTTTTTCCAGCCGCTAAAATAGTCGGTAAATATTAATAATGTTACAAGGAATTGATAAGTTAATATACTATAGAGCTAATGCGATAGATGTGTGCGGCAAAACATATTACAATATATTATGTTTCTCTCTCTTATATCATATAAATACATATCACTCATTCATATATATATATATATATATATATATATATATATATACACACACAATATATACGGAGTGTATAAAAAGTCCTGAAACTCTTATTGTTCTACATAATGCATTACATGGCAAATGATTTTGGCATTGTCAAGGTAAAAATTATCTAGAAATTTTGAAATTCTGGGAGATTATTTTTTTATTGCATTTGTATAGCAAATCTTTATAGAGATTTTCTGAAAGATCTTACTAAAAGATTATATTAATATTCCCATTTAATGTGCCACTTAAGATCCTACAACTTTTATATTGAATATATTTTTCGAAAAAGCTTATTTTTCAAAATATAAAAATTTCGAGACTTTTTATATACTTTGCATATATATGACAAATAATATTTGAAAATGTACCTCTAAACGCAATCTTGTAGTTTATAGGAATAGTATTTTCTTTTTCAAAATCACTCAGTTTTATATCGGTCCAATCAATTTTAGATACTTTTCCTCCTACCTCCTGAAGATGACCAAATTGCATGCTGCAAGAAATTTTTTATCATTAATGTTATTTCTTGTCTTGTGCTATTTTAATTTGAAAATATTCATCGTTATTTTTATAAAATTTGCTCTGTGATAAACTTTCATATTTTAAGAAATATATAAAATCCGCAGAAATATTAAAAGGCGTTTGAATAACACTGCACAGTATATATACAAAGGTACTATTTTTTAATTAAATTTCTTTTTTTTAAATTTCAATTTTTTTTCTCTGCATGAAAAATTTTATATATATTATATATATATTTTATTGCGTATTTAATGTAGTAATAATAGTAGTAATTAATATAATATTAATATTAATATAATTAATATTAATATATATATATATTAATATACAATAATTAATATTAATATTAATCAATATTATAGTAGTCCATCTTACCATGAAAAACTATATTTGGTATCGCTCACACCAATATAGTACATCGCTCCATGCCTTGTTACACCAAAAAAAGTAACGATTCGATGAAATTGAGAAGATTCGTGTTTACCCCAACGTCGCTGACAAAGTCCTCGTAAATAAAGTGTAACCGTATTTGAATCTTTGAACGTTATCTGTCCGATAGTGGATCCCCATTGATCAAAACCTGTATAGTCTATTAATTTTCTACAAAAAAGACGCATGTATATATTGTTAAGATGGCAATTCACATATTAATGACGATTAATAATAATGTTATACATTTTGTGCATCCAATTGGGATTTTTCCATGATTCACGAGCTAAAGCATCCGCATGCAAATAAGCACTCCAGTCATCTGGCCATTCTAATTGCCGAGGCTTTCCTATAAATCTGAAGAATGAATAGAATGATATACTCGTGATTGTCATTCTCATATAATCCGTATTTGTCATATAACTTTATTTGTTTTTACTCACACGAAATTTAAACGAACATGTTCCACATTGTCATCGTTAGAAGTGTCTCCTCGACATTGATTTCGAAGAAGACCATTATAAGTAATTCTCCAACGTTGTCGCGGTGCCAATTCTTCAATTTTTAGACCCAATGCTGACCATTTTTTATTTGTATCTTTTGTTATAGTTTTAGGATAATCTGCGCAAACAGATGTGTGTCAGTATATTCTCTATTATGTGTCAGGTAATAATATATGATGTTAAATAAATCTCACCAGGTAGCACATAAATTCGACCGTCCGATAAGATTAATTGCAAGATTAATTCCGCTACGTGATATCCTCTGTGATTCATTTTAACGAATAATGAATTGCCTTTCTGATCAGCACCATAAAAAGATAAGCTATCGCAATTCTATATGAGACAAATAATGTCAACGATTTATTTTTGTCATACGATTAAATCATTGTGTATGTGCGAATATTATACATCTACTCACATTTTCATCCATAATAATCTGTGGATTATCCGCGCATGGTTTCAAGATTTTGTTTATATTGAACGTTATTTCGTCTTCGTTGTTTGTTTTCTTCCGTTTCGGGATGCACCAGAGAGCCCATTGTCGTTTTAGAAGAAATTGTATGTCTAAAAGAAAAGTTGATTTTTAAATATATAAATTATATATTCCAGCAAACACCGATATATAATTGTTACATTGCTATAATAAAACGGAATATAACAGGTAATATCACGTGTACGTTACATGTAACATCCATGTTAGTTGTAATTTCCCACTCATAGAGATGTAACATTTTAATATAACATATATTACATTGTAGTTATATTGTAATTATATACCAAATAGCACATTGATGTATTGATAAGTCAGTGCTATCTTGGGATATAATGACATTGTAGTTATATTGTAATTATATACCAAATAGCACATTGATGTATTGATAAGTCAGTGCTATCTTGGGATATAATGACAATATAACTACAATGTAATATATGTAATATTCAAAATGTTACATCTATGAGTGGGAAATTACAACTAACATATACGTTACATGTAACATGCTTGAGTATATAACATTTATATACTGTGTTTGGTGGGATATATATATATATATATATATATATATATATATATATATATATATATACACATATACTCTTTGTCAAATCAATTATTGCATTATCTCAAAATTAACAGAAAGTTTTATCACAATCGCAACACGCGTGCGCACAGAATTATAGACGAATTGCGTAACTATTTGTCTGAAAATATCTTACCTGAACAAAAATAATGCTGCTCTTTGCGTTTGTTGAACCAAAGATAAATCCATACAGGGAAAATGATTAAAATCATAATCTGCATGGTATACACAATCCACTCCATTGTTTATTGTATAATGTTACACGTAGTCCGGTTTGTAATTCTGAGCTTATATTTAGATATTAATTATTAAGAGATATATTACTTAATGAATATTAGCATTTAATACAAAAAGACTTATTATATTACATCAATGGATATCAAAAGACTAGAACATTTTCGATGGAAGAGATCCAAAATTTCCGTTTTAATCAAACATTGAATAAATTGTATGACATAATTAAACAATTTGTGTGTTGTTATGACTGATGTTATAACTGATTCACGAAAGATATACAGCATTATTCTCATAGCATACCTTTTTCGCAAATGTAAAATATAATCTCACGTACTTAGAAGTAACCTGATACCATGCAATCCTGTTAAATAAACGCTAGAACGGTGACTGCTTCGTTTTACGAGACCAAATTGACTTTTCCTGTCGTTATCTCTTCGAGATGTGCTGTTATATAATCTCCTTCTAATCTCATCTTCCATTATTAAACGTATTACGTCAAGGATAAAATGCTGACGCATAGATTGTGATTTATTCGATTATAAGATTTGATCTATATGTTCGATTGTAAGAAAAACTGAAAAGTTAACAGGTGATGAATATATACTTTTTATAAAGAAATTTATAAAAAAATATATATTTTTCTCTTTTTATAACAAAAACCGTGTATAATAAATGAAATTTCCACACATTAGCGATATAAACACTGTTTGTGTAGTAACATGACAATGCATGTAATAATTTATCAGGTCCAGAAGAAAAATGATAACGATAAATAACTGGAATCAATTCATTTTCTTGTCTGTCTTGTTAACGAGATCAATAGTTTCTTCCGTAATCGTATCAGTATCCCTACGCGATTTATCCACTGGATATATCCTGCAAACAATATGTATTTTTGACAATCTTTTATTATTTAAAAATATTATTTAGATGCATATATATATATGTATCAACAAGGTTTATGCGAACGAGATTGTAATGCGCCGAGTAGCATCGACAAGAAACAGCGTGGATATAATTTGAACGGAATTGGGTTCCTTTCACAATTCATGATCTAATAATAATTTTGTCTCAGGTCATAAAACAAGTCGAAAACAAAAGATACGAAAACAGATATTTTTCAATTCATGCTTGTCGTAAGAAATAAATTTAAAAAAATGTTGAGAAATTAATTTTTTTAAAGTCTATTAAGATGTCGACCTCAGACGCAGACATTTATAGTTGAATACGAGTTGAATATATTTTTCTAAAAATTATGCCAATTGTTTTTAAAGCAATCCAAGCTCGTTTCAGTTAAAAAATATCACAAGAAAATATGCATGCAAAAGCAATTGACGGCTCGAAATATTTTATTATTTTTTTTGTAATAACTTTTCAACTAATCTCTGCATTTAATGATACTCAGTGCAAATAGTCAAGCATAACATTATAGTTTATATAACGATAAAATTAATGAAGTCGCCAGTGATGAGTAAAACCATACAAATTTATTGAAATTTCGACCTAACTGGCCAGTACAATTTAATTAGAAACACTACGTTTCGACCCTTAGGTACGGGTTCTTTTCAAGTGTAATTTTACTGCTGTCGAATCAACATCTTGAAAGGTACATTACATTATTTTTATATTATTTTAAATTTCTTCGTTAACAACTTTGTAAATTATTGTTTCATATCTTAATCATTGTATATTTTTATTGTGCAGTTACACTTGAAAAGGACCCGTACCTAAGGGTCGAAACGTAGTGTTTCTAATTAAATTGTACTGGCCAGTTAGGTCGAAATTTCAATAAATTTGTATGATTATAGTTTATTATTCTTTATACAAGGTGTCCCAGAATTCGCGAACCACATTTCGTGGGCAGGTAAAGCACGTTAAACTGAATATCTTATACCATTTTGAAAAATTTGCAATAATTATTGAGTTATTTATTAAAATATCTAAGCGAATAAGCGGGTGGAAAGCATTATCTGATCGAGAGGCGAGCAATGTAGCGGCTGAAAAGTAAGATGATACTTTTGATACTAAACAACAAATAACAAATAAGCCATCCGACATGCCCACCGAGTCCGACTTACCGCTTTACACCCGCTCATTCGCTTAGATGTTTTAGTTAATAACTCAATAATTATTGCGAATTTAGCAAAATGGTATGAGACTTTTCTATTCAGTTTAATGTGCTATACTTGCACACAAAAGGTGGTTCACAAATTATGGAACACCTTGTACATATGTATACAATATATGTGTGTATGTACAGGGTGTGTGTATGTGTGTGTATATATATATATGCACATGTTAAATCTGATCTATAATATATATGCGTTTACAAACAAACAAACAAACAAACACATACACACACAAATATATGTAAAACATTTACCATGTTTGATATATATATATCAGAAAGACAGTGTCGTCTCTGAAAACTGCTATTCTGTGAGCTGTCGGCATCGTTACCATAAAAGCAAGGACATCATCGATAAACGTGTTAAATGCTTTGTACAAGAATGCTTTTCGCGGCATGAACGCCACGGATTTCAATTTATAATTAATAAACAGTTGTGGCAGCATAAAGAGGAATCCGACTGCATAAATACCATTTACCATCGAATTGATGATCCAAGAATACCAACTATAATGTAAAACAATTTAGTTAATTATTTATTTCTCCAAAATAAAGTGTTATTATCTTACAAAAAAATATTTTTTTAAATAAGAATTATTTACCTTTTATGCGATTGATAAAAAAGTGAATAGGTAGCACCCCCAATGATGAGCGGATATAACAGATAACGTAAATAACGCGTACTTTCAGCATCAAGTTCTCTAGTTTTTCTGTCTGCTGCATCAACGTCATCAGTTTTAAACCGTATTCTTGGTAAAATGTTATTGTTGATAATTAGCTGCACTTGGCATATCTTTGTCAATTTCCACAGCTAGCGACATATGTACGCATAAATTAATGCACACACCAATGTATTACATAAGACCGTAAATATTATATATATATATATATATATATATATATATATATATATATATATATGTATTAATTGGTAATACTATGTTAATATTTATTTTGTTATTGCTTTATTTCATATACACTCACCGCGATAATAGTGTTGATACCACTAGGAACAAGAACGAGTGAGGTAGAACCCTCATCGCAAAGGTAAAGGAAAATCACAGTCTGGCTGAATGCACGCCACATTACAGGCCACGTGCTCAGGCCTACAAGCTTCTTATTCTTGCGCCAAAAACTGACATCGTTTTTAATAGCAAGAAATTCAAGCAGCAACTGTAACACAATCGACGGACAATCGGCATCGCCGTTGTTTTGCAATGCGAGAATAGTACACTCTTTATCACACTCACGTGTACAGTCGCGGTGAAGACTGTACCAGCTAGTAAATAAATGTTGGTATCTGTCAAGATGCTCTTCATTTCATCGATATCCCTGTCGGACAAGCCGAGACTCTGTAGGCTATCGATAGACTCTTGCACCTGCAGCATCAATCGTAATTTTCCTAAAGATACAGGCGAATATTCTATCGTAATGTTCATTGTGTCATTGTGCAAAGTGATTTGTTGAAGATTTCGATGTCGCATTTGTAAGGAATCATAGTTGACGATGGGCAAGAATGTCTGTTTGCCAATTATTCTGCAATAAGCGAACAGAATGACGTATTTGTAACATTCATCATACATATATGTATATTTCAATGTTGTTGGATAAAAATTTGCATACTTAATATGATTCATGAGTTCGATAGGTATATCATATACAGGGAGCATAATATTGTCCGTCATTATTGTAAAAGTCACACGACTTTTGATATGCGAGACTAGACGTACAGCAATCTCATTGGTCTTCCGGACATTAAAATCTTTCTTGCCCAACAGTTTAAACGCGTCTGCTTCAGGCACCCTGTATCGTGTCATTTTAATTGTAGTATACGAAGTAAATATATCCTGTAAAACACAATTGAAATGAAATATTTTGCAATTTTTAAGGAGTTTTGGATAAAAACATTTTATCGTATCGTATTGCATGTACTTTCTGTAAATCGCTGAACGACCTGTGCTGTTTTACAGAAGTAGGAACTAACAGTATATGCAAAAACAATGTTCCATTTCGTCGTGTTTCGCGTGGAATGTTCAATATTGTTGGACTGCAAGAAACAATATATATATATACATATACATATATATACTCTTGTTTAAATAGAGAATTGAAACCATTTCTATAAACAATATCTAATTGTAAGCTCAACTGTTTTTATGGAATATATAGAATATATAGAAGAAATGAGTTGATCGATACATGTTTATAGGTATGATCGCGTTAAAGAACAAATATGCTTATAAAATTGTGAATATACAATTGTGAAGATACGTACATGGTTTGTGGTTGAGTATAATTGAAATTTTGCGCCAAGTACGCGAGATTGGCATTTCTACCGGTGGGATTTCTCTTGATGGAGCTGTAAATATACAGATTCAATTGCGGTCGTTCGCTAAGGTACGATCTAAGACACGACTTGTCATCCTCGCAGTCCGGTGGCACGAATAACGATAACAGGGTATATATCGAATACACGATGTATACCAAAGATATCTGAAGAAGGATAACGTTGAGCGAGGGCCATCGCATTTTGCCAAAAACAAAAGTGCCTTTCGTTTTCGTGCGAGCAGCGTACGTCACTCGATCGATATTAGTCCGAATTTCGCAGCTAGAGCGAGAGAACGAATAAACGTTTTATAATACATAAGTTTAATCGTATCTTCGATTCTGATTCGATTTTGATCCGACACCGGTTTCCGACCCGGTTGACGGTCGTTGGCGTTGCGACGAGTCTCGTATCTCGTCCCGTACCAGAGAATACGGACGTATATCGGTTATCGGCTGAATGAGAGGTATGTACGCGCGTGTATAGTGAGCGAAGGTTAGGTTATAGATTAAGTTAGGTTGGGTACAACAGTCTGCAAATTATCATGTGTACAATCATTTCATTTTTTCATCATTTTTGTTGGTCTAACAAGCAATTATAATTTATTTAAGACAGTAAGCTATACGTATAAATTTTCGTGTAAATTATATATATATATATATATCGATCTCTCTTTCTCTCTCTAACATTTTAAATATATATATATATATATATATATAGTGCTGTTAGAAACTATATAGATCGATATATTGAACAAACCATATATATATATATATATATATATATATATTAATATATATTAAATTTGTTAATTACATATGATTATATATTATATTAACATTTCTGAATTATAAGTGTGTGTGTGTGTGTGTGTGTATTAAAAGGCTAATTTTTGTAAGTTTATCAAACAGAAACAATATAATATATATAAGATTGAGAAAAAACCTGCAAGAAACTGTAGAAATGATTGTGTTTGGGAGCGATATTTTTCTCGGGGAAAAGTCGATTCGATTTCAATAAAGAAATTTATCGGACGATCTGCTGTTGTTTGTGCGAACGGCACGCAGCACGCAAGCAGCGGCAAGGCAAGCGCACACTACCCCCTGTCGCATGGAGCGTGCGCGAGGGCGCGAGTAGGATCGAGTAGGACTATGTAGTAGGAGTAGGAACGTAGGACGCGAGTCGAGTCAAGTCGTCGGTCGTCGTGGGTCGTGCGGGTCGTGGTGTGTGCCGCTGGCCGCTGCGGAGGGGCCAGAGAGCGCGTCTCCTGTGGAGCCACAGCTGGTGGGGACCGTTAGTCAAGATGTAAACTGTCAAGGCAAGAATGTCACGCTAGAGATAAGAGCCGTTTGGGCCGCGAGAGAACGAGGGAAAGAGCGTGAAGGGTTGAAGAGGAGTGAAACTCAAGAGGGAAGAAGGGAGAGAGAGAGGGAGAAAGAAAGAAAAAATAAAAAGAAAAAAGCGCGCAACAGTGAGCGAGATAGGGAAAAAGGAAAAGCGAGAAAACCAGGAGAGAACCAGGCCTTGCACCCGCACGAGAGGAGATTACAGAAATGGAGTAGCTGGAAAAGGGAATCGATCGGCCGCCCGCGATAGATGTGGCAATGGAGGACACGAGACTGGGGTAAGTGCTATGTCGTTTCCGGTTAGATCGGGAGTTGCGACCGGGGTACATTGTAATATATACGTATACGTATATAGATATATATGTGTGTGTGTGTGTCTGTGTGTGTGCGTGCGTGCGTGCTTGCGTGCGTGCTCGTCCGAGAAGAAGCGCGAGCGCGCTCTTTCCGAGGGGAGGAAACTAGGACGTTGGGGGTGATTTGATAGTATATTCCGTGTATATTCGTGAAGATGACGGTCGTCGCACGAGCAGTGACGGAGGCGGAGGGGAGTGTCCTGCTTTTTCGTCCCTTCGACCTCGCCACCTCCGGAGCTTCTTTTCCTTTTCGGTGTACATACGCGCGTGTCGCGAAGGCGAAGGTAAGGCGCGATGCCGACACGTCAACGAGTGCAGCGACGAGTCGATCAAGGCAGTGCGAGAACAGGAAGTAGAGGTGCCTATATAGTGCCTAGTGCTGGTTCTAATCTTCATTCTGGTTTTGGTGCTCGTGCTCGTGTTCGTGTTGATGCTGATGCTGATGTTTAATGCGATATGCTTGACAGCTTTTACGCGTATTTCGATCAGCTTTTTCAACAGACGAGGAATGAATCTCGAGTGAGTGATTATAAATGCTTGTACAACAAATTAATAAATACAGATTTTGTTGATTCTTACGTATCTCTAGCACTAGTGGTACACCAAAAAAGAAAGACAAAAAAAAAGAACTCGCCGTTGCGAATAAATGAGATACATCGTTGATAATACATAGGCGAATCCCAGTCATATTTTGCGAATAGCGATTTCTTACGCGGGCATTATTCATACAGGCTGGGAGAGCCAATTTTTTATTTATTTTATCCGCAAAATAAAAATTATGAACGATAATACTCGAGATAAAATCTCTCTCTCTCTCGCTCTCTCTGTTCATATATATATATATATGTATTTTATATAACATATTCTCTATATATCTTTTGTACGAAAATAGTTTTTACGAAGGATGCAACGCGATCTGCATCTTGTTCACTTGTATACATAAAAATGCTCCGGAACTATATACTATGCCTAGAAAAATCTTCGAAACAAGAGTCTTATTGATGTGTATTTGCACTTCAAAAGCAACGCATTATAAATAAAAGAGTTATTAAAGCGACTGCAGAATGTATATGAGTTGTACCACAAGCATCAAGTATTTGCGACAAAAGTAGACTTTAAATTGTGAATATAAGCAGTACTTTTGAATGCGTTTAAACAAAAGTATTACTTTTTTTAATTTAAATTCATAGCTTTGAAATATTTTTTTCATTTTTATCATTGACGCGAGTAATATCATAGTCGATTCATATATAATTTCACAGTGACTCGATATATTCGGTGATACATTTGCGAATTGTACTTTGTATTTGTTCGAAGAGCTTTCAATATATATAAAATATTTGTCAGCATTCTGATTATTTTTCTTACAAGCGATAAACATTTATTTATATATTTACCCCATTCTTGTTACGTTCCCCTTATTCGCGCTACTTTTTGTGCAAGAATAAACGTCGAGAAAATTTTTTTTTTGAAGTACAAAACACATATATCGCTTTTGGTATATTCTTCAACACTTTGCGTCAAAGTTATGCGAATGGGACTGACTTGATTTGCTCAATACAGTGTTTGAATTTGGAACGTTCCAATAATCAATTTCAGAGATTAAACATCGCTGAAATATGGGAGGAAGGCTCGACGCATCTTACCGTATTTATTTCACCGCTAACAGTAAGATTTCTCTACCTTTTCTTGGGTTCTTTTCTTCTATATATGTTATTTTGACATCAAGGAAGCTCTATACTCTATACAAATTACATATATATATATATATATATATATATATATATATATAAATTGGTGTTAAACTCGAGGATGTTTTCCAAAATGGAAAAATTGTGATATGCAAGTTTTGTATACAAATATGTATACCTGTATTCTATCTGTTTTTGATTCGACACATTTATATTTAATTGTTCTCGCCATTGAGTGCAACATTGCGCATTCCATAAATAGATATCTGAGAATAATTGTATATTTGTCTGATTGTGAGAAACGCCATTTTTCCTCGCTTCTCTCTTTTTGCGGAGAAATGACATTGAGAAAATTGTGCGCAAAACGTTATCACTTTTGAGATTACGGCCCAACATTCGTCATATATTTATTTTCTAGTTGCATTTTCTGTACTTTGTGTCTTGTTTCTTGCGCAATTTTGCACAATGACTCGCGTTGAATAACGTGCACTTGGGTCAACTTTTGAACAATTGCTATGAGCGTGACAAATATCTACTTCTTTAGTACGACATCGTGAACAGTATCGTCTCTAATGAAATCGTCCTTCGCTTAAACATTCTAGCGTTAGCAAGCTAATGCGTGCAAAAGCCACAGTTGTAACACAGTTGCAGCGAGAACTTTTATAAATTTTTATTATTTAACAAGAGTCTGTTTATTCGTTGTCAATGTATAACAATTTGCGTGACTAGTAAATCCTGTAGTTTACAAATATTATTTTTCTGTATGCTCTTTTCATTTCTTGTCAGATTAACTAATTGACGCGAGAAAGAAAAGATGTTTCCATCTTTTCTTTTTAAATTATGAAAAGAGTTTTCAATTATAAAATAACTATACGCGTGTGTCTATGTAATAAATTTCAATTTACAGCTAAAAATGATAGCATGTAAATCCTTATTGTTTATTATAAGCATCGTTACGAGCAATTTCTTGAGCTTTATCAAGCGAGAAATCGCGGCACGAGGCGTAGCGCGACATACACCTGTTGGCATCATTACATAATATATATACTCAACAATCTACAAGTATCGTGCAACAACGGCAAGAATATATACGAGAGCGTATAATAGCCGAAACGATGATATAGAGAGTATAAGTATTTCTTTTTTCTTCACGCTCTATCGCAAGCAGTGAATTGTGCTTTCGTTGAAAGCTTTGCTGAAAGTTTTTACGCACGAAAGCGATAAAACTCGAAAAGATTACTCGATTTTTCACATTCTTCCAGCATCATCTGAGCACCCAAAAATGACGTCAGGATTGCCGAGTGCTCATCAAAAGAAGCTTGGACCAGCGCCGATAGCATCCTTCGAAGACCTGTCGGACGAAGTGGAAAACGTGAGTCCTACTCCGAGTTTCCTCTGAGTCTCATCACCCCGGCTCTCTCATTCACACACACTCTCTCTCTCTCTCTTTTTCTCTCGCGCTCTCTCTCCCCCCTTCTCTCTCTCTCTTTCTCTCCCCTTTTGCACTGTGAGATCCGTTTGGCTTGGATCTTGATGTACGTACGCGATCTCGAAATCGACCTCCTCGACCGTCCCTGCGAGAAGCCAGCCCGCGATCTGAGCCCACCAAACAACCAACCAAACAATCGACCAATCAACCAACCCCGTGCGCCTGTGCTACGATTCACGACAAACCAGGATACGAATTTGAATGCAGGGGGAATCAGCGACGGCGGTGACGGCGGCGGCGGGGCGAATGCCGGGCATCGTCGAGGTTACCACACCGGCAACGCCTGGTAGTTCGCTCAAGACGCCCAGCACGCCGCGAATTGATATCAGCAGAGCGAGCAGCTCCTCGCACCACGAGGACAGTAATTCCAGAGACTCGTCGCCTGAGCGGGAGCTTCTCGCAGGTGATTAACTTTTTCAAAATTACCTTGCGTAAGCTCTACCCTCTACCTCTTTTTTTATCTCGAAACATTTTTCATCAATGGAGCAGCTACTTTTTTGTTTCTTTTACATTTTGCTATCGTAACATTCAAATTATTTTATATTATTTTAGTAAAAATTATTTTATAAGTAAATGTCAAGTTTTTTCGTTGTTTACGATTGAGTCGAGTATATCGAAAATTATGATATTATAAAAATTCTCGAATTTTTCATTGGATATGCGTGTTTTTTGAATGTATTTTGAATTTTTGTATCGCTTCTTCTTTCTCTCTTTTTCTCTTTATCCCTTCTCTCTCCCCTCTCTCTCTCTCTCTCTTTTTCTTTCTGGCTATAATAGTAACAAAATTGAGTAATAAAATTGATTTAAAAAGTTTAAACAGGATTGATAGAGTTATATACCTATTATTTAAGAGGCAGGGTTAACAGAATATGTGACAGGTATTTCAGATCGGAAAAATAAAATATCGAAAAATGTTATCTCACAATTAATAATTAACTGATGAAAGGTGAATATACACACATATATATATATATATATAGTGATTAATGATTGAATACAAAAAAGTTAATGACTTGATAACATATAATATGAGATGTAGAAATGATGATTTTAAGATATCGTATGAGATATGTTAGCCGAAAATATTCCATAGATAATCTGGTTATCAAATTATACTTTAGAAAATAGATTTTATATTCCATTTCAGCCTAGGTATTCTTAACTAAATATTATTTTTGTAGACCAGATATTTGTGAACTATACATCTTATACAATTAGTACATACAAAATAGATAAACTCACATAATACGAAAACTTGATAGATATGTGAATGCATTTTTTAACTTGTTAATATAATCGAGAGTAAAAAGAGTACAAGACAAAATATATAATATAAAAAAATATCAAGACAATGCGCGATATCAAGGAAGGAACTAATCTTCGGAGGTAAGAAAAGATCGAACTTTGCGCGCAACGTTGACAATGAGTATTTCGAACTCGAACAGCTTTTAGAAAACGAATTCTCGGATGTTAGGATGTTTTGATCGATTCAATTAGACAGGTCTGAGAGGAGAGGTTTGCCTGATGTCCATCTCGATTATTTAATGGCTTTTTGTACGAGTACACGCTGTATATAAATTAACGTTAACCAAATCTAAAATTTCATTGAATATTGTCTTATTATATTGCTCTCAAACAGTTTGACTTTCTAAAAAATAGAAAAAATGATTAAGTGTATTGAGTTTCTCTTATAGAAGAGATTTTTTTCGACGAGTGACGAGTCTCTATATTAAAATTATTAATTCTATTAAATTAATTGTACAATTTTGATAAATATGTATATAAAATATATGTATAAATCGAGCTTGTGAAAATAATATCGTACAATATATGTATAGCAATTATTTTTAAATCGTAATGTTAGTTTCAACGACGATAGTCCTTTTTTTAAAAAGCTCTCTGAAAATTTATTCAACAATTACGGTCAATAAGCATCGAGTGCATCAATAAATATGATAAGCATGAAGATTATTTGCATCGAATAGTTCGATGATATATACATTGATGATACTTATACGTCTTGTAGAAAGCACGAAATTTAAATGCAAAATAATAGTTGCTTGTCCGAATATTAGAGATGTAGATTAGAGGAATCAATAATGCAAGAAGATAAATATCTTTTGATATGTTAATATCGTCTGATTTAGTCTACATAGGTGTTTTAAGAAAGAGATTTAGAGGATGCGTTGTCACGAAAAAAACCTAAAGATGGAGATTTGCAGGTGCGGATCCTCCGCCTGGCTGCAAGCTGACTTTGGGCTACAAAGAGGATGCGCAAGATCTCAGGTCCTCCACGGAAGAGTTGGACTTACAAGATCCTGTTCACGAACAGGATCTTAAAAGGGAGTCAAAGAAACGAAAACGAAAGGAGGTGGATGGATCTCAATCGGATTACAGCGGTAAACAGCTGGATCGTGAACGCAAGGACAGTAATTGCTCGGAGATATGTCTGCTCAATATCAGCGGCAGAACGTCCAGATTGTCTTCGGTCGGTAGCCAAGGCTCCGGTGTTTCCGGGAAGCTCTCGGTTGTATCGGCAACTTCCTCCAGGTGAGGACCGCATGAGAAATATAATATTGGAGAACAAAATATACATGTTGTTTTAATTAAAGAGCTGTTAACGAGATTTTATTTTGCGAAAAAGTTCAAATCGAATTGTCAAGTCACTTGTTTGATTTTTAACTTTTATTTCTTGACATTTCTTTCGAATATTCTCAATATTAATGAAAGAGATGTTACCTTCATTGAAAGAGAAATCTTACAATATGTTACTTATGTGCGTACGCTTTGTTATCTATAATAGCATTCTTATTTTGGAGCTGAAGAGCTCAGACTTATAACGCATGATTGATCGACGTGCAAAGCTCTTTCTTTCTTTCTGTTTATTGTGTCATTCAATTTGTATATTTCTTCAGATCTCCCAGTCCGCATAAATGTCTGTTGGAGACATCATTCTGCGGAAGCAAACCGACGCTGGTTGACAACTTGATAGAGCCGTCGAAACCGGAGACCGATGATCTTGAAAAGATACTCTTGAAGCGAGAGGCTGATACTACGAAGGCGTTGATTCCCGAGAGCATCAAGGTACCGATGGTTGGAGGCAACTTGAAGCCGGATCCGTTGGATAAGCCCAGAAGACGCGGTCGGGAAGAACGAAAAGAGATCTTTAAGCGAGAGGTGGAAATTACCAAGAGATTTCTGGAGAAAGCTAATATAGAGGTTGGTTCGCCGAGTTGTCATTTTATCATTCGCTTGACTCTCTATCGAGCAGTATTGATAAAAGATTTAAAACAGATTTTACGCGCCAACTTTGTTAATTTTATTAGAATACAAGACCACACACGAAGACAGACGTGTGTAATATTGAAAGTGTGTTAAAAAAATGTTCTCTTTTTCTATATATTTTTTATATTATTTAAATTTTTTCTATGAATGTAAAAGAATCTCGTAAATATCGAGTTTGATGTTATTAAAGTGTTCTATTTTTCTCAGAAAATAAGATATATAAATATTTAACCTGTTACAATATACGTATATTATATGTATATTCTCTTACTGTATGAAATAGGTACCAGTCATCAAAAAATCAGGCGAACAACAAGGATCGACGATACCGCAACAGCAATCAACAAAGGCTCAACTTCAAGAAGTTCAGAAACCCGTGACACTCGATTTCAACGATAAAAGAAAGAAGACGCAAAACTTTAAGGAAATTGTGCAGACGACACCTACGACGAGTAGCTTCACGGGAAGTCCCAAATTACCGAGACATCAAAAAGTGCGTGACCTCGAAGGCTCGCGAACGCCTAGTCCGTCATCCGTATCTAGGAAGAGCAGCTTCGCTTCGTTGTTCAAGGTACATATACATGTATATATATATATATATATATATATGTTATATGTTTGTTTCAAGAGCTGACTAATATTCTTATTAATGTTAATAATTAATGTTTTCGAGTTGTTGATATCAATTATTACATTTATAATCAAATAGACTAAAACCGATGGTTGCGTATTGAGCCCGGAATCACCGTCACCCAATACGAAGCCACGACGAAATCTTACGTCGAAACTGAAAGACACCACGGAGAGTTTAAGAAGTCGTTCAAAGTCACGCGAGAGGGTCTCCGTTGACAAGGGTTCAACTCCAAAAAAGGATTCAAAAAATAAAGGAATGTTTTCGTCTACGTTAAGTCTATTCAAGAAACGTGAGAGAAAAAAGAGCTACGATGAGGCGATTGCGGCCTCATGCGACCTCGACGCTCGTAGTGGAGTCGAACATCCGTCCTTAGAGAGCATCGGCCGCGTCGAGTTTACATTCAACATGGACAAGGAAAGAAACCGCCAGGATGATTCAATCTTCATCAGCCTGCACGCCGATGACAGGAATTACGAGGAGGCCTTGCCGTCGGAGAGTGTCTCGATACCACTAGAAACGCCGACCAAGTTGCTAGACGAGTACGAATCCGAAGAACCACGTACGAGTAGCATAATCACGGAGGTGTCGATTGAACATCATCCAATGCCATCATCAATTGGTAAAGTCAGGACCGAGGCACAGATCGAGACAATGACGACAACTATGGTGACGACGCAGGCCATGTCCAGGAGCTCGTCCAAAGATAATCAGCTTCTGGAGAGTGCGCTGAAAGATCCGCAGATATCAAAAATTAACGCGCAGGCTAATAAAATAAATGTCGAAACATCATTACCATTGATGAAATCGTCGATTAAACCAGAGATAAAATCGACGGACTCGCGAATATCCAGCGGCTCGTTGAAGGAATCTATTAGCAAAAAGCCAGAAATAACAAAACCGAAAAGAAAAAGTAAAGGAGAGAATCAGCAGCAGCCTATACCGCCTGAGAGGATAGACAGTGATGCACCGACGCAACAGAAAAAAGTAGGTAGTAGGGAATCTACACGAGCTGCACAAGATACCAAGAGATCCGATTTTCTCGATGACAAAGTCAGCAACAAGGACAGTTTGGTAAAAACGTCTAGCATGATATCCGATTTGGATCACAACAGTTCAGAGTCTGAAAGAGATTCGGAGATTGAATTCATTCGCAATAAGGTTGAAAAGATGGCGGAGGAGTTACCGGATGAACGAAAGGGTCTCTTTTACGAAGAAAGTTTTGAGGAAGATCTTCCATATGTACCGACGACCCTGCCGTTGGAGAAGAGCGTTGCTGTACCTATTCTGCCTGTTAAACAACGACTTCAGGAAGTAAGGTAATTATTAGTATAGTACATATTTTATTTAAAAAAAAAAATTCAAATTTGATATATTCGAGTTTAACAATGCTGTCTAATATCACATTATTATTATTATTATTATGTAATGCGCCATTTAAATCAACTTTTATATATGAAACATTTTTCTCGAAAATGTTCTATTTTCAAAATAATTGACTGTATCACTTAAAGTGAAACAACAATTGCAACTAGCAGTTATACATATATTTTTTCTTCAAACAAATGATGTACTTTTTATGCCAATTGATTTCTTATTATTTTGACCTTTAAATGACATTGAAAAACCGCTACTTAGAGGCAATCCTGGGTCACGATATTATGTCCTCCTCGAAACTCTACTTTCATATATGAAACATTTTTCCCAAAAACGTTTTATTTTTAAGATAATCGACTGTATCACTTAAAATAATACATTCTGTATATGTATGGATAAAATTTATTTACTTTATTCTGGTGTTAGGACAATTCCGATAGAAAGACCGCGTTCAACGACACCGATAAATCCGACTCTACTCGACGAGTTCGTGATGCAGACGTCGTTGGATGAGCGACGTGTGGAGCGAATGAAGATATCTTTGCCGCGAGAGGATAGTTTTAAATTGAAGAGTCCGCGCCGGCAGTATGCCAGTACGATGAACACATTTACGGAGTTTGCGGGCAGAGTACCACCGGACGGTGGTCGTAAGAGCATTATCGGTCAAGCAAAATCACCCAGTCCACCTCCACTGCCACCGAGAGCACCAGCAGCAGCGGCATCAGCATCAGCATCAGCATCAGCATCAGCATCAGCAGCATCAACATCAGCATCAGTGTCAGCTGCAATAGCAACAGTGCGGCCGAGCAACTGGATAAATTTTGAAGAAATACCAGAGAAACGGAAAGCGCCGAAACGAATACAGACGATACCGCGACCGGAAGACGAGATTGCAAAGACGATTACCGGCGGTTACAGTTATGTGCAACCGGAGGAGTGCAAGTGTGAGTGCCATGAAGAATCTAGGCGGGCGTCTATGCGAGAGGCGACAGCGGCGGCGACTGCCGCCACCGCCACCGCCACCGCCACTGCCACCGCCATCACCATTAGTACCAGAACTTCCTCTTGTAGTAGCAACGGCGAACGACCATGCAACGGTGAAAACTGTACAGCGCCGACCACTGGCGGCAATTCCGTCGATCGCGCCAGCATTGTCAGGTAAATCTTTTGACTACCGATTGTCAAAATCAACCAACTACACGTTTCACCCGAGGCGATCCGCAAAGGCGCTAGTGACGAGTAGAAATCTGTTTCTGTACTTTCAGTGATAGCTCGCTGGAATGTTCGCTGAGTATTGATGATGGTCAAAGTACACAGGCGCTCCTCGGCAATTCGACGAAACCCTTCGCCATGGATCTCGACGTACGATCCAATAGATCGAGCATCATATCGCAGGAGGAAAACGACGAGAACCAGCACCAATAATAATAATAATATTAATAACAAACCTAGCATAGCGCACCCACGCCTTAGAATCTTTGGAGTTTTTCTTCGTCGAAAGTTGATCCGACTTTTTGCCTCTGACACGGACAAACAACAGTTTGATTCCAAAAAGACGGACTTGTTATTATTATTTTCATTTGCATGGTTTCTTTTACGAAAAAAGTTTCAAGGAGAATTCACAATTGGAATCATTTTTACATTTCTTTGCAGATTCTATGCCTCTTTATAGCGCGCGGTGTATGTACATACATCGATAAAACTTTCGTTAATCAAAGGTACCTACATCGCCCTCATTTTCAAAATTTTCCCAACTTTCAGATGTTTTTGTGGATCGTATGTTATGCGATTATTTATTTACGCGTGAGTTATTATAATCTGTTGTATATTGCGATTTTTTCTCTATTTTTTGACCGCCGGGAGTAGTCGCATTTTTTACAGCTGCTTCGTTTGTAATGTTATTATATGTATAAAGAGGATTTATTTCTCCAAATTGTTTTGAATTTATATCTAAGAAAGAAAATTGTATATATTATGTCTTTCGTAACATTTTTCTTTTAATATATAAATTTAAGATATTTTGGAAAAATATCATGCGGTTAAACGAGTCAGTTTTTATTCCAATTTATTTTCACACGCGTTTTTTTTATAATCAAAAAAGACTTGGATGATGGCTCGCTAACATTTCTACTAAATATCGGCGAATTTTCTCTATCGAGAGATAATCGCGTCACTATTGAAAATCGTTGGCGAAGCGCTCGCACATCGCTCGGATATGTAAGATCTTGTCTCTCTTTTTTGGCTCAAAAAATTGTGTGCGCGTATACTTATGTGTATTTACAATACACATAATATATAACTATACATAAACTAGTGAAATATTTAAATATACATTTTATTTGATCAATCATTGTATACGCTGAGGCGAGACGAGGCGAGATCTCACAGTGTTTGGGCAAGCTTTTAAAGTTTCATATCATGTACGTAGATAAGTGTAGATTTATAGGTATGTATTATATATATTTTCGTGGGCACGTTGATCTCGTATACCGAGATTAAGAAGTTTATTCAATGTTGAGCCGGAGGAACCGGTACGATCATTCATTGGTCGATTGTTTCTTAAACTTGTATGATAGCATTTACATATATTAACGATTATCGTGATGCAGGATCTGCGCAAACGCAATTCTGCCGCCGTTATTATACATATAGTATTGTACGCTTTCTCCTTGGACCAGAACACAAACATAATATGGCGTTCGGCGAACAGACGCCGCACCGGGCCGCGGGCTTAATGCCACATAACTTATTCGAATACTCATCGGGCGGTGACGGTATTCATAGTTGGTTATTATATTTATCAAGAGATGCTATTTGATTGGTTGAACGAGGTCTTAAGACGATCTTAAATATAAGAACGGATTATGAATACCGCCCATCGAAACATCTTTGAATGCGATACGCATTTATGGATCTTTTCTGCTATCACACTATAGTGTTGGAACGTTTCTAATGCGTCGGCGACTTTTCTACTCGCCATACAATTTTCTCTCATTATCTTTCTCACTTTCGGAGCTTGGCTTAGCGAGCCATCATTCGTAAACTCGCGCTAATTTCTTCACCAAAGAGAGTGAGTGATTCTTTGTCGTTCACTGCTCGCCGGGAATTCCAGAGAATCGAGATGAGTAACGCTTGTCAATCGTACGCGTTCCATAGATTGAACTCGTACGATGTAGAGAGAAAAAATTCTATATTATCTACCTCCTGAGAAACGTATTGAAGGTACAGAGTATCTGTAGAAAGATTGTTTCATCGAGCGCTCGAAGAAAGCTCGATAATGACAGTTTGATCCTTTTTTCACGAAAAATTAAAAAGTTATTTATATTTTTCTTTCCAAAAAATATAAGAAGGAAATATATCGTACGTGTATAACGCTATAAAGATATAATATGCAAAGTCGAGCAGAATAATTGTGATACTGGGATATAAATTTCATTTCTTTATGCAATTGTACATGAAATTCATTATAAAGTTGAAGTTGAGAAAGCGATAACTTTTTAATAGATACCATAAGGTACCATCACAAAGTGATGATTAAAACATTATTGTGTCCACGATGTTAGAACTCGATCTGAATTCTCGGATCAAGAAGTTTGTAGACAAATAATTTGCTTTTCCGGAAAAGTGACAATTTTATTGACTACACATATGTTTCGGAACTAGAACTTGGATCGAATTCTAGCATCGTGAACACAGGCCTGAACAATTACATTGTTAACAATTATATTCATCTTAATACTTATTCCTATGTCAAAATTATTATATGAGAGAGAGAGAGAGAGAGAGAGAGAGAGAGGAGTGGCAGGGTAGGAGAGAGGGGGAAGAGGAGGAGGGAGGAAAAATTAGTTTAATTGTAAATGCGTAATTATGTACATCTATAATAGAAAAATATTCTCAATTTTTTTATTTCTGTTTTATAGATCGATGGAACGATAATTTTTCTGGAATAATATAATAATTCCTCTTTTCGAGTTTTGTTCAGTAAGAATTATTATTGCATTAAACTTTTTTATATTTTAAATTTGATTATTGCAATTGGTCAGTTTACAATCAATTTGCGGTCATTGTATCGGTTATTGTGTGCATACAAAGTACCTATAAGTTCTATATGGTAAACAAAAATATACATTAAATTAAATACTTTTTATCTCGTGGTGGAGAAAAAAATTCAGAGGGGGGGGGGAAGAAGAAAGTCTCTTATTAATTTTTTATTTGATTTTTTATATTATTTGATAAAAATTACAAAAAATTCACATTAAAAACGATTCATTTTGTTCAAAACAGACGTGCGGTGATCTAATTAATAAACTATAAAGCTGTCTAAATTGAATTAATTAACAAAGGCGAATTAAATTAATCGATATTACTGATGTTTCGATATATCATATTGTTATGTCATAAATTTACCGATTACTCGATTGCTTATTTAATTGAAGATTAAAGCATGATAATTAGATTGACGTCGCAAGTTTCATTACGGTATGTGTCGCATATCTCTCAAAGCGAATGTGTAAAGAATTTATAAAAAAAGTCAAATTAAATTTAGGTTTGCATTTACGAGCAAAATCATAGACTTATTTTTTCGCACGGTTGGATTATTTTTCTTTTACAGTACATTTTGTATATAATGTAACAATTATAATAATAATTATAATAACGATTATAATTTAAATCGATTTATAAATTATAATTTAGAATTATATCAATTTACTCGATAATGCTCAATGAATAAAATAAATAATTTAGACCGCAATCGCAATTATAATTTAGATATTTAATCGATGATGAATTATTATATTCTTCATAGTATTGCAATGTTATTCTTCTTGTTGTATGGTTTCTAGGCGATTTGAAAACTGCACTGTGTTCTCTCTCAAAGCGATAATATTAATCTTATGTAGTGACAGCAACATTTTATCAGTTGTATATGTTGTGCCAAGCCATTTAGAACAAAACATACGATATTGCATTTAATAATTAATATTCGATAAGGACGGAATGAGAAAATTATTCGAGAAATCTTGTTTTATTTTCTCTTTTTTTATTCGTTAAAATTTTCAAGAAAATTCTTCATACTTATCCTTCCACGTAGTCTCGAAAGAATAAAAAACGATTCAAATATGATATTTATCTCGCAACGTTTTTTTGTTAGTTGCATACACAATTACTTGCTTGACATGCCAGAGAAATCTTTTCATTAATTGCATAGGAATTTAATCAAGCTTTTATGTATCACTATTCTATTTCCACCCTTATTCTCTTTCTCCACGTTCCTATATATACTCTTTCTCACATTAGTCTGAACATGAAATAGTTGAATAGAGAAATGGATTAATTGATTAATAAACTTGTGTGTAAGCGATTAATCCTTCGTAAATTAGTCAGACGTGTCTGTTTCTATTTCTTTTTCTTCTTCTCCTTTCGGTGAAAGAAAAGAAACGAACATGTCTTTTCGCATAATGGGAGATTTTGCGAAAATATAAGCGCAATTCATCATAGCTATAAATGCTTATGTAAGATAATTTCTTTTTTTTTTTAGATTTTGATGTTTAGCTTTAAACGAATTTTCAGAATGTGTATATATATATATATATATATATGTGTGTGTGTGTGTGTGTGTGTTTGTGTGTGTGTGTGTGTCTGTCTGTTTGTATGTATGTATGTATGTATGTATGTATGTATATATATGTACACATGTATGTACATAAAGTAAATATAGGAATCGACACTTGCATGATTTTGACAAATTCAATTTCCGATACATAGGTATATTAGATACATGTTAAATTTTTTTGATTAAAATGTGCAGGCATTATGTTTTTGGCGTAAAAATAAATAAAAGTATAAAAGCTTATATATTCTCATGTCATCAAAGATATCGGAATTTGAACTTTATCGACATTATATAAAGTTCGATTCCTGTAAAACGAAACGTTTCGCGCGCAGCAATCAATCGGTTGGCGAATATTCGATTGGTGAAAAACGAATGTACATAATATAATATTCGCGTAAAATCGTGTACTCTGCGAGTGATAAATAATGTATTTTTGCGCTTGTGAGCAATTTCTTCTTGTCTTTGTATCATTTACTTCACATATGTCGTTGTTAAATTGATGGATTTACGTGCGAGTGTAAATATCGTAACGTTATATATATATATATATATATATATATATATATATATATAATGTAAACACTATCACACCATAATCAGAGATAGAAAATTGAATCGAAATCAAACTTACCTAAAGAAATTTAAAATTTCAAGAATCATATTGCGAGAAAGTTTTAAGATTAATTTCCAATTTTGAATATTAAATATATTCAGTGTCGTAGAAAATTTACATTAAAGCTTTCATTATTTTAAAAGTAATATACTCTTTTTTTTATTTATTTTATTAATTTGATTAATCTTAATTTATTAATTTTACTTATTTATATCATTTTAATGTTTCTCTTATTGTTAGTGACTCTCTGGAAAAAATGCTTATACTTATGAAGTTTACGATGAAAAATTTGTACTTGTCATTTACTTACGAGTTTTTTCATTTTTGACGTTATCATTCGTTATGCCGACTAGCATGCGTAATACGGAAATACACTCGGCTGTGTATGAAGCGCAGATTTTGTTTCGAATGAAAGTAGGTCCTCGTTTGTCTAGGACCTAGAAGATAGGAATTGGCGAACTCACGGTTATTTGCAAGATTTTCGTCAAAATATATATGATCTTGCCGATAACCTACTCGGGGGAAAAAAGGAAAAGAAAAAAAATAGACTCCCATATATATATATATATATATATATATATATATATACACATATTTCGCTTGATTGTTTTTCTGAAAGACGGCGCAAATTCGTGAGAATTATGTATTTCCTGAATACTTATTATTACCGATAATGACATCAATCGAGAGAGGGATGAGTTAATTACTACTGCTACGCAGTTACTCTCCGACAATTCAAAGACTTATTAATGAAATTATTAATGAAATGAATATAATGAATCCGTGATATCTTTTCTAATCCTTTCTAAGCGTATATATGTATAAAACGAGTATATTGAGCGAGAGATCGGAGTAACGGCGGGCAGCCTAATCATTTACTTTTTTTTTTTCAATTACATTAATCGTACAAGAATACCTACATGAATAATGTTGTTAGAGAAAATATATAACCAAACGTGTCCTTAATCGAAAATGAAAGCTCGCCGAAAAAGATATATGTATACATATATCTACTCTCGGTTTGATTCTGAACCTTTCGATTGATCGCAAACAGGATATACTTGGAGATACAGGAAGACGCATTTGAAGACAAATGCAAATGAAATAAAAATACAAAAAGTTTTGCGCGCAGGTTGCCCATCGCAACTCCGCAGGACCCAGGCCAGGATACGAATCGGTCGGACACACTCGAGGAGAGAGTCGATGTCGATAGGCAAAAGAGAACACGCGCCCATTGTCCATTTCCTTAGCAATATATGATATCATTCGTCATTATTTTTCATGCAATGTAAGACTCTATGACAAAATATAGAATAAAAATAAATATTTAAATGTTTCTAATCTTATGTAAATAAAATTAGGAACAAGAACATTTCGAATGCTAATAAACACGCATACACGTTTAAACGACACCAAGACAACGATGACGATATATAATGACGATGACGATAACGATTCGAATTATGACGAAATGACAATGATGATTCGACGATCAAGAAGGAAGAGAAATAAAATAAACTGTTTATGTGTTTTGATGAACGACTTAATTATTTCGAAAAATCATTACGCTGGTTATTTGACAGTTATCGCTCGATATTGTAGTTGTAATAAAAGTGTAAGCATCAAATATATTTTTGAGATAATACATCTATATTATTTTTATCTATAACGAGTATGTAGGTATATAGTTAATATACTTGTCAAAAAGTTAACAAGAAATGAAAACTAAATATTCTCGAATAGAGAAATGTGATATTTGAGAAAAGAATGATCTAGAAAATGTAAAGGCTGTCAGATGGTCAATCTTCGTATCTTATGCGTAACCTTTTATCGTTGTTCTTGAACCATATGTATTTGCTATCTCGTCCGCGAAATTGTCCTTTGTCTTGGTATCTTTTTCCTCTCCATTGTCCAAAACGATTGGCATTTCGGTGTCTCGTAATAACAGTGCAGTGGTTGGCGGGACGAGCGTCGAATTGTTGTCCTGCAAAGATTGCTGAAAGAAAACCAATTCATTATATTAGATAATAAATTGTTAATCAAGAAAAGAAAGCGAGAGAAAATAATTGACAAAGAAAAATTACATCACTTTATTTTTCTTTTTTTATTACATTTTTCAAAGTATATATAAATATTTTGGCGCGATTAACGATTTTGTAAAAAAAAAAAAAAAAAAAAAAAATTGATAAAACAATTTTCTTCTTTTCGTTTTTATTGACAAATCTTTTCATAGAATTGGCATTGCGATATTTTTACACGATCGATAAATAATTTGTACGTTTATAGTCTCTTATATTCGTTAATATTACAAAACGGAGCAGGATTTTAGTAGCAAAATTCAGGTAATAAATAACTGAATAAGCACCCTTTAGATAAGCTTTAAAAATGTATAATGCACGTGTAGGGTAATGGTAAATGTATATTCTGTATATTAAATGTATACCTGCATAACGTTTAAAAGAAACAGGAAAGCGAGCAAGGTCAATGCACTCAGCGCAACGTTATTTCCACTTTTTCCTTTAGAGCTTCTGAAATTTCAAGAGTAGTCATTTACAAAAGTTCTTTTCCTATATTAATGCGTTTTAAATATGCAATATTTATCGTATACGCGCGGTACCTGTGATGATAGCCACCTTCGTCACTATGATAACGTTCGATAGATGTATCCCAAGGAGCTTTTCCAAAGTTTCCAAAATTAATTAGAGACTTCAACGTCATCTGTTCAATAAATAATATGCGTAAATAATATTCATACTTTTTACAACTTAACATAGATAAATTAATATAATATTCTAAAATAATATAATATGCGTATATGTATATGTGTGCGTATGTGCGTTATAAATTTAAAATATGTACATATATATATATATATATATATATATATATATATATATACATATTTACATATTTACATATTTTTAATTAAATTATATATATATTATTTTGAAAAGAACTATAATTATATACAAAATAGTTGAACGTTACGTGCGCTAAATGTTAATTGATCAATTGCGCTACTTGCTTCGCTTGCTTTTGATGCAAAAAAATTATGAGAGGATGGAAAGAGTCACCAAGAGTTGTGCAAAATGAGGGGTTTCACCTCCAACGAGATTTGGTACGAAACTGTTTTGTCGTCACAAGAAATTTTCTGATGTGGCATAAAATCATGGTCACGGTTTCTGAATTCTTCACGGTGGTTGACAACAACCTGGAACCTTGGGTGTATCCAGTTAACCAAGTGGATGAGATGCTAGTGGACAAAATGAAAGAGAGAGAGAGAGAGAGAGAGAGAGAGAGAAAGAGAGGGAAGTAGCAACGCATCCACAATGCATTATTTCTGTTCTCTAGCATTCTTGTCCATTCGATTAACTATATATAGATGTATCCCTTATTTTTCTCGACATTGCACTCTCAATGCGTACGCACACACACATATACACAGAGGATAATCCATTATTGGTGTTACATCAATGTTTAATAAAAATTTTTTGATTAATTTGAAATTAATTCCTTTACAATGTTGAATAATCTAACCAACAGATTATGAATGCGCTGACCTTTATAATGCGTATTTGTAATCGTTTTTATATCTATTATAAGTATATCCCTTGTAGAAATTTATCACTAGTAACGCCAATTAATCACTTATTTCGAGTACTTAAAATACTGATATACAGTAATTTAAGTACTCGAAATAAGTGATAAATTGGCGTTACTAGTGATAAATTTCTATAAGGGATGTATATATATATAGTATACATTATACATATACAAAAGATTTCAGCTATTATAGATAAATTATTTGGTGAAGGAAAAGAATAAATTATTTATTTCTAAGTATAAAAACCGTTTATATATTTATTAAAATACGATAATTGAATAGCACATACATACACAATTTATATATCGCCTATGCCATAATAATCAGCCTATTATTCATATTACGAAATAAGAGAAATAACGAAAAGTTAATTTTATTGTATGCTATATATGTATATATATATATAAATTAATGTAAAGAAAACACGTTATTTGTAAGAAAAAATACGTACCTGCCTAGTATAGCAAACTTTTTTATACAAACTATTTTTTTATAAATAACTGTATGTTTTCTTTACACTTATATATAGATTCTTTTCATTATTTTATGCATAACAATATTGAGATAGATCGACAAAAAATTAACATTTTTATGAGATATTTCACAGTCTTACCTTATATAAAAAAATTTAAGCAGTTTTATTTAAAAAAACAAATAACTTTCAAATGTCCTTTAAAATCGTCCTTTAGAAAAAAGTTTGTTTTTTTTTTCAGTAGCGTCAACTTCTTTCCCCCTCGAAATCTTACAACTTTTATATATATTTAACATTTTTTTGTAAAAGATTTAGGAAAAATATTTTAGGTGGAACATTAAAATAGTTCACCCTGTGTGTGTGTGTGTGTGTATACACACACAGACACACACATGCACATATACATAAAATCTATATACAGGAGCTAGTAAATATAGTGATGGATGCTAAAAGAAAAAAAATATATAATTAACATCCTGAGATATTAACATATACATACGTAAATAGGGAAGGTCATTCGTAATGAGACACATTCAATCACACTATCATTGATAAAATGTTCATTTTGCAAAGTTTATATTTCGAAAACAGTACCAAATACACATTTTTCTCATTTGAGCAAAAATTAGTCAAACATTGTCAGTCAATAATTTCTAATTATGCTTTTTACTTTCTTTTTCTCACATCTTTGATTTTTATATGTGAGATAGATAAAAATAAATTTTATTTTGTAAATGTCTAAATAAAATAAAAAAGGCAATAATTTATTTAATAATTTAAAAATTGAAATAAATTTTCGTCATCTTTTAATTAATTGGAAGAATAAATTTTTTGCCAGAATATATTTTATAAATAATATCGCCTAAGGTTAATCTTTTTTTTTCTAGCAAATGATAGCAATACTTGAACGAAGCTCATCAAACACATCAAATTTGCCGATCCTGTTTTTCCAACAGCTCTAAGCGCGTCTTCTTCCCTTCTCTCTCTCTCTCTCTCTCTCTCTCTCTGTTTCTAAAAATCTTATTATTGATGTAATATACTATATACTTTATATACATACCGTTACATTTAACATTAAATATATACGGTATGTAAACAATCTTGATAGAGCTTGTGTAATTTCCGTGAATTAAACTTTCGAGGCTATAGAAACATGGAAATTACAACACTGCAACTGGCGTAAAATTTTTTTTCTGTACTTGTAACATCGAAAATGAAATTTGCGACAAACTCGCGTTCCGGTCTTGTGACAACAATTTGACCAACCTTTTCTATCGCGCATATATCATATTTTGGAGAAAAATGCATCGTATTTCAGATGTCGAACAAAATCATATATCTTATGTATATGTATTAGAAATTTGAAAGACTGACAATTATAGTCATTCTATTATATGTATTTCTAGATAGATAGAGATAGATTGTCAAAAAATACCGGAAATCGCTGCAAATCTTTTAAACAAGTACGCACTTACACATTACTATACAACTTATATGTATATAATACGCTCAATAAATAGAAATAAATATATAATTATATAATTGACGCATGGCGAAACTTGGGCATTGATATACGAGACAATAGACTTGTAAATGTATAGATAGACCCCAACCAATATTGAAAGATTTCATTAGAAACCGCACAGTGGATTATCGAAAATTTTCCGAAAGTTTTATCTCATTTTTCGCGAGACAAATTTTTACAAGATTAAACTCTATCGAATGCTTGATTTATTTGCGACGCCAAAGTCACACCGACTTATCGGAATTATACAAATTGCATTATTTAGTACGTACACGTGCGCCGAATTTGCTGCCTCGAAAAAAAATGATCAGTCGTGAGTTGTCGAGCTGGCAAAATTCCATGTGAATCTCCTAGCTTGGCGTATTTTCTAAATGCATGTCCGCGCACAGTCAAGTCGATTAAACTTCTCTAGCGTAGGATATACTAGAAATCTTATCGATTGTTTATGTCGAGTGCTTGACACATAAACAAAATGTTTGAACATTCGAGAACTCTAAAAAGACGTGTTCCAATCTTCAAGATGTCTTTTGAGAATACTTTAGAGATTTTTGATGTCGTTTGGTTGTCTGTAACGTAAATCGTAAATAGAGTTGCGTTTCTCGCATCATTCTCTATCATCGAGGCGAAATGTTCCAATTAGAGATATCTGATAAAAAAATTCGATCGGCAAAGAGATTTTGCAGAATCTAATTGTAAGCTACACTCGATGAAACGTACGCCGCACGAATGGACGCGCTCATACGGCATTGCAATCCATGAAGAGAGTTCTACAGTCCTCGCCCGTGCGACCGCGACGTCCTGCTTCGTAAAGAACCTCGAAACCGACGCCGCTCTGCCTCTGCAGGAGATAGCTTGTCGCGTACCTGCGGAAATGATATATGTTCAATTTCGAACTAATTGCACAGAAAATTATCGAAATTGTTCGAATTCGAGTCACTAGACAATTATTCAATTATATACTTGATTTAATGAAGATTATGAGTTTAATAAGGCTAAAACACTTACGATCCAAGCTGGCAGAAGATTGACGATGGGCCTTGCGTGTCAGCGATGCACTCTGCGCTGGCCTCGCAAAGAGCTCTCTCGGCGCATCCGCGTTGACCTTCCTCCTCGACACGTCCTACGTAGCTAAACGACTTGACAGATCTCATGTAGCCCTATAGCGAATCAAACCAATTACAAACACATATATGAGATATATATATATATATATATATGTGTGTGTGTGTGTGTGTATTATACTTTCGTCTCTATAGGTCAAATAATAAATGTCTTCTTCCTTCGTCCTTATATAAACGCACTTTTCGAAATATTTTAAATAGTTGTAATAATATCAATAAATATATAATAATGTGCAATATAAATATAATTATTATATATAATAAAATATAATTATAAATATAAATATAATTGCAATATAAATATTTTTATTTAATAATATTTTTACCTTTAGCATAGAGATCGATGCTATCGCAGCTTCGGAAATGGTGTCGCGCCTCCCGAGTGAACGAGCTGTCAAGGAACGATGAGAGAATGATGTCTTCAGGGCGTCTAGCAGGTTGATGACTATGCTGATAAACTGCTTAATAACACGATAAGCAATAAAGATATAAGCGAATTTATTCACAGAGACATGTACTTTGAAGAAAAAATATATATGGTCTAAATAGCACGGTGCAGATTTCACGTATATATGTGTAAAATTAATTTATATTGTTAAATATATTATAATTACATATTATAATTACAATTATAGTTACCTTATACAATTAAATTGAAGTGTGGTCAAGTTTTAATAGATAATTATGAAACAGTATTTTATAATTTATATAGATTTTGTAATTCTTTGTAGTTTTTTGTAGTTTTTTTTAAGTGTAAATCAGTGTAAAAGCATGTTAATTAAATTAATGTTGTCTAAAATTCTTTATACATGATTTCTTTTTCTCAAATTATATATATATAGTATATACAGGGTGTTAAAAAAAAGGGTAAAATATTTTAAGATTTAGTATCAACCATAAAAACAAATCGAAAAGTCTTAATAAACACAAGTCCGCAAATAAACCGTTTTTAAGATATTTTTAATTTAATTTTTTTATATTTTTTTATAATTTATGCAGAAAAATAAGTTGGTGTTTTATCTTATCTTAAAGAAGATACTCAGAATGACCTTCTTTCATGTCTATGCAGACCCTGCATTTTCGTAAAATGCGAACATATCTCAAAAACGGTTTATTTGCGGACTCATGTTTATTAAGACTTCTCGACTTGTTTTTAGGCGTACTAAATCCCCTTAAAATATTTTACCCTTTTTTTAACACCCTGTATAGTGTATATATAAATATATATATATATAGTTATATATGTTAATATTATACAAAACGGGTTGTGATGGGGATTAACACATCAAGCATCTTTTAAAAAGCGATGATTTAACAATAATGTACACAAATTGATTAGTAAATGCTACGACAAAAACATAGTAAAACTAATTCAATTTCTCCAATTCAACATTCTCGATCAACCAAGCATATGTATATGTGTATAGGGCACGCATTTGTATCTATAGTTTTCGCCAAAGCAAGATGAATAATTTTAATCTTTCAACTTTTGTCATTGAATTTTCTCATTCATAAATTCGTACTAACCTCGGAAGCATTTTTCGCCATTACTGCAATCTGTTCGGGATTTCTGCCCTGTCCTAGAAATGCGCCCAGCACCGCAGTCAAAATTTCCTAAACAACCGACACCAGCCATGTGCGCTAAGTCTATAGATCGACAATTATTTACAAGAGAAGTGAAAGAAAAGAAAAGAGAGAGAAAGAGAGAGAGAGAAGTTTGTTGATGCAAAGGTCGTGTTTGAATATTTAATTTATTCTAAATAAGTAAGTTAAAAATGACTGGAAGAGAAGTGCGCATAAGCGAAAACGCTGTCTTGAAAGAAAAGATACATTTATATAAGTTTTACTGTCTTAAAGACAATTATAATATCTTATAATGTTATTAAATGATCAGAAATTAGTTATCAATATGTAATCAACAAAATTTGAAAATAATTACAATTCAACTAATATGTGTTGAGAAAGCTGTACTTAGCTCTGTGTGTGAAATTTCTTATTTTCTGAGATTAAGTTTCAAGCTTTTTTTTTTGCTTTTTCTTTCAATCATTCTTGATTATTCCCGCAAATGTCAAGAGTGAAATATATGTTCATCAAAATGTGGTGAAACGCCAACAAATTTCTATGGCTGTGAGACAAATTAAATTGTGTAGAAAACGTAAAGATGGTGTAACTCAAATGCGTGAAAATATAATGATTCGTTCACAATCACAATTATTTAACACATTCTCCTTCTCTTCTCTAATTATTGTACAACATAGTTCATGACTGTAAGCGCAGCCGTGCGTATTTCCTAATTTCTATTTAGTGCCAAATTTAACTTGTTTCTGTATTGTTTCTGTATTTTGTATTTAACTTGTTTGTTATAGCTATAAACTACATATATGAATACAAGACTGTTTTCCTTTCTCTCAATAATAATAATCAATATTATAGAATATTAAAAAATATTAAAACGAATAATTAATTAAAATTAGAATATTAAAAAAATTAATTATTATAAGTAAAACAATGATAATCTGTAATATATTTGAATTGAGATAAATTATTTATAAATAAAAACAATTTTTTATTTCTTAAAATAATATAGATATATGCAGACAACTCTATATGCGGTACAATATCCTGAGTTGCTTATTTACTTTACATATGAATCCGATTCTGATGTCATTTAGATTTTCTTGTCACATAGAGGAAAGAAAAATTGTCTTTCACGATAAAAACATTCAACGTGTCAGATATATAATTTATATTCAATTTAAATCTCATATCATAATTAAGAACTATATATAAGAGTCGCTGTACGAGCCACGAAATATATTTTGCTTCGACATTGCTAAGACATTGAGAAACAATCTCATATTTGAGATATGAATTCCTCGGTACTCTTTATTCCCCGAAAAAATTGGCTGAATCGGATCGATATATTTTTCTCATCTACATCGCTTTAGGGGAATAAAGGGTACCGAGGAATTCATATCTCAAATATGAGATTGTTCCTCAATGTCTTAACAATATCTAAGCAAAATATATTTCGTGGCTCGTACAGCGACTCTTATAGTTCTTATAGTTATGATTTCATTTGGCGAGCCGGCCTTTAACGATATTTTAATGTTATTAAATCTCATATGTTTTGCAAAATCTTTTCGTATTTAACTATTAATTATAATATATTGTTAATAGCAAATTATAATCCATAGTAACTGAAGATAGTAGTTGATTCGATGAATAGCCGAAACATGACATAATTTATGCTCTGATTCGCATTATTGACATGATCAATCTCGCGAGAAAATGCTTGAAAACTGAAATGGTCGAACATATAGCGCATCATAGTTATTTTCACTTACCTGCATAGGACTACTCTGATTGTCCACCTTGTCGATACCATCCACCGGCTGCTGGGGTCCACCTAATAGTGCCGTGAGAACCCTAAGACCTACAGAGAGCAAGTTGGTCCACGGACTCGTAGTTGCACCATCATCTATTTCGTTCTTGCTAGGTCCGGTCGCACCACCGGTCTGACCCAGCAGCATTTGCATCAGCATACCCAGCATATTGGACCATGAAAAACCGCTACTGCTACCTTCCTGTATGCGTGACAACCGAAGGATACGATATATTATAGTTATAGTAATGGAAAGAAAAACGAATTAGCTTAAAGTTTAGTCTATTATAGAACCGTATAATCTATTAGAAACGTAAAGATCAGACGATATAGTCTATCCTCTCGAGCACTATACAGATATAATACAATAAATATGCGTGTAAAATTATAATATTAATTTAATTAAATACGTAAATGCAATTTTGTATTATTTACTTGAATTTGATTAGTACTAATGTCTTCGAGATCATCGAGTGCCACTTTTTTCATCGCGTTTGGCTTTTCAGCGAATTTTCTATCCCCTCTGACTTGTTGTTGTTGTTGTTGGTACTCTTGTGGATATTGCTGAGTGTACTGAGGATGCTGCGGTAAAGCTGCAGCTTGTCCCAGAACAAGCGCGATCAAACACAAAGATGCGTATTCCTTGTACGACATTCTATGACAAAAATACATTGTTATAATTTGATGTATACATATATGGTAATTTGAAAGGATTTATTATGTTTAAAATTATCTCTATTTTCTTCTCTTCCCAGAAGAATTCTTTGTTATAACGTATATCCATAAGAAAGAGAATAATAAAACGTATTTAAAAATATATATTTCTTATATCTTTAACTGAAAAGAAGCTTATATTATGTAGCGTAGCTAATCTGTAAAGATTATAATATCTATACATATACATATATGTATATGTCAAGAGACTTAAAATTACAAAATTACACGTTACTTTTTTCAGTTGCTTATACCTGTCGTATATGCCACGATTATCGTGAATTATATAATTACGTATATATATGGACATTATTTTTGTGCATCTCTATTCATAAAGTATGCGCGCGTGTGTGTGTTATGTATAACTTTTAAAAGTTAAAGTGATTAAAAGCTTGGCTTTGAAGACACGGAAGAGAAAGATGCGCGATCACTCGCAGAAACGAAAGTATGCCACAACAACTGACACGAAACGATGATTCGAATAATTTAAAGTTGAATTAAAAATGAGTAATATGATTGATCCAAAGTTCATTTTTTCATTTTTTTTTACAAATATTTCTATACAAAAATTTCTACAAAACTGATGGAAATATTTTTTGATATTATTAGAGCGTATAACAACATTTTTCTTAAAGAAAAACAAAATGCAGAATTTGTAGAGATACAATTCTATATTTAAAAATAATGAGAAAAATCTATATTTACTTAATATATTATACTTTGAAAAAAATGCTTACGTACTTTACCTATATCTATACTTTTTTCATAAAATTTTATTTAAAAAAATTGAATTAGTCTCGAAATTTCCGAAACGTTTTGAAATAAAGACATGTAGTATACCTCTAATGTCTTCGAAATAATTTAATTTCCTGTGTGTATATAGATATATATGTATATACTACTTTTGTTTTATTTGTGTTTTACTTGTGTTTTAAAGATATAATTTAATTATAGTGCGCCATCTTGCGTGCGTGTGTGTGTGTGTGTATTGTATTATTATGTTTGACATTATTCATATTTATATTTACAATTCGATACATCGAATTATAGGATTTAAATCTTACAGGTTTCGCGCGATTTTCCTTCTCGTTTATTTTATAAAATATATATTACAAAATTCAACACAAATCGTAATCTTCATCTTGATTGCGCGAAATAATGATGGACGGAAGTAAATGAAATCAGTATATATATGTTGCGGATACAAGTTGTGAACACGATGCTGCTAAAAGTATGTCATCGTGGTTAAGGTCGCTTTGACCGCGAACATACCACCCGATTACTCGTTAGCCCACTTCCCGGCGATGCTGGTTTGTTGAACCCGATGGATACCGTTATTCTAAAAGGCGGTCACGACCTACTGTCGATCGCTGGCGGGTGACCAGTTCTCGTGCCCGCGAAAAAATAAATGAAGGAAAGCAACAGGAGAGAAAGAAGTCCCGGTATGTTGGTTTCATGAGATTAAGACAATAAGAATTGATCAAATCGAACAAACACCATTCGATATATAAATATTTTCGAACGTTTTACGATTTTTCACTTTTTATAATAATACAATTAAAAAATTCTACATGTATTCTATATATGTTAGAACAGATCACTCATAATAAATGTCTTTATTGATTTTTATCGTGTAACGTTTAAATCGAATTATTATTTAAGACAACAGGCAGGTCAATTCTAATTTTTACAAAATATTCCCTATTCGTAATTTTTGAGAATAAATTTGAAAATTTGATGTGTAAACATAGAATAACGCAAATAGTGAAATAAACAATGTGTTAAGAAGAATGATTAAAATAAAAACGTAATGAAAATGACAACTTTAAAAATCAAGTAACAATTTTAAAAAACAATAAAATATGTGTTATATATATATATATATATATATATATATACACATATATATATATATATATATATATATATATAAAATAAAGAGAGAGAAAGAGGGGGGAGAAAGGGAGAGAGAGAAAGAGACTCTCACCAATGGCGACAAATGCGGCGTGCCTTCTAAAAACGGTACATGCCACGGTGAAAAAATCACAAACGAGTTTCTAACTGTATCCTTACATCTGACGATAGCATTTTCTACTTGTGATAAAAGGATATAAAAAAATTGCAAAAAACATTTTACGAGGTTATCATGACATGATTCTAATTGCACTGTCTGAATGATGATATTTTATATTTTAATAAAATCGAAAAAAATTATTGCTATAAATAAAGATTATACATGATGTGCGTGTGTGGGTGTATGTGTGTAATAACTTAGATGAAAAATGCCTAAAGCTATTTAAATATTATATATATATATATAAATTATAAATTAGGCGTTCTCTCTTTCTCTCTTTCTCATTAATATTTGCAAAACAAAGATAATTATATGGTAAAAATGTATTTTTAAACTGAGTAAGATTTGATAAGTGATAAAATTCGTAATAATAATAAATATACATATATATATATATATATATGTAAAATATGTAAAGTATATAAGTAAAATATGTAATATAATAAATAAAATTATACTTTATAAGTTTATATTCTATAATAATAAATAAAATACACTAACACATTGAGAAAAATTTAGCAAAATTATTAATATTTGTTTAAATAAATATTATTTTTGTTTAGAAAAAGTATCTAGATTATTTATAAAATCATTATAAGAGTTGTATATATATATATATATATATATAGAATGAAATTTTTGTGTAATAATAATTAAATTAAATATGTAATTAATAATATAAACACACAACTCCAATAACAAATAATTAATTAATAGATTTAAGATTATACATATTTACACAAAATAATATTGAATAAAACAGGTATTGACAATGTATGCCTGCGTTATAATATATTTGTAATTAATAATATAAATTGTGAATTAATCATCAATTTTATTATACTTAAATATTTTATAAAATTACATCAATTTACAGATTATAAAGTAGCTTTATTGAAGCTTTGTTTAATTTGAAATAGTATTCAAAAAATTCGAGAAATAATTTTTTCCTAATTGAATAAAACCCGAGTCGCGAAAGCAATGAAAATAAGCTATGTTACTCACTTAGTTTACTTTCCGGCAGACTTCCGTGACACTGACTCTCAGTTCTGAAGATGAAATTCTTTGCGGGGTCTTCTATATAGCTTGCGAGTTTATGTGGGGGTAAACCGTTCGGCCAATGACCACTCATCTTTGCTACCATTTTCAATGAAACTATCCAATCTGGCGCTGACTGGTGAAGATTTCAAAAGGTCGTTTACTTAAGGGAATTTTTCGTAATCACTTTGCGATGGAGAAGAAAAGACATTAACGGCCTTACAAAAAAAAAAAAAAAAAAATACAGTCCGAAATTTTCTTGCGCTGCAATAGTTTTCGACATACATATATATATGTGTGTGTGTGTGTCTTTTATTTATAATTTCCTTTTGTAACAATTGTCAACGTTTATAATACGCTTAGCAATTTATATTAATACACGTTTCGTGCGTTGCATTTGTCATTCAGTCTTATCTTAAAATTTATTATCTTAGATTATTATTCTAATATTTATTTTGTGTTTATAGTAAAAATACATAAAGATGCACAAAAAAGTTAATAGGCTCTTAGTCTTTTATTAATGTGTCACGAATTATGATGTCAGAAGAGAGAAATCATATGCATTTTTTTGCAAAATAAATAATTTTTGTACTTTTTGGTCATAAATTATTACCTGTTAGATATAATGTAGATTAGTAAGATAAAACTTTTTCTTTTTAATCTGTAAATAAATAAATAGCTATATCAGTGGCTGCGTTAAAAAAAATTATTTATTTGTTATGTATTTTGCATAATAAAAAATGAATATAATTTCTAGCTTTTCTGACGTCATGATAGAATAGAGTTGCAGTGGGAACGCATAGAAATCTTTAATAATTTAATAGTTAACTGTAATAATTAAATTATAAGTGTTATATATATATATATATATATATATATATTATATATATATATATATTGTCATTAATATGTCTAAATTTTAAACAAATAAATTTTTTATTTTTTTCTTTAACCCATATATCTTTTCCAGTTGATACCACTTCGTAGCTCCTCGTAGTTCCTCTTTGATTATAATCTGAGATAATTTTATTTATCGTTTAATTCGTGCATTGAGTATAGAAAAGAATAGCAAAGTTGGAATTATTTAATTTTTAAATAATTAGTTTATTAGATGTTTATATTATCTGGGCATTTGAGTAAAACAAGACATTTTTTAATTTTGACGTTTTATTAATTTTGTTGTATTCACATTTATTCTTGCTTCATTCTTGTATAGTCTTCTATATTTGTTTTTGCGCACATAATATTATATATTATTTTCTTTTCGTTCACGATTATACCGAGATAGTAATAATAATCCAAGCAATTGAGTAATGTAAATCAGTGCATATTGATAGCGAATGGAAAAAGCGTTGGCAATTCATTGTAACTGTTTCAGTAGCGGGATGCTGCATTGATTCTTCTTATTAGGAGGATCTCGCTAATCACAGATCATGCCTGTAGCAGCTGGCTACCGCCCTTCACCCTCTTCTATCTTTGCACTTGTTGGCATAGTTCATCGTAGCAAGTTCAGTGAACGTATTACGAGTCGCGAATGGATCCGAGCGTAACGGAATCGACGGACGACCTTCGCGAAGGAAATTACGCGTTATCGATAATTCGATGGGATGCAGCAGTGCAATGATTACCCAATATTCCGAAAGATACGAGATATTGCGCCACAGGTCGGAATGACTATATACAGTGTGCAATTAATATAAGTGCCGAAAACAATTTTTCGATACTTGTATATATATTAATTACTTTTTATCTATATTTACTTATTTAATATCTATAAATTCATTTTGTGAAATGTATATTTACACACACACACACACACACACACATATATATATATTTAGAGGAAACAAACTTTTTGTCATTATTAAAATAAATTTGTCTAAAAATTATTATTAAAATAAATTATACCATTATAAAATTCTGAATCATTACTCGCTATATATTGAAGTAATTATATAATATATAACAATTGCCAGCGTTGAAAGTGGTAAATGTTGTTCAACATTAACGAGCGAATTCGCGATTGTATTTGTACATTAATGTTGGCCAGAATTTACTCATGACTCACATCATTAATGCACAAATGCATTATAGATAGAAACGCATTAAAGAAGCACGCTTGCATGTCCGCAACATGCTCTGTTTACGTGCGGTGGGCTATCCTTATTTAGGCGAGTTTGTAGGCTAACAATAAAGTATTATTTTCCCAAAATATGTTCGTCTTTGCGGTTGAATGCGTTATGCGATGTGTCACACGCAATCAATCATGACAAGAAGTATATAGAAAATTAGATAATATATAACGTGACAATTTGTTCTCAATTTTCTAATAATATGTACTTCATCATTAATAATTAGATACGTCAACTTAATAAAAATGCGTATTAAAAATGATTAGAGATTAACTGTGAGAAATATAGTTTATAATTATAATTATATTTTGAAAAATACTCTTTATTATTTGTTTATAATTACATAAAGGAGGGGAATTTTGTAATTTTTGTCCAGAGAAGATTAATATATATATATATATATATATATATATATCAGAGGAAAATTGTCTTCACGAATGAACATAAACAAATCTAATTATTAATATATATATATATATATATATATATATATGCATATTTTTATATGTATATATCCTTGCGTAGAAATTTGTCACTAGTAACGTAAATTAATCATTTATTTTGAGTACTTAAAATACTGATATACAGTAATTTAAGTACTCGAAATAAGTGATAAATTAGAGTTACTAGTGATAAGTTTCTATACGGGTATTTAATAATTATTTCATCAATATATATTTCACATATATATTTTATACATTATATATAAATATATATATATATATATGTTAAAATTATTACATAATTTAAGTTTAAATAATATATAGGACTGTTCATCATATGAATGTTCAAAGATGAAAATAAAAGGATCCGTGTACACACAAATAATGCATGATTTTCTACACGCATTCCTTTTTCTGTGTGTCTCGGCGAAAACAGCGGGCACAAGAGTAGCCACTACAGCTATTCGACACAGAAAACCTTAGTTATGTAGCGGGATCGGCACGTGGCGGGCGGATTTACATTCATAAATGTATACATATATGTTGACTGACACGACCGACTATATGCGATGACGATCGCACTTTGATATACGCGATTAAGGCTGTGGACGCACAGTATCGACTTTTTGCTTCTATTTTAAAATAAAGATAAATAATTAATGCGTGAGAGTTTTTTGTGTATCTTACGTATATATATTTGTAGCGCGGATGATTTACTGTCTACCTGTATAATCGCCTGTAATATATATGTGCGAGTCCTCGACAAAACTGTTTAATCAATAAAAAAATCGTTGATGTTGCTCGACATATCGATTAAACATATAGTATATATTTTTGTCAGCGTTAAACTTTTACTAACAAAATATATAGATATGAGGTGATTATATATAATATAGATATATGATATATATGATAAAATGATTTCAACTTTATAATAATACATGAATATATACTTTTTAGAATATCCTAGAAGTTATAAAGAAAAAAAGACTGATCATTTTATTAGCATTTTAAAATAATGCTTATATAATATACATATAATTATAAACCGAGTTAACTCGCAAAATTGAACAATATATATCGCATTTCGATACATCGGAAAACTCGGACATAAAAGACTTTCGGCCGGGTTCATAAGGCTGGATCTACAATAGGTGTAGTAAACTGAAGTAAACTCTAAGCTTTAAGAAATTCACGAATCACAGTCAAGAATGAGGGGAATAATCAACTGTGATTAATCAATTTCTTAAAGCTTAGAGCTTACTTGTAGACCCGGCCTAATAGATAATTCAAGCCCTAATCATAATGTTAATTTCTTAAGGTTTATGCAGGATTTACCCTGCGTCCGATATCCGACGTATGACATATCCGACATCTAATAATAAAAGATGAGTCTCTATAATTATAGCAAAGTCTGTAGAAATCAAATTTTCTTCGGATCCAGAGTGAATCCTGCATTAGGATTTGAATTACCTTGTGGATTTGATCTTAAGCCCCTTGCACAATGCCAGGCAACAGACAATAGAAACAGAAAATATCCACCTAGAAATAGAAATCCTAGAAATAGAAAATAGGAGCAGAGAATAATATCTATCTTTTTTTCCGAATGATGAATATTTTTTATTTCTTATTTCTATATATTATGCCTCTGGCATTGTGCAAGGTCCTTTACATACATAAAACTTGTTCGGTGCGCGATTGACTATAAAATAGAAAATTCCTAGATGAGTCTCTATTGAAATTCTAAGAATTCTCTATATCTAATAATGGCCAATTATATGCTTCTTCTTCTTCTTTTTCTGTATGGCTGCTAAGGCATCTGGGGGATTCGCCTATATGCCACAATGTGCTTGTCAATTATATGCTATATCCAGATCATAGACATATAGAATTATATAAGTTTATGATCCAGATAAACATTTGTAGTGACAGTGATAAACGATTAGCGTATCAATTTTTTATGCGCATGCGTTGGCTGTACGGCTACAAATATGGTGAACTGTCGTGTCGATATAATACTGTGGCGTTATGTGCTATATATACATATAATAAAGTATCTATAGTATATTAGAAAATGTGAACATTAGAAAAAATAATAGAGAATAAATGCAAAGAGTGGTAATTCTTATCTGCATTATATATATTATCTGAATTTATTTAATTAAAAAAACTTTACACGAAACGTTATCGTGATTTTAATATTGTTCAAATTAAGCGCTTGTACAGCCTACAACATGGCTGACCGTCACGTGACCGAATATCGAATGCGGCTACATAAAAGAAATCGACTATCGACTATACTGTCACTACTCACTTCTGTATACTGTATGTTCAGTTGCTGTAGTGATATACCGTGACGAGACGGTATAGTACGATTATTTCGTTATATCGAATATTGAAAGGTTAACTTGTCGTTTGCAGCGTGACAGGCACTTTCAGTGTTTACTGGTTATATCGGTTGAGACAGTACAAAACCGAATTGCAGAAATGGAGTGCTTGATTGGTATTCAATGCAAAGATTTCGTGCTGGTTGCAGCGGATATGACAACCACACAATCCATTATAGTTATGAAAAGCGGTAAAATATTTGTTATGTTTGTATGCTACTTTCAAGTAGAGTGTTAATTATTAATTATACATGACAGTATACGTAGTTAGTGATGCATTAACTTTTGTTACATTGCATATAGTGTGTATATAGACGTATTATTATAAAAAGGTTATATTAATACATACACACATATATTGTACTATACTGTGTGATTATACATTATATGATTGTTAAATTGTATAATAAAAAAATCACATGATTTATTCTATATATTATCATAGTACATTAAAGTATATAATAGTAAAACAATGTTATTTTTGCAGTTTTAATAATATATATATATATATATATATATATATATATATATATATACACATTGCATTGTTAGGTTAAAAAAATTATAGTTAAACAATAATTTAATTATAATTGTACAAACCAATCTTTTAAATGGCACATGAAACATTTCAGACGAACACAAGATTCACAAGATCTCGGACAAGCTTGTTATGGCAATATCTGGAGAATCAGGTGATACGACACAATTTTCAGAGTATATTGGAAAAAATATTCAGTTATATAAGATGCGAAATGGCTATGAACTGTCTCCTAAGGCTGCAGCTTGTTTTACAAGAAGAAATCTGGCTGATTATCTTAGAAGTAGAACCCCATATTTTGTCAATATGCTACTGGCCGGATATGATGATGGTACGGGACCGGAATTGTACTTTATCGATTACTTAGCATCTTGTGTGAAGGTACCTTATGCAACTCACGGATACGGAGGCATGTTTTCTATGTCTGTCTTAGACAGATATTATAAATATGGTAAGTTGCATATACATATAAAATGTATAGAAATATGATTGCGAAAAAATTGCTCTCTATGAGATATTAATGAATAACTTTTGCAGATTGTACCGAAGAAGAGGCATATGTATTACTGAAGAAATGCGTTCGAGAAATTCAGAAGCGATTGATTGTTAATTTACCAAATTTCAAAGTTCAAAAGATATTCAAGGATGGAATTAAAGATATGCAGCCAATCACAGCTGAAAATTTGGCTGTAGAAAGTATTGCCAAAGCATGAAAAAGAAAATAAAAATGTTCTTTTATATTTCTATAATTGTAGTAAAAGATTTTCCATTATAAGAATAAAATGCCTAAATATATCATTTGTCGATAAGTTTGTCAATAACTTAGTATAATTACTTATTTGTTTTATCCCAGTTATGAAAATGAACTAGAATATTAAATTTCATCAATGTTTATAGACACGTACATATATATGTGCAATCATACTATTATGTGTGAAGAAATAATGAATAACAGTAGTTATACTTTCCATTTACATCAAAACTTGAATAAATCTCGCTTCTGTCTTTCTAACACATAGGTGTTGAAGAGATGAGATTAACCTGAGTTTTGATGTAAATGGAAAGCAACTAATATCTCACACAAACAATATAAGAGTGTAAAGTAGAAAATAATAAAATTAATTTTTATTACAAAAAAATGTAACAGCAGATTTTGTAAGTTTTTGTTGCCCTGAAGATATCAGATCGTTAGAACATATGTTGCACAGTATTATAAGTAATATTTGTAATACATAATTATGAATAAAACAAAGTTATAAGTACTATACTTTTTATTCATGAAAGTTACAATTTTTTTTAAACTTTTTTCAACAACTTAAAAAAAATTACACAATTTTAATAGATTTTAATTTTTGTACATACATTACATTTACGAATAGAAAATGTGTTCACTAATAATAAATATCCATGTGATAGACATTTCGCAAATAAATAAGGATATTTGTATATGAATATAGCATAATTTTGTATTTTTTAATATTTTATTATGAATTTTTAAATATAAGGAAATCTCTTCACATATCTGTTTTATATTGATTTGTTTAATATATTGGAAAAAAGTCATTTTTACATTCACAATTCATGATTATCACTCACACATGGTCGTTAATCACAAAGATAAATTCTGAATAGAACGCTAATAGTAAAAATTATATATAACTGAAACTTAATTCTGAATTAGTTTTTAGAATGTAAAATGGACCGTAACATTCACAGACAGACTTTTGTATAGCAGTCTATTGTACACATTATTATGTAGAAAGTATAAAGCAACAGTTGGAAGTATTTTTATACAGAGTTTTATTATTTTATAATATATATTATAAAATAGTGAAACTCTGTATTACTTAGAATTTGATATCTTCCCGATATCAGTGCCTTTCCATTCAGTATCTCGGAACGTTTTCCATCGATACCATACATGAGTGATAACAATTTCTGATATATGCAAACGAAACGGCGAACCCTTGATTATTATTATAATTATATTTGCTACCGTTAAATTTGTTTTCGCGATCGAAACGATATATTCGCGAGTGTTAACTACTGTAAGACTCGTATTATCGTATTTATATATCTTGCAATTTATGTGTATGCACAGCACAGTTACAGGCTATTGTACTTCGCACAATGCGTGATTGTACGTTTTGAGCATGAACCGTGAATTCTTTTTTTTTATTTCTTATTTTCCATTTGTAAGAATTCGGAAAATTATAGCGCGGTAATAATGTCGCGGATTTAACATAATATTTTTGCGTTATTAATTAATATATTGTATTATTTATCCTTTTTGCTTCTACTTGCGTTTGTTCCGATTGCTGCGTTCCATTTGTAGGTTGCGATGGATGATCTTCATATCTGAAACAGTGGAAAATGTTGCATATAAATATATGTATTTTAAATATAAGCAACAAATGTGACACAACAAATACATGGTAGAATGAAGAGATACTTACGAGAACAATGCCTTGAGATCTCCTTTGACTAATGCCAAGAGCAACGGCGTGCCTACACACGCGGGTACTAAATATAATAAAGCAGGTTGTGCGTGATCAAATAAGTGCATGATCATCATGGTGGCGAGTAATCCCATGAAGTATGCGAAGAACGTCGAATAGAAGTAGACATTTGTCTTCCTACTGAGACTGTTATCAAACCGCAGTAGTAACGCGATAAAGATACCAGGCAATACAATGTCACCCAATCCCAGCATGGTAAAATTGTCGGCGTTCAAGCCATTTTCTAAGAGATCTTGTGGAAAGACGAGTTTAATGGGTACTTCAAAGGATTTGGCAACTGTTACCATAACATCTGTACCAAATACCCAAAAGGCATCGTAAAATAAAAGACCACAGAGCAAAATGCATCCAGTCACAACATTGTTAAGATGTAATAATTCGACTCCATTTATAGCAAATGCTATACCAAATAAATTATTAGCTATCCAGTGCTGAAAAAGAAAGAACATAAAATAAGGAAAAAAATATAAAATGTGTTAATTTAAAATATAATTTTTAATTATAAATGTATAAAATCTAAATAATGTATAAGATCTAAATTTAATTAGTATTCTTTTAACGCTTACCTTTTTTAAAAGATACCAAGCACCAACGAGCGAGCAGCAAATGAGACAAACAATGTCGTGTAGATTAAATTTGTAATTAATTATATGTTCTTCTTTATCATCCTTTCCTTTTGTAAATAAAATGTGATATTGTGTTTTTGGAATCGCTGCAGGTACCAACGATGAGATTAATGGGCTAAAATTTTGCAATTCTTGAAATTAATTATACTTAAATATCATGAATGTTTGAACAATAGAGACAAGCTCGATAATGAAATTATTACAAAGAATATTTAAGGTTTTCTAATTAGTTTTGGAAATTTTACTCAAATTACCTGGTAAGATGACACAATGCTAAAATGCCAAGGAAGAAAAAAATATGCTGCCAATATCAAATTAACATATTCTTTTGCAAATACCTGGAAAATAATTTCAGGTAACATTTCATGATATTAAAATATAATAATTTTATAGATACATACGTGTAATATCTTATGTAATAGTTACCTTATACAATATATACAAGCCAACTAATGTAACACTGGAGATTAGAGGAAACATAGCAGCCTCTCTACGGGACATGGTATCAGGTTGCTCGCCACTGGCTTTATACTGTTGCTGCAAAGAACAATACAACAAATTGAAAATATGAAAACGTTTATGATTACACTGACATACTTTTTTATATAATTACGAGTAATATATTCAATTCGTGTGGTTAATCGGCGTAGAATGAAACCACATTAATATTTACAGAAATGAATAATAATTAATTACAGTTTGAAATAAGAAATAACTAATCATTACAAATCTTAACGAAAAATTTAATTGTGGATTTTTGCTATATCTCTCTCTCTCTCTCTCATTGACGAAGGAACGAATAACGGAGAAATGTAATGAAAACGTGTGCGTTAAACATATGTCAAAGTACGTGGCTAACCTGCTGTTCCTTGTGATGTTTGACCGAACGATAGCTACCGAAAAAAATCGGTAAAATGGCCATAATAATGAGACTACCGTAAGCAATTGCTATTCCCTCGGGTGTCGATGGATCCCTTCCAGTTGACGCATTTCGATACTCGGTAAAATTTTCCGTCGCTTGTGCCGCAATTTCGTTCACCGTACTTGCCATCTTGAATTCGTAACACCACTGAGTCCTGAGTCTATGACTGTGTCAGTCAGGCGGACTATCGTACTTGCGCATGCGGGTTGAATGAATTATCAGTTTGACCATAGACTGAGGTCGATTATAGAACGTATTCCCATATTTGAAGCCCTATCATTAATTTCTCAATTAATTTGATCAATAATCAATTAATAATAATAAAAATAATAATAATATAATAATAATATAATAATAATATAATAATAATAATAATATTAATAATTATAACAATAATAATCATAATAATAATAATATTAATACATTTTCCAAATATTAAGACCCAATGTACGAATTACTAATATGTTAGGTATGACACATCATATTTCAATATTTTTAAAATTATTAATTAAACTGCGAGGACCATTTATAAAGGACTTATTCCCATATTTTAAAGCCCGAATTTTCATTTTTTAATTAATTTCAATTATTTAAAGCAACAATTAATTATATCAAATTTTAGGACCCAATGTACGAAACATTACGTCAGATATCGACACGTAATCCTTCCCTATTTTTTTTTTTTTCATTATCAAACTGAGGGCGATTTACAGAACGTATTCCCATATTTTGAAGCTCGCTCTTTCATTTTTCAATAAGTTTGAGTTACTTAAAGCAATTATTACTTCTTTCAAATTTTATATAGGATTCAATATTCGAATTATTATGTTAGGTATAATGACACGTCGTATTTCAATATATTTTTTTTATTAGCAAACTTAAAAGATTTTTAAAGAACATATTGCCACATTTTAAAGCCCCGATTATTTATTTTTTAAATAATTACAAACTATTTAAAGCGATAATTAATTATTTCAAACTTTAAAACATAATGTACGAATCATTATGTAAGGTACTGACACGTCGTATTTCAATATTTTTTATTAAGAAACTGAAGACGATTTATAAAACGCATTGCGATATTTTAAAACGCGATCTTTCAATTTCTATTTAATGTCAATCATTTAAAACGATACTAAGCTTTTATTTATTTATTTTTTTTATTTTAAAACGTTAAATGTAATTATTAAGTTATTCATTTTAAAACCTTTATTTAGTTATCTTGAGTGAATGTAACTTGTTTTTTTTTCTAGAATTGTTATTATCGAATAAAGAACTAATGGTAAATAATAATTATTTTTTTTTCTTTTTTTTTAAGTGAAAATTGATATTGTTGAAAAATTTTGATTTTGTAACAATTAAAAAATCGAGTTAAATCTGAATCAAATTGACAACAATTTTAATAAGTAAATCAAATTAAAGAATAGTATCTTTAATTAAATAAAAGTTGTTGAAAACATCTTTAATCTTGTTGTAATTGTTAAAAAATATGTAAAATGTAGACGGTGAGAATATTTAAACAATAAGATGTGCGTGATCATGATTTAGCGATGCGCGGATCGATTGCGCGGGGAAACGATTTCCTTGCGCGACGGTTCGATACAAAATGAGTTAGTCGCTCGGGATCAGCCGACATAATAACACGCGAATCTCCTTGACTTGTTTGTATCCTGTAAGATCGACCATCTCGTATTAAAGCCTTTATAACTGCTATTGAATCGAATTACTTATATATTTCCTGACACGCCGCTCCTAATTGAGGGAATTATTAGTTATAATAATTACCTTACCACAAAAATAAAATCTTAACCGTTATAAATAATTAAATGTTGAATAAAATAATAAAAAAAAAATACTTTGAATTAAATGACAATTCTTGTTGAATACTTCTTCAATATGTAGTTTAAAAATTATTGAACCGAGTACTAACCGTCATTATTTTCAGCAAGTTAATCAATATTATGAACAAATATAATTTTTTTTTTTTTAGTTAGAAAATTTGCCAAACACCAAACTTCGCCGTCCTGACCCCTGAGGGAGGGCCAGGAGGCTTCGTGATGGATTCCCGCCCTATCCCGAGGGATTTTCGGACGGGGGACCGACCTAAAACCTGACTGAAGCCCCTGGTCGTATGGGTATTATCCACCGCGGAACCGCTCACGCATAACTTCACGGTGGATACCCGACCGGCGTCCTGAAAAGGACACATCCCCCAAGAGGACACTACCGGTATTCCCCCCCCCCTGGAGAGAACATTCCCTTGCCCAGAAAGGGCATCAAGGGGAGCCGGGCTACTAGCTCTCCCTGGACTTCCCAAAGTCGACGTGCAATGGGATCGGGGCTCTCACCCCTCTCCCTGCTAAACCCGGTCAGTGAGGTGACCATAGTCACCCATCCACATGGAAGACATTACAGAACGTTACAAAGACTAACAGTGCACAACATGTACACAATCACAATTGAACATAGTAAGGGCCACAGGCCCAGCCCTCAAAGGGGCCCACTACAAGGCACTGAGGCCAACCACAATGAAGATGAGAGAATGTTACTCCCACCTGTATACAAAAGACAACAAGACTAAACAACATAAACTTGGCGCGGGTGAGGAGGCCGCGGAGTCACCTTTCGGAAACCTCCCCGACACTCAATCACCCATTGCCGCTACCTACAGCAAACAACAACAACATAAACTTGGCGGGACAGGGAGACCACGGAGTCACCTTTCGGCATCCTCCCCGGAATCCCCGCATCCATCGCTACCCACTACAACCAACAAATAAAGGACAAAACCAACACTAGACATCGGGGGCAAAACTGCAGCCCGGCACAGGAGAGTCATCTCGCAACGACCTCCCTCGCCCCCGGCTACAGTCCACCCCCACTTATCCCGGACTCGCAGAAGCCCCCCCATCAAAGCGACCGAAGCCTGCGCGCGCTCGGCAGCAGGAGTGCCCTTTCGACGCCTCTTAGGAGGGACACGCGTCTTCGCGCACGCCGCCGAACCCATCCGGTGTCTCGCCAGTTTCCTCCGGAATGCGCACGACAAACAGCGGGGGGGGGAGAGGGGCCACGCAATTGGCAGCCCTATGCCCCGGATTGCCACACCTAAAACAAGAGCCGCTCCTGTTCTTATCAGCGCTACAGCCATTGACCGAGTGGCCAAATTCGTGGCACCGATAACACTGCAAGGGGCGGCGAGCCAGATGAATAACATCCAGCATCGCCCACCATCTTGCCAACGAAGTTGCCTAGCGACAACCAGTTTCCGCGCCACCCTGGCGGGGCAACGGACCCAGATTGTCCCAACTTCCGATCCAAAGAACAAACGAATCTCCCCGGCTCTGAGTTCCTTAACTCTGCATCCCCCAGCCAGAGCGACCTCCAAAATCTCCTGGCGCCTGAAGGACATCATCGTACTCTTGAAACGGATGTCCTCCATCCGGAAAGAACGACCTATCTTCACATTCCCCGCTGCAGGAAACACCTCCTTGAGCTTGGACGCAAGCACGTCCGCCTTCGTTGAGGAATCCTTCCCCTTAACTGTGAGTAAAATGCTGTCAGTCACACCTCTCCGCATACGCAAGGAATTGATCTCCAATTCGCTCACGCTTACTTTGGACTTCGCCTCAGACAAAACTGAGGCATAAGTCCTCTCCTTTTCCTCCTCACCAATCGTCAATGAAATCACCGACGCAGTGGGAGGGGGAAAAAGTCGGCTCTTTTTCTCCCTCGGGACGCAGTGACCAAAGAAAAGTTTGCTTTTGAAAGCATTCCGCGACCGCGACGACGCCTATTCCTTGCAGCAGCCCTGGGGGCAGGGGCATCCGCTAAGACCTCTGCAATAGCGGAAGCAGCGGAGTCCCCAGCCACAAAGCAACTCGATGGTTAAAAAAACCTAACACCAACAATACCTGCCCCAGACCTCCGCATAAGCACTATTTCCATTGAAGCGACCCCAGCCCGTCCAGTAAGCAGAGGCTTAATATTGGTTAACATAGCCGACGAGATGTCGACCCTAAGGTCAACAAGACGCCTATCCAGTATGGACGACAAATCCGCCATGGTAATAGAGTGATGCCCAGCCAAGGCCACCCGCACGTCCTCCTGTCCCAGTGGTGATCGTGGTGATGACGTCAGGTAATATTGCTTTTTCGCTCCATTGTCGCTAAAAAAAAAGTACTCGGCCTCTAGCTGCGGGATGGCTGCACGAAAAACTCGCCATCTCCCCATTAACCCTATCGAGCTCGCGCTCCAGGGCCAAGATGCGATCTCGCAATCTCTTATTTTCACTCCTCAGGGCCTCCGCCTGAGGATCCGCTTCGACACTTACTTGATATGACATCTCCTCGAAAATACTCGCAAGTCTTATTGAAGACACCCGAAGATCCCTGGCAACGACTTCATCGAATCCAAAGACATCAGATGCCTTCTTCACTTGAGAGTTGGACAACACCTGAAGCCTACAAAGTTCCAAATTTGTGACCCCTTTAAGACTGTTCCGAAACGCCTCAACCAAAGAAAGATTCTTTCTACCGACCGCAGCAAGGTTTGGACCCAAATTAAAATCAAAAAGTCTGTTAAGATCCTTTAACAGGACTTCCTCTCTTTCTGCACGCAGAACACGCTCTTTGGCCTCCGCAATGTTCGCGTAGTCCCCAGTTGTTTTAGAGCGACCACGCTTCTTGGTGCCGCCGGCGCACTTATCTTTAGCCTGCTTGCAAAAATACTGTTTTCTCCAGTTAGCAGCCGCTTGTCCGACACTTGAAAGTCTGCGTACTTCCCGTCATCCTTCAATGAACTCGGCGAAGAAACGGTGGTGAAGCTCACCCCCAATTCGCACTCACCATTGCTCTCACCACAAACCTTTTCCGGTGACCAGGGAATCCTTAAAAAATCCCTCCCCGATTCACCAAACCCACTCACTTCCGAATCACTCAAGTCAATGAAGTCAAAAGACCGCACACACTTATGCGAATAAAAGAACCGTGTTCTACCATTCACACACCGCTGCAAAAAGTTCTCGGTGTTCCTGACAAGCCTTATGCATATATCAAGAAACCGATACTCGCAAATGTTCTTGTCCTAAAGCAGCCGATGAATGTCGGCCACAAGTTTCCTCGAGTCGACACTCCGCTCCAAACTCTCCAAAGTTTTAGTAAATTCAATGAGCTGATCCTCCACTTC